CATGTTCCTTATTTTTAAATCGTCATATACGTCAACAACCTGCATGTTAACCTGGCCCATACATACGTTACACTATATCTCCATGTCTTATAAATTTAGAAATCATCTGGATCGCCTTTAACATTTATCAATAAACCCATCATAGTCGTTGTTGCTAATCGTATGGTTTATCATATTAGCAGCCTAAAATGCGAACATAGTTAAGATAATAAGATTAAAAATTTAGGTACTATCAACTGCACTAGTGAAATAACTAAATCCCCAAGTAGCTGTTGGCTAAACAAACGTTTAAAATCAAAACTCAGTAGCCTACTAGAATGAACACTAAACGAATATTTCTGAATTGAAATTTATAATTAAATTAGGCGTCTCGGATTCTTTAACGTTATAAATTTCTGATGATTTTGAATCACCTAAAGCAACAATACCTATTTTTCCACTGACTAATCCTTAATCAACACTATAAGTAGTTAAACATAATAGTTTCAGGATATCGTCATAAAGCATTGTCATGACAATCACGTAATATGATTGATAAAATTAATGAGACTATTAACAAAATCGGTCAGCAAATTGACTTATAATTATCACTAGTGTTGTTTTTCTTTTATCTTCATTCACTACGGATGATTACAGTATGTTTCTCTATCAGTTGCTCATTCAGTAAATATATCAAAACCTTGTCAGTCTAATTGGAGGTTTAGCGACACAATCATGCATGCAAATAATCAGTATAAGCAGTCGAGCAAATCTCCTGCAAACTGAAAACATCAATGTCGAATTTACCACAACACTGACTAAGGTTCAAGCCATTATCATAGACGTGAGTTGGGAGTGTACTCCCCTTGGTTACAACTTGTGTTCTTCCTGATAATCACATGAGCATCACTCACTGTTAATCATCTTGTAAAAGCTTATTTAGCCGAATACATCCTGCGGCACCACATCACTTCGTAATATGACACAGGCCTAACTGATTTTAATAACCTATAACCACTATATCTCAATTTAATCTTATTCCGCCTTATGATAAACTGCATACTTGCAACTAACTTGTATGCCCAATCAGCCGGCAAGTATAAATATAAATAAAGTCTATCGCAGATCAGAACATTGAGTTTAGAGCATGTCTCTTACGAACACACTCATGTTTAACGATTTTTCCTAGCTATCTGTCCAAAATCCATATAATTATTACTCATGTATTTAAATTTTATTTTGATAACCATTCATGTGTATTAGTAGTATTACCAAATTCTATCACGGTCAAGTAAAAATGAGGTTGAGAAAATCTCCCCGTAACTAAATAAACCGTATCAAACTAACTGGAACACTAGTTGGAATTCTTTACCATGGTAATACTTTTGTTCCTTCAGTTAGCCTACTGATACAGATGCAATTGGAAATCAACTCTTATGGACAACTTACCGGCATAATCGTTATCCGATTTCATAATTTAAACCAAAACTAATACCAATATTAACATTTCTACAATATTCATTATTTTAATATTTCTAAACACAAAATAATTACTACCTATAAGTTAAGTTATTAACACGCATTGTTTTATTATTATTACTGTAATCCCATTTTTTTTATAGCTCAAATAATCTTCACCCAAATTGTCATTTTAAGGGTGTTAAGCATGAAGGCAGATTTTTTAAAAAAAAATTATTACATGTATTTCCCGACCAGATGCTGCCGCCTTCTTTTTGAATTATCTTTCAGCTTATCATTACCCGGGGGATTCTTCCTAGTCTTGGTAACCTTCGGCGCACGACGATCCCATCCAATTTGGTATCGAACCAACATCACGTTGATTCTGGTGGGAGAGTAGTGTAGTGGCATTGGACAATAGCCACACAATCCACAAAGCTGTGAACACGAGACTACTCAGAAAATAGATATTCAATATTTAACGCGGAGAAATACCTAACAATGAAGAAGGCGCGAACAATGAATTGAATGGATTGGAGTTGATCGAGTGGCATGGCTCGGCCATGCAGGCGTGGTCTCTATTCATATTAAATATATTGTTCCTTCTCTAACTTAAGCTGGTTCTTCATCATTTATTGGTAATTGATACGATACAGTGAGTTGGCGTAGTCGATGGTGTGACTTCCACGTAAGATCTTATAGATTAGGCAGTTATATCATGACGAATCTACAAATTTAGGATTAGGTCTATTATTAGAGCAGTACTAATATCATAGTAGATTATAATTCTACAAGCACACCTAATTGAAAATAGTCTATCACCAACAAATTTCACATGGAGATACCAAGACAATACACTGGAAAATATGTAGTAGTATGATCGCCAGGCAAAATAACATCAGACGAACTAATAATATTAAAACAATATACAAATAGGACTATAATATACTTCTATGGTCGGAGAATAGGTCATCAGTCTATTTCGGGTAGTCAGGACGTTTGTCAAGCTCACTCTTGTGTGAGATACTTCTCTCGCAAGGATTATGTGGTAATGTTTTTTATTTTAACTGCAGAACACTCAAGCCCTAGTATAGGCTCGCGGAAAATTCTAAGCGACTGTCAAACGCAACCGTTTCTAGCGGGAAAATGATTGAATATTGTGACTTTCAAAGTCCCTAGAGTTGCAGAATGATATATTGTGTAGTCTGAGATCTCGGTAGTGATGCACATACGGATTAAATTGGACAAAATAAGGTAGTCCAGCGACAATAGCGATGTTAGTTTGACGTCAAAATACGTGGTAATAGTGAAGAATATACACAATACCTGAAAAATTTAGTGGCTTGCGTGAAACAATTCATGAGTACCAACAAACTCAATCCAGTCAAACATAAGATATCACTTATATAAAATGTTGGGCAATATAAAAATAATTGCTTCTGAAAAAGTAAAGGTTGGCCTGAAAGGCATAGAACACAGTACTATTCTCAGGTGATAACCCAAAAATAGACAATTAAAAGCTATGGAATAAACTATGCACGAAATTTTATACATTGCAAAAGGTAACTACATAGCAACAATGGTAGAGGCTACAGTCAGCTGGCAAGTATTTTGTTTAATAATTTGAGGATGCACTATTCTGGTGAAAACTAATGGAGACAATCGATTACACTTTGAGTAAATATGGGAGCAACCAGAATACATTGACCCAGTTCCAACCAATCCTTCGATAGTTTTGTGGCGACTCACTTTTATCAAGAGAACGAGATTAGTGCAATGGAAGCGACTATTATTATAACCAATTGTACCAGGGATTGTTTTGCCGTACTTGTTTGTTTAACTGTACCAAAACACATACATTCTTCCGTTGCTTGTGACCTTGCGCGAATTCGGTCACGCTCAGTAACCACACTTGTAACCTGACACGATCTCGGTGTTCTTTCGGTACCACGATATCGCCAACAAATACATCTCGACTAGAGCTATCAACTGCTTTTTGATATTTGGCCTACGGGGGATCTTATCGGTTAACTGGCACGTGGTCTTCCTGTAGTGGCGATCATGGTCAGACGTGACTCGACGCCAGACTACAGTTTTTTGTCATTCTCCACTCATTCTACGAGCCATAGGCAGGGGGTGAAGTATCAGAATCAATATTAATATTAATATTAAGCTCCCCATCTTCGTCAAACCTTCGGCAGTGTTAAATGTTTTCATAGCCATATTTTCCAGAATGAGTCGGCAATATAGTTGAACTACCTTCATAGTTTGCAGTGGTCGTTACTGAGACCGCTTTCTGCTGTAGTTCCACAACTTTCTTTTAACGATAAAAGACAGTTTGAGTGAAGGCCGAGTCTATCAATGACATCTTGTGTTGCAGGGAATGTTGAGCAATCTTTTAGTACTCTTTCCGTGGTCACAAAACAAACAAATGGAGCTATTTCATACAGTCTTTGCTCCACAATGATTGTCGCCAACGGCTGGCATATTAACCGAGTCCTTCCTTCCTGTACCTCTCCCAAACTGGACTGTTGGGGGACTAAAGAGCCAGTGAGTCTGTTTACAGCCTGATCTATCACAGGTTAGGACACAATCACTAATTTTTGTGGCAGTGTAGGTGTCTCTTCCAATCGACATTTTAAACCAGCAAAGTACACCCTGTTCTTAGGTTTCTTTCCAGAATATTAGGTAGCCTGAATCCATGACTACGTAAAATATCTTCAATATATACTTAAGAAAAACCGTGTATTATGTTCTCTTATCTTGATGAGGACAGTGGTCCGTCGGAACTTGTTCAGAAAAGAGGAAATAAAAAGTTTGAGGGCTAAAACACAAGCTCCACTCAGTTTTTTTGGAAGCCTAAAAGTGTAACGTATGCAGCTCAGAAGGATTGATGTGTCGTATCATTCATAATCCTCATTTGAATAAATCATTAATTTGTTCTAGTAAAAATTTACAGCTAAGAAGGATAGAACCCGGAAGATCTCTTATAAACGACTATGCAAACCTTTTCGTGGCTAGAATCAATAAACTGTGAAACTCTTTACTCGAAGATACAGTGACTGCACCATTCATGGAGTCTTTCAGAGGAAGATTTGATGCTTACTTCAGTTCGTAGGTAGAGATCAAGATCACTCTAAGTATTACTCCATAGTGCCTTCCACCAGCTTCGGAAAATAGATAACGGCGACTATGCCGTTCCATCATCGGAATGCTCTCCAACCACCCAACTCCAGATCATAAGCAATAATTTGTTCGCTGAAACTACCCAGAAGAGTTTGAAGTAGTCTGGTGAGCTTCCTTAAAGTCTTTTGAGCAGAACCGTTGGAATCCTCGGCATTGACTTACCAATTCCCATTCAAACTTCGTTTTTCACCTGAAGTTATTATTTATTGAATGCTTCCATGTTGATGAACATCATCCGATGGTGGATACTGTCTAATTTATTAATTTGAATGGAAGAGGATCTTCGTAAAACATATCACCACTGTAAATAGTCAAAACTCGCTTTGTAACGGATTTTCATATTTCGTTCGTTATTACTTCGCACCCCAATTTTACATGCGTGTTTTATTTGGTCAGTTGTTTGGCGCTCTAAGAAGGTCACTGTGAAAGTTCCGTTACACGCGGCGTGAGTTATCCCATATTCGTGGTAGGCTTGGCTTTTTATACTGACTATATGTTAGGATTGTATTATGAATGATGATAAGCGGATAGTTCCTTGGGTTGATGCTAGTGAATTCAGTGAGGTTGCTAGGAATGTATCTTCATGCGAGACATATAAACTTCGTCTAGCCTGGGAGACCATAAAAATATGGTTGTGTCGTATGCCTGTATCCAAAATACCACGGTCTATAATTTGCACTTATGAGCTTCTAAATGCTTACTTTGAAAATTCAAGCCAAAGTATGGCACTGGCCCTCATGAGGTTTGTCTCGTTGCTATCTAGTGAGTCCCAAGACCGCGAGAGACCGAATTTTGCACTGCCCATTTTGTCTCTTGCTCGTGTAGCAGGCTTACCCAGCTGGCTGGCTGATCTGCGCAATGACATAGCACATGGAATAATACCGTCAACGGACACACTAGAAAGCGCTTTTCGCTGGTCACTGAAATATCTGAGTGAATTTTGGGCGTCCAACGTAAACTATAACGAAGAACAGTTTATCGAATTAGATGGGTTGTTGAAATGTCAAAGTTTGGCTTTAACTAAATACGTCGAAAATTTACTGCAAGAAGAAAAGACAACTCAACTTGATGTAAAAGAAGTGTTCAGGAACCGTTCAACATATGTTTGCTTTCCGTTGATAGTAAATACAATTTGTAGTTATGGCTGTGCTATGTTCGTTGGCGGAAGTCCTCCATGCAACATTGTTCAGAACCAGGCTATCAAACTAAAGCCTCTCTTCAGCACGATGCTATATCACAAGCTTGTTGGTGAGCTTGTTTTACAGTTCATTCTAGGGTTGAGAGATGATCACTCCGTAGACGACGACATTCGACTAGAATGGTGCATTGCCTGGATTAAGGCAATCAAATGTCGTGGGTCTGAAAAATCGATCCTGCGTGACTACGTAGATGGCTTGTCACTAGACTGGAGAAAAGCACTTAATCATATTTTGAAACACATGTGTAATAAGTATCGTGATTTATTCATGGAATTGTTGATTATTCGGGATCCACCGATACCGCAAGACAAGTTTGAAGTGATCATGAGCCATATAGATGTGTTTTGCGGCTTCGATGTACCTAACACTCATGAGCTTCAGACACAAGTGTGCCGGGAACATCGCTGGGAGCTTGCTGACTCTTTGTTATGGGCAGAGAAGCCGCTTGGAGCAATAATTCGTTCATGTAAAAACACTTTTTTAACTCTAATTTTAGCCTGCCATGCCTCGACAAGTAGACAATATAAAGGAGTTCCTACATATGACACAAAGGGCAGACGCGAAGTGTGAGTTATTCCGAAACTAGAGTGATTTTTTTAGCTGTTAAGATTAAAGAAAACAAAGACAATGTCAAGTTTAAAATCAGATGCAGTCGATTTCTATATACGCTTGTAGTCGTGGAGAAAGAAAAAGTTGGAAAAATCAAGCGTTCACTCCCACCAAGTATTAACACATAATTATAAACTAATTCTGCTTCTTTATAGATCTTACTGTGAAGGAACTGTAATATGTTACTTATAATAAAGGTTCCTATATATTGTATCTTTTTTGGTAATATCTGGGAGTCAGGGAAAGCCCAAATACATAATACGAACCAAACACGGCGCTGAACAGAGATGATCACGTTGAGCAGAAAGAAATTAGGTATAAGACACTTTTAACCGGACAGTATCAGGAACCAAGTGAACAAATTAGAAATAAAACGGTCGAAACCTACCGTTTCCAATTGACGCTAGCATAAGGCATTGAAAAACACTATAATTTGAGAGCATAGCGGTAAACAAAGCAATTACGATCATCTGCGTATATGACAGAAGGTTTAACAACCACATGAAATATCGAGAAATATGCGCTAGATATAAGTTGCAACTATCATAAAAAACACGAAGAGAAACAACTCATAGCAGGTACGTAGTCCCCTAGAGCACGAGACAAGGTAATTAGATGCCATGTTGAGAAAAGTGATTAATGTAGTGTTTGAAATTATAATAACCTAGAAACTGTGTCGATCGATCTGTTCCTGGATAAACACATTAGATTGCGCGATTTACTGGAGTGTATGGATCAAATGCGAAGCAGACAAATAACACGAATTCATTTTATTCAGCAAAGCTTGTTCTTGCTCTGTTTAATTGTATCAAGGGATCTGGTTGTATGACATTTAGTGTTTGCTTAGGCTTTTGTGTATGGGAAAGAAGTTGTGATTGATGAGTATGGATATGTGGGACTCCTAGATCGTGTGTTTTGTGACTTGGCTTAATTTGTAGTTCTATGTAAATCGGCATCTAAGTATGTGATACGCTAGCTAACATAGCCTACAGTGGTTGTAGAGATGGGAATACGTGCGAGTGGGATAGGGTGTAGCTGAGGAATTTCCCAAGGGTCGTTTTGTTTTCAGGGATGCTTGACACATTGTCTGCAAGCCTACAGGTGAATTTGGCGACCGTGTGCGTAGTGTGTAGTGTCTTGGCCGACCGATGGTGATGGGTTTTTTGCGGAATCGCTGAGTTTTTGTGGCAAGTCGATGATAATTGTATTTATGTATTGATTGAAATAGGTTTCCTGTGTTCACGATGGTGATCAGTCGTATTTGTTATCAGGAGGTTTTGGTCAGTGTTCGTGGATATTGGTGTGGAAATTCCAGGTTAGTTAGTTAGTTAGTTAGTTAGACGGTAAACTTTATTACTGAGTCAGTTCCTAATATTATTGTTGAGTATTTTCATGTTTCCCAGTAATGGTTATATGATGAGTGTATGACACCTCTTATGAATTGTTGATTCGTCTTTCACACTGATCACTATTTTATGCAGTGATATTTTCTGTTAGTTTCAGATATTCGTGCCGGTTCGTTGGTAAGTGTATACATTTGAACTCCTCCTGATGATGAACTAATTGCGTGTCATATGAATTAAAATTGATCGTATTATTAGTCTGATAAAAGTCCGCTTATATATTTATTGTTCTGTTCAGAATGCATAGAATTATTGTTAAAGTATATTGAGTTTTAATTTGTATTGTTTCCTATTTCAATTGCGACAGGTTATTTCGAATTGGTTGTTTTCAGCATTCGATTGGCGAATGTTGATGGATGTGGTTTTCCATTTGGTGGTTTGTAAAGTGGGATGTGTCCTACGAGTTCATAGTGCCACTCCATTCTGGCTGTCTGTAAAGAGTGTGATAAGAAGAGAATTGTAAGAATGTAAAAGGCAATATGTAATACATTTTTACAAGAAACTAAGTCAGTTCTGAATTGTCTTTACTGACTGTGGGGTTAGTTACAGGGGTTCGTGTCTTCAGACACTCGCATAAATTTGTGAATAAATAGATGTGAATTCAGTTAGTACTGATTGGAACGTAGTGTTTATTCGAAGTGTTGGGGAATTTAGGCGAGAAAGACACACGGATGAGTTTGTGGTCGAGATGTATGACTGAGGAGATAGAGAGACTCAGTGAATTTGGTATGGCTTCCGTCAGGTGTTTGAAATGTTACATGTACAATGTCGACAGTTTTACTGTAGATTGGTTGGGGTTCTAGGCGTAGGTTTTTGCTTTACGTGACCAAGATGTGTATTAATACGTTTTCTCTTATGTGATTTGGTCTGCTCTATTGGACTTGTGGGGGTATGGATATCTGTTAGTTTTTACTGCTGCTAAAATGCTTGTAGTTGGATACTAGCTGACGAACATCTGTCACTTGATGGAAGTCTCCTGGGAATTATGCAGTTTGCTTAGGGAGGTGATAACATAAGTGGATGTTTTGTTGAGACGAGGGATAGTTGGAGTGTTTGATTCCATAATAACCAAGAGACTGGTCGATGGATTTTTCTTGGGTAGAGAAACACCTTAGTTTGTGCGATGTATGAGTTTGTGTATTTAGTGTTCCAACAGAGCATGAAGAACACGGTTTGTAGAGTAGAATGAATTCATTCTATTCAACGGCTTCTCATCAGCTGCATACAAATTAGAATTACAATTCTCAATGTAATTATTAACATTTGTTTATAATACTTTATTTTGTAAAGTTTAGATAAATGTCCGAAACGTAACCGAAATCATAATAGTACGAAGAATAGGTATACAAAATACCAAGTATTTTGTTATATCATTCCATGATAGATCAACACCCTTCCGACGTCACCTCAAATCGCATCTATGAATTTATATTTGCTTGCGGTAGCATGTATACAGGAATGATAGATAGAAGGGTGTGTATTAGGTTTCTGAACACATTCCTAGGATCGTACGACTGAAAGGGAGTAAAGTGTTTACAAGTGCTATTGTCAGACACCTTATGAACAGTGGACACGAGGTGAATGTAAGTAATGGATTCAAAATAATTAACAGACAACAAACACCAAGGTTATTTCGTTTGGCAGAGGTGATTGACATCAAACGTTTCCGACCTGACCTATGTATACAGAAGGGAAGTGTGACTAACCTTCATTTGACATGGTGGTCGGATGTTTATCTAATGACGTTCATTAGTTTTGATTTTTAAATTTTCTTTCCAACTCTGTCCCCAACTTCCTTAGCTTTATTATTCTTGTTGGTGTCCACATATTTGTTTTCTTTTATCATGTTGATTGATTACGCGACCAATTATTAATTTCATTACCTTTACATAGCCTCTTTTACCTTGGTTATGATTACTGGTAATTATAATGCCTACCTTACTCTGAATTATTACAGTCCAACATGTAAATACACATCGATCTTAACTATGTTTATTCATAAATTTTGTATCCGTATTCTTCTTACTATTATGATTTCGGTTACGTTTCGAATATTTGTCTAAACTTCACAAACTAAAGTATTATAAACAAATGTTAATAATTACATTGGGAATTGTAATTCTAATTTGTATGCAGCTGACGAGAAGCCGTTGAATAGAATGAATTCATTTTATCCTGCAAAGCTTGTTGTTCTTGCTCTGTTTAATTGTATCAAGGGATCTGGTTGTATGACATTTAGTGTTTGCTTAGGCTTTTGTGTATGGGAAAGAAGTTGTGATTGATGAGTATGGATATGTGGGACTCCTAGATCGTGTGTTTTGTGACTTGGCTTAATTTGTAGTTCTATGTAAATCGGCATCTAAGTATGTGATACGCTAGCTAACATAGCCTACAGTGGTTGTAGAGATGGGAATACGTGCGAGTGGGATAGGGTGTAGCTGAGGAATTTCCCAAGGGTCGTTTTGTTTTCAGGGATGCTTGACACATTGTCTGCAAGCCTACAGGTGAATTTGGCGACCGTGTGCGTAGTGTGTAGTGTCTTGGCCGACCGATGGTGATGGGTTTTTTGCGGAATCGCTGAGTTTTTGTGGTAAGTCGATGATAATTGTACTTATGTATTGATTGAAATAGGTTTCCTGTGTTCACGATGGTGATCAGTCGTATTTGTTATCAGGAGGTTTTGGTCAGTGTTCGTGGATATTGGTGTGGAAATTCCAGGTTAGTTAGTTAGTTAGTTAGACGGTAAACTTTATTACTGAGTCAGTTCCTAATATTATTGTTGAGTATTTTCATGTTTCCCAGTAATGGTTATATGATGAGTGTATGACACCTCTTATGAATTGTTGATTCGTCTTTCACACTGATCACTATTTTATGCAGTGATATTTTCTGTTAGTTTCAGATATTCGTGCCGGTTCGTTGGTAAGTGTATACATTTGAACTCCTCCTGATGATGAACTAATTGCGTGTCATATGAATTAAAATTGATCGTATTATTAGTCTGATAAAAGTCCGCTTATATATTTATTGTTCTGTTCAGAATGCATAGAATTATTGTTAAAGTATATTGAGTTTTAATTTGTATTGTTTCCTATTTCAATTGCGACAGGTTATTTCGAATTGGTTGTTTTCAGCATTCGATTGGCGAATATTGATGGATGTGGTTTTCCATTTGGTGGTTTGTAAAGTGGGATGTGTCCTACGAGTTCATAGTGCCACTCCATTCTGGCTGTCTGTAAAGAGTGTGATAAGAAGAGAATTGTAAGAATGTAAAAGGCAATATGTAATACATTTTTACAAGAAACTAAGTCAGTTCTGAATTGTCTTTACTGACTGTGGGGTTAGTTACAGGGGTTCGTGTCTTCAGACACTCGCATAAATTTGTGAATAAATAGATGTGAATTCAGTTAGTACTGATTGGAACGTAGTGTTTATTCGAAGTGTTGGGGAATTTAGGCGAGAAAGACACACGGATGAGTTTGTGGTCGAGATGTATGACTGAGGAGATAGAGAGACTCAGTGAATTTGGTATGGCTTCCGTCAGGTGTTTGAAATGTTACATGTACAATGTCGACAGTTTTACTGTAGATTGGTTGGGGTTCTAGGCGTAGGTTTTTGCTTTACGTGACCAAGATGTGTATTAATACGTTTTCTCTTATGTGATTTGGTCTGCTCTATTGGACTTGTGGGGGTATGGATATCTGTTAGTTTTTACTGCTGCTAAAATGCTTGTAGTTGGATACTAGCTGACGAACATCTGTCACTTGATGGAAGTCTCCTGGGAATTATGCAGTTTGCTTAGGGAGGTGATAACATAAGTGGATGTTTTGTTGAGACGAGGGATAGTTGGAGTGTTTGATTCCATAATAACCAAGAGACTGGTCGATGGATTTTTCTTGGGTAGAGAAACACCTTAGTTTGTGCGATGTATGAGTTTGTGTATTTAGTGTTCCAACAGAGCATGAAGAACACGGTTTGTAGAGTAGAATGAATTCATTCTATTCAACGGCTTCTCATCAGCTGCATACAAATTAGAATTACAATTCTCAATGTAATTATTAACATTTGTTTATAATACTTTATTTTGTAAAGTTTAGATAAATGTCCGAAACGTAACCGAAATCATAATAGTACGAAGAATAGGTATACAAAATACCAAGTATTTTGTTATATCATTCCATGATAGATCAACACCCTTCCGACGTCACCTCAAATCGCATCTATGAATTTATATTTGCTTGCGGTAGCATGTATACAGGAATGATAGATAGAAGGGTGTGTATTAGGTTTCTGAACACATTCCTAGGATCGTACGACTGAAAGGGAGTAAAGTGTTTACAAGTGCTATTGTCAGACACCTTATGAACAGTGGACACGAGGTGAATGTAAGTAATGGATTCAAAATAATTAACAGACAACAAACACCAAGGTTATTTCGTTTGGCAGAGGTGATTGACATCAAACGTTTCCGACCTGACCTATGTATACAGAAGGGAAGTGTGACTAACCTTCATTTGACATGGTGGTCGGATGTTTATCTAATGACGTTCATTAGTTTTGATTTTTAAATTTTCTTTCCAACTCTGTCCCCAACTTCCTTAGCTTTATTATTCTTGTTGGTGTCCACATATTTGTTTTCTTTTATCATGTTGATTGATTACGCGACCAATTATTAATTTCATTACCTTTACATAGCCTCTTTTACCTTGGTTATGATTACTGGTAATTATAATGCCTACCTTACTCTGAATTATTACAGTCCAACATGTAAATACACATCGATCTTAACTATGTTTATTCATAAATTTTGTATCCGTATTCTTCTTACTATTATGATTTCGGTTACGTTTCGAATATTTGTCTAAACTTCACAAACTAAAGTATTATAAACAAATGTTAATAATTACATTGGGAATTGTAATTCTAATTTGTATGCAGCTGACGAGAAGCCGTTGAATAGAATGAATTCATTTTATCCTGCAAAGCTTGTTGTTCTTGCTCTGTTTAATTGTATCAAGGGATCTGGTTGTATGACATTTAGTGTTTGCTTAGGCTTTTGTGTATGGGAAAGAAGTTGTGATTGATGAGTATGGATATGTGGGACTCCTAGATCGTGTGTTTTGTGACTTGGCTTAATTTGTAGTTCTATGTAAATCGGCATCTAAGTATGTGATACGCTAGCTAACATAGCCTACAGTGGTTGTAGAGATGGGAATACGTGCGAGTGGGATAGGGTGTAGCTGAGGAATTTCCCAAGGGTCGTTTTGTTTTCAGGGATGCTTGACACATTGTCTGCAAGCCTACAGGTGAATTTGGCGACCGTGTGCGTAGTGTGTAGTGTCTTGGCCGACCGATGGTGATGGGTTTTTTGCGGAATCGCTGAGTTTTTGTGGTAAGTCGATGATAATTGTACTTATGTATTGATTGAAATAGGTTTCCTGTGTTCACGATGGTGATCAGTCGTATTTGTTATCAGGAGGTTTTGGTCAGTGTTCGTGGATATTGGTGTGGAAATTCCAGGTTAGTTAGTTAGTTAGTTAGTTAGTTAGTTAGACGGTAAACTTTATTACTGAGTCAGTTCCTAATATTATTGTTGAGTATTTTCATGTTTCCCAGTAATGGTTATATGATGAGTGTATGACACCTCTTATGAATTGTTGATTCGTCTTTCACACTGATCACTATTTTATGCAGTGATATTTTCTGTTAGTTTCAGATATTCGTGCCGGTTCGTTGGTAAGTGTATACATTTGAACTCCTCCTGATGATGAACTAATTGCGTGTCATATGAATTAAAATTGATCGTATTATTAGTCTGATAAAAGTCCGCTTATATATTTATTGTTCTGTTCAGAATGCATAGAATTATTGTTAAAGTATATTGAGTTTTAATTTGTATTGTTTCCTATTTCAATTGCGACAGGTTATTTCGAATTGGTTGTTTTCAGCATTCGATTGGCGAATGTTGATGGATGTGGTTTTCCATTTGGTGGTTTGTAAAGTGGGATGTGTCCTACGAGTTCATAGTGCCACTCCATTCTGGCTGTCTGTAAAGAGTGTGATAAGAAGAGAATTGTAAGAATGTAAAAGGCAATATGTAATACATTTTTACAAGAAACTAAGTCAGTTCTGAATTGTCTTTACTGACTGTGGGGTTAGTTACAGGGGTTCGTGTCTTCAGACACTCGCATAAATTTGTGAATAAATAGATGTGAATTCAGTTAGTACTGATTGGAACGTAGTGTTTATTCGAAGTGTTGGGGAATTTAGGCGAGAAAGACACACGGATGAGTTTGTGGTCGAGATGTATGACTGAGGAGATAGAGAGACTCAGTGAATTTGGTATGGCTTCCGTCAGGTGTTTGAAATGTTACATGTACAATGTCGACAGTTTTACTGTAGATTGGTTGGGGTTCTAGGCGTAGGTTTTTGCTTTACGTGACCAAGATGTGTATTAATACGTTTTCTCTTATGTGATTTGGTCTGCTCTATTGGACTTGTGGGGGTATGGATATCTGTTAGTTTTTACTGCTGCTAAAATGCTTGTAGTTGGATACTAGCTGACGAACATCTGTCACTTGATGGAAGTCTCCTGGGAATTATGCAGTTTGCTTAGGGAGGTGATAACATAAGTGGATGTTTTGTTGAGACGAGGGATAGTTGGAGTGTTTGATTCCATAATAACCAAGAGACTGGTCGATGGATTTTTCTTGGGTAGAGAAACACCTTAGTTTGTGCGATGTATGAGTTTGTGTATTTAGTGTTCCAACAGAGCATGAAGAACACGGTTTGTAGAGTAGAATGAATTCATTCTATTCAACGGCTTCTCATCAGCTGCATACAAATTAGAATTACAATTCTCAATGTAATTATTAACATTTGTTTATAATACTTTATTTTGTAAAGTTTAGATAAATGTCCGAAACGTAACCGAAATCATAATAGTACGAAGAATAGGTATACAAAATACCAAGTATTTTGTTATATCATTCCATGATAGATCAACACCCTTCCGACGTCACCTCAAATCGCATCTATGAATTTATATTTGCTTGCGGTAGCATGTATACAGGAATGATAGATAGAAGGGTGTGTATTAGGTTTCTGAACACATTCCTAGGATCGTACGACTGAAAGGGAGTAAAGTGTTTACAAGTGCTATTGTCAGACACCTTATGAACAGTGGACACGAGGTGAATGTAAGTAATGGATTCAAAATAATTAACAGACAACAAACACCAAGGTTATTTCGTTTGGCAGAGGTGATTGACATCAAACGTTTCCGACCTGACCTATGTATACAGAAGGGAAGTGTGACTAACCTTCATTTGACATGGTGGTCGGATGTTTATCTAATGACGTTCATTAGTTTTGATTTTTAAATTTTCTTTCCAACTCTGTCCCCAACTTCCTTAGCTTTATTATTCTTGTTGGTGTCCACATATTTGTTTTCTTTTATCATGTTGATTGATTACGCGACCAATTATTAATTTCATTACCTTTACATAGCCTCTTTTACCTTGGTTATGATTACTGGTAATTATAATGCCTACCTTACTCTGAATTATTACAGTCCAACATGTAAATACACATCGATCTTAACTATGTTTATTCATAAATTTTGTATCCGTATTCTTCTTACTATTATGATTTCGGTTACGTTTCGAATATTTGTCTAAACTTCACAAACTAAAGTATTATAAACAAATGTTAATAATTACATTGGGAATTGTAATTCTAATTTGTATGCAGCTGACGAGAAGCCGTTGAATAGAATGAATTCATTTTATCCTGCAAAGCTTGTTGTTCTTGCTCTGTTTAATTGTATCAAGGGATCTGGTTGTATGACATTTAGTGTTTGCTTAGGCTTTTGTGTATGGGAAAGAAGTTGTGATTGATGAGTATGGATATGTGGGACTCCTAGATCGTGTGTTTTGTGACTTGGCTTAATTTGTAGTTCTATGTAAATCGGCATCTAAGTATGTGATACGCTAGCTAACATAGCCTACAGTGGTTGTAGAGATGGGAATACGTGCGAGTGGGATAGGGTGTAGCTGAGGAATTTCCCAAGGGTCGTTTTGTTTTCAGGGATGCTTGACACATTGTCTGCAAGCCTACAGGTGAATTTGGCGACCGTGTGCGTAGTGTGTAGTGTCTTGGCCGACCGATGGTGATGGGTTTTTTGCGGAATCGCTGAGTTTTTGTGGTAAGTCGATGATAATTGTACTTATGTATTGATTGAAATAGGTTTCCTGTGTTCACGATGGTGATCAGTCGTATTTGTTATCAGGAGGTTTTGGTCAGTGTTCGTGGATATTGGTGTGGAAATTCCAGGTTAGTTAGTTAGTTAGTTAGTTAGTTAGTTAGACGGTAAACTTTATTACTGAGTCAGTTCCTAATATTATTGTTGAGTATTTTCATGTTTCCCAGTAATGGTTATATGATGAGTGTATGACACCTCTTATGAATTGTTGATTCGTCTTTCACACTGATCACTATTTTATGCAGTGATATTTTCTGTTAGTTTCAGATATTCGTGCCGGTTCGTTGGTAAGTGTATACATTTGAACTCCTCCTGATGATGAACTAATTGCGTGTCATATGAATTAAAATTGATCGTATTATTAGTCTGATAAAAGTCCGCTTATATATTTATTGTTCTGTTCAGAATGCATAGAATTATTGTTAAAGTATATTGAGTTTTAATTTGTATTGTTTCCTATTTCAATTGCGACAGGTTATTTCGAATTGGTTGTTTTCAGCATTCGATTGGCGAATGTTGATGGATGTGGTTTTCCATTTGGTGGTTTGTAAAGTGGGATGTGTCCTACGAGTTCATAGTGCCACTCCATTCTGGCTGTCTGTAAAGAGTGTGATAAGAAGAGAATTGTAAGAATGTAAAAGGCAATATGTAATACATTTTTACAAGAAACTAAGTCAGTTCTGAATTGTCTTTACTGACTGTGGGGTTAGTTACAGGGGTTCGTGTCTTCAGACACTCGCATAAATTTGTGAATAAATAGATGTGAATTCAGTTAGTACTGATTGGAACGTAGTGTTTATTCGAAGTGTTGGGGAATTTAGGCGAGAAAGACACACGGATGAGTTTGTGGTCGAGATGTATGACTGAGGAGATAGAGAGACTCAGTGAATTTGGTATGGCTTCCGTCAGGTGTTTGAAATGTTACATGTACAATGTCGACAGTTTTACTGTAGATTGGTTGGGGTTCTAGGCGTAGGTTTTTGCTTTACGTGACCAAGATGTGTATTAATACGTTTTCTCTTATGTGATTTGGTCTGCTCTATTGGACTTGTGGGGGTATGGATATCTGTTAGTTTTTACTGCTGCTAAAATGCTTGTAGTTGGATACTAGCTGACGAACATCTGTCACTTGATGGAAGTCTCCTGGGAATTATGCAGTTTGCTTAGGGAGGTGATAACATAAGTGGATGTTTTGTTGAGACGAGGGATAGTTGGAGTGTTTGATTCCATAATAACCAAGAGACTGGTCGATGGATTTTTCTTGGGTAGAGAAACACCTTAGTTTGTGCGATGTATGAGTTTGTGTATTTAGTGTTCCAACAGAGCATGAAGAACACGGTTTGTAGAGTAGAATGAATTCATTCTATTCAACGGCTTCTCATCAGCTGCATACAAATTAGAATTACAATTCTCAATGTAATTATTAACATTTGTTTATAATACTTTATTTTGTAAAGTTTAGATAAATGTCCGAAACGTAACCGAAATCATAATAGTACGAAGAATAGGTATACAAAATACCAAGTATTTTGTTATATCATTCCATGATAGATCAACACCCTTCCGACGTCACCTCAAATCGCATCTATGAATTTATATTTGCTTGCGGTAGCATGTATACAGGAATGATAGATAGAAGGGTGTGTATTAGGTTTCTGAACACATTCCTAGGATCGTACGACTGAAAGGGAGTAAAGTGTTTACAAGTGCTATTGTCAGACACCTTATGAACAGTGGACACGAGGTGAATGTAAGTAATGGATTCAAAATAATTAACAGACAACAAACACCAAGGTTATTTCGTTTGGCAGAGGTGATTGACATCAAACGTTTCCGACCTGACCTATGTATACAGAAGGGAAGTGTGACTAACCTTCATTTGACATGGTGGTCGGATGTTTATCTAATGACGTTCATTAGTTTTGATTTTTAAATTTTCTTTCCAACTCTGTCCCCAACTTCCTTAGCTTTATTATTCTTGTTGGTGTCCACATATTTGTTTTCTTTTATCATGTTGATTGATTACGCGACCAATTATTAATTTCATTACCTTTACATAGCCTCTTTTACCTTGGTTATGATTACTGGTAATTATAATGCCTACCTTACTCTGAATTATTACAGTCCAACATGTAAATACACATCGATCTTAACTATGTTTATTCATAAATTTTGTATCCGTATTCTTCTTACTATTATGATTTCGGTTACGTTTCGAATATTTGTCTAAACTTCACAAACTAAAGTATTATAAACAAATGTTAATAATTACATTGGGAATTGTAATTCTAATTTGTATGCAGCTGACGAGAAGCCGTTGAATAGAATGAATTCATTTTATCCTGCAAAGCTTGTTGTTCTTGCTCTGTTTAATTGTATCAAGGGATCTGGTTGTATGACATTTAGTGTTTGCTTAGGCTTTTGTGTATGGGAAAGAAGTTGTGATTGATGAGTATGGATATGTGGGACTCCTAGATCGTGTGTTTTGTGACTTGGCTTAATTTGTAGTTCTATGTAAATCGGCATCTAAGTATGTGATACGCTAGCTAACATAGCCTACAGTGGTTGTAGAGATGGGAATACGTGCGAGTGGGATAGGGTGTAGCTGAGGAATTTCCCAAGGGTCGTTTTGTTTTCAGGGATGCTTGACACATTGTCTGCAAGCCTACAGGTGAATTTGGCGACCGTGTGCGTAGTGTGTAGTGTCTTGGCCGACCGATGGTGATGGGTTTTTTGCGGAATCGCTGAGTTTTTGTGGTAAGTCGATGATAATTGTACTTATGTATTGATTGAAATAGGTTTCCTGTGTTCACGATGGTGATCAGTCGTATTTGTTATCAGGAGGTTTTGGTCAGTGTTCGTGGATATTGGTGTGGAAATTCCAGGTTAGTTAGTTAGTTAGTTAGTTAGACGGTAAACTTTATTACTGAGTCAGTTCCTAATATTATTGTTGAGTATTTTCATGTTTCCCAGTAATGGTTATATGATGAGTGTATGACACCTCTTATGAATTGTTGATTCGTCTTTCACACTGATCACTATTTTATGCAGTGATATTTTCTGTTAGTTTCAGATATTCGTGCCGGTTCGTTGGTAAGTGTATACATTTGAACTCCTCCTGATGATGAACTAATTGCGTGTCATATGAATTAAAATTGATCGTATTATTAGTCTGATAAAAGTCCGCTTATATATTTATTGTTCTGTTCAGAATGCATAGAATTATTGTTAAAGTATATTGAGTTTTAATTTGTATTGTTTCCTATTTCAATTGCGACAGGTTATTTCGAATTGGTTGTTTTCAGCATTCGATTGGCGAATGTTGATGGATGTGGTTTTCCATTTGGTGGTTTGTAAAGTGGGATGTGTCCTACGAGTTCATAGTGCCACTCCATTCTGGCTGTCTGTAAAGAGTGTGATAAGAAGAGAATTGTAAGAATGTAAAAGGCAATATGTAATACATTTTTACAAGAAACTAAGTCAGTTCTGAATTGTCTTTACTGACTGTGGGGTTAGTTACAGGGGTTCGTGTCTTCAGACACTCGCATAAATTTGTGAATAAATAGATGTGAATTCAGTTAGTACTGATTGGAACGTAGTGTTTATTCGAAGTGTTGGGGAATTTAGGCGAGAAAGACACACGGATGAGTTTGTGGTCGAGATGTATGACTGAGGAGATAGAGAGACTCAGTGAATTTGGTATGGCTTCCGTCAGGTGTTTGAAATGTTACATGTACAATGTCGACAGTTTTACTGTAGATTGGTTGGGGTTCTAGGCGTAGGTTTTTGCTTTACGTGACCAAGATGTGTATTAATACGTTTTCTCTTATGTGATTTGGTCTGCTCTATTGGACTTGTGGGGGTATGGATATCTGTTAGTTTTTACTGCTGCTAAAATGCTTGTAGTTGGATACTAGCTGACGAACATCTGTCACTTGATGGAAGTCTCCTGGGAATTATGCAGTTTGCTTAGGGAGGTGATAACATAAGTGGATGTTTTGTTGAGACGAGGGATAGTTGGAGTGTTTGATTCCATAATAACCAAGAGACTGGTCGATGGATTTTTCTTGGGTAGAGAAACACCTTAGTTTGTGCGATGTATGAGTTTGTGTATTTAGTGTTCCAACAGAGCATGAAGAACACGGTTTGTAGAGTAGAATGAATTCATTCTATTCAACGGCTTCTCATCAGCTGCATACAAATTAGAATTACAATTCTCAATGTAATTATTAACATTTGTTTATAATACTTTATTTTGTAAAGTTTAGATAAATGTCCGAAACGTAACCGAAATCATAATAGTACGAAGAATAGGTATACAAAATACCAAGTATTTTGTTATATCATTCCATGATAGATCAACACCCTTCCGACGTCACCTCAAATCGCATCTATGAATTTATATTTGCTTGCGGTAGCATGTATACAGGAATGATAGATAGAAGGGTGTGTATTAGGTTTCTGAACACATTCCTAGGATCGTACGACTGAAAGGGAGTAAAGTGTTTACAAGTGCTATTGTCAGACACCTTATGAACAGTGGACACGAGGTGAATGTAAGTAATGGATTCAAAATAATTAACAGACAACAAACACCAAGGTTATTTCGTTTGGCAGAGGTGATTGACATCAAACGTTTCCGACCTGACCTATGTATACAGAAGGGAAGTGTGACTAACCTTCATTTGACATGGTGGTCGGATGTTTATCTAATGACGTTCATTAGTTTTGATTTTTAAATTTTCTTTCCAACTCTGTCCCCAACTTCCTTAGCTTTATTATTCTTGTTGGTGTCCACATATTTGTTTTCTTTTATCATGTTGATTGATTACGCGACCAATTATTAATTTCATTACCTTTACATAGCCTCTTTTACCTTGGTTATGATTACTGGTAATTATAATGCCTACCTTACTCTGAATTATTACAGTCCAACATGTAAATACACATCGATCTTAACTATGTTTATTCATAAATTTTGTATCCGTATTCTTCTTACTATTATGATTTCGGTTACGTTTCGAATATTTGTCTAAACTTCACAAACTAAAGTATTATAAACAAATGTTAATAATTACATTGGGAATTGTAATTCTAATTTGTATGCAGCTGACGAGAAGCCGTTGAATAGAATGAATTCATTTTATCCTGCAAAGCTTGTTGTTCTTGCTCTGTTTAATTGTATCAAGGGATCTGGTTGTATGACATTTAGTGTTTGCTTAGGCTTTTGTGTATGGGAAAGAAGTTGTGATTGATGAGTATGGATATGTGGGACTCCTAGATCGTGTGTTTTGTGACTTGGCTTAATTTGTAGTTCTATGTAAATCGGCATTTATGTATGTGATACTGTATGACTTCCTACTTCTTCAATTTTTATCTGTTTTTTTAAAAAAAATATATTTTTGTGTTCGTTTTATGTTCATGATTTTAGTTGTGTTGTTTATTTACTCGACGTTTTCATTTATGTTATATCACGTTTGTCCTTTTTCGAGAATTTCAGTTCCTCGTTTATTATATTTTTTTTGTATTTGAGCTACTCATGTCCTTGTTTTTTATATTGAACATTTCATAGTTTGTACCTTTTAATTCTTATGGATATCTATAATATTTGGGTAAATTGTTTTAAAATTTTAACGTTTTAAACTGTACCTTAACGTTTTTATCTTACTGGGGTATTTTTGTTGATTATCTGCTTTAATTATTAGTTGCTAAATATTTTATTGATGAAAATTAACTTACCTGTATTATTAATTGAGCAATTATTGGTTTTCCATATGAATTCGGTGTGAATGTTATAATCAATGGTGAATTTGTTATATTGGCTTCATTATCTTTATTCATTGGTGGTAAAATTCCTTCTTTAGGTTCAATTGTGTATTCTGTTTGATTTTTAGGGTATAAGCTTGCGATGAATTTTAATGGTTCACTAAAATTTGTAAAGTAATGATTAGAAATTATACGGACATAGCACTTAATAGTTAAATTGTGTTTGAAATATATTTGTATTAAACCAGTTTATAAATAGATTTATAAGTGTACGTTTAGTACATTATTACTGTTTTTATTGATAAAAACGTGAAAGGTTAGCTCTGAGCCAACGTACATCGTGTACTGTCAATGTACTCCATCTATCAAACCAAAATGTTTCAGTTCACAACTTTATAGACAGTCGTCGTTGTCCTCGAAAGTCTGTTCACATCTGGCAATGTAGTTCGACACTGTTGTGGTTTTGAAACGTAGGTAGTGTAGATATCTTCTATAGGTTTCGTTCCAATAACATTCAAACAGTAAATTAGCTACTGACCCCTGGGATAGGAAAATCAAAAATGAATATGATCCCGAAACGTATGAAAAATAGTTGTATTGGACTGACAACTTAGTTTTTTCTTATATTAAAAGTTTAGTTTTATGTATATATAAGCGTAGATTCCAGTTATAACCCAGGAAAGGTCTAAATTTCTATAAGAAATTAGTTAACAAACATTCAACAATTATTTCCGTATAACAAGTAAGCTAATCCAGAATATTATTCTACCACATAAGGTTTCTAAGTGATTTCTAAATAGTTTCCATTTATCAACGAATATTGAAAAACATTCCATCACGAATAAATTCTAGTTTAATATAATCTGTCAAATAATTTGTTGATTGTATGAGTCTGCATTATTTTTATATTCTAGTTAGCGAAAGCTGCTAATTATAAAGTTATTTCCTATTATAAAACTAATCCCTCTTATTAATAATATTATCCTTATAAGTAGGATCTCATCATAATAATTGTTTTGAATATGTATTCTTCACAGTAGCAATTGCATTTTTTAGCGAGTTAGTTTTCTACGGGATGGGGTCACTAACCCCGTGTCCAACCCTCCTCGTTTATCCGGGTTTGGGACCGGCAGTCGTCTCAGAGGAGCTCCAGGCAGTCTATGCTCCATTTGGAGTGACAGGCGTAAGTAAGTACCGTAGCAATAAGGTAAATATTATCACAATTAATGTGTATGTTGTTATGGCTTTGAATAAAATATGATATATCCATTATTTTACTAGTTAAACTGAATTACTGATGACATTAAAAAAATTGTTTGGATTACTTACTCGGTTTGACTAGTTAAATGCAACTGAACTTTAACTGGACGACCAATACCTCTATGAGGAATATAAATTACATCATCAATTGGAGGATCTTTTGCTTTAAAAATTAGTCCAAATTTCCAAATCGCTCCTAGAGACGTTTTTATCATTAAATCTGCGCTGCACCTAAAATTTTCGAGGAAACGATGTTATTGCAAGAGAATTTTCTTTCTTTTAAAGAATAGATGTTGTTGGTATTACTGGAAATAAGAAAACCTAATTCATAATAGTTTAAAAGGGCAAGTGAATAATAACTAATCTTATTTTAAAATAGTCAATAGATTCAGTTCACTTGTGATTCAAGGTTGAAATAATTAAGTAAAAAGTAATTTGTCAGTTATTTCATTCAGCAGTCTAACTAAATATCACTCCATAATTTTGGCTATTAAATAATATGTATATACATTCTAAAAATAATTACAGCCTTCATGCCACCTTACAGGCACGGTCAGCTTGATATAGATAATAATATTAAGTGTGATATTAGATTGTTTAAAGTGTTGTAATTCAAAAGTTTGTTTAGGTAGCACTTTTTTAACACGTATTTCAGCAATGAAAAGCGTCAGCCGCGGACTTCTAATTCTTTTTAAGTGGTCATCTTGTTGATATGTCAACGTTACATTCAATCATTTCTTGTGCCATATAGAATTGATTATAATAATCTACAACTAGAGAAAATACAATGGAAGCGGAGAGCACGGAACAACAAAAACTATAATTACCACAATAGGTCATTCAAGTTATTTTGTAATATACTGTTCGTGTTAGATATTCAAATTTGTTAGGGTTACCAGAGTCGGTGTAAAGTAACAACAGATAAGAAAGTTTACTTTTTTGGTTCAGTAATAAAAACGTTTAAACATTTAAAGTCCTTATAACTTGTGAAGCAAGACATACTCAATGGTCTAAAAACATTTAGAGCATTTGTAGTGATGTTTTTTGTTTTAGTACTACAGCTGCTGTTATTTTCCAAATCTGCTACTTCACGCTTATTTCCTCTGTTGATGTATTAGTGTGAGAAAGTCATTAAGTTATTTAAAACTGGCTAATTGAAATGAGTATATTGGTAACAATTCACGATGGAGTGGTAAAAGGGAAATTAAGTAAATCCACAATTATGAAAAATATTTCTGGTTACATAAAATGCTTTATATCTAAAAACGTGATTATCATTTATGGCTATATGAATGTTTCATATTCAATAATCAGGTCCGAAAATCAACTTCAACTCAATTATAATGAACAGAACAAACTAATCTACACTTTCAATATCGTCCAGGGTTGTTGTTCTCATTATCGTGTTATTTTTTTATATTTTAATTTCAACATTTCTTTAAAATCAGGTCGTACCTTACAATGTTATTTGCTTTTAATTTTGAGCTTTCGTATTCAGGGTTAAGATGAATGCTGATTTGTTCATCCATAATTCCAACCAAAGACAAATAGGTAGGAAAATATATCCAGACATGTGAGTATTTAGACAATGTAGAAAAGAACAATCGATTACTGAATAACATAAATATGTTTATTTCTGGATAACTGTATGTAATTTATTACCCAATGTCCTTTTGTTACGAATTGCTAAGCACGGATAAGCGGGAATCTTATGTAGTATGCAAAAGCAGTTACAAAACGTGCATCGAACAAAATCTCTTAATAGGTTGTTAATGAAGAAAATTGAGTGGGGTATTTGTTAACTGTCTCCACAACTAAAGTGACCAATAATATTTTACTTCAAGCACCCAGCACTCTGATTCAGCTTGAATTTGACCTACCTACCGCATTATTGTATGGCTGTTCTCTAATGTTGTTTGATATATATGGTTATACTATACTTTTCTTCTGATTCACTATTAACTTGATGTTCTCCTATCAGTTATATTTGTTTTAGAAACAGATGAATTATTGAAGATCGAGGTTTACTTGTTTTAGCTGTAGTTCTTACTCCTAGACTGATTCAACAGCTTGAGAGAGGTGATTGTTAGAGAACCTATGGGCGAAATAACTTTTACTGTGGTTAATAATTAATTGTTACCGGAAACAAAAGAGGGGATGGTAAACATGTGCATAACAAACGCCTCAACAAATAAAAGCTGATCACATTAAACAAAATCCATCAATTTTTTTCACTAAGAGACATTATTTTTCCTTTCAGAATTTTTGATTATTACTTGGTCTCGCAACTTCCTTCAGTACATCGTTAAGATTTGTATAGTTTCGTAGTTTGTGATATAAATATTTCTGTTGAAGAGTTCTAGCTAAAGTAATCAGTATGGTGTATTTTGTATTCTCCCCATTCGTAGTTTGTCGTGCAACAAATTACAATAACTAGGTTGTTAGATACCTTTCGAAACACATTAGTCTGATATGTTTTCGTTACAGTCAATGGCTTCATATATGTCATCAACTGCTTGTAAGTCAGTGTTAAATAAAGAAATACATCAGTCGATGTAATTAACAATGTATATACTGAATTCCTAACGAAAGCTAGAAAGTAATCATTTATATAAATAAACGATCACATGAAACTAGACTTATAATATGTTCGAGATTTATATGTTTGGAAAGTACGTCAAATCTAGCAATGGGATTTCTTAGACAAGAGTTTAGAATCTCATGGAATGTATGTGTCCTGTCTCTGAAACTCCACACTAAGGACGTGATCAGCACGGTTAGCGAATCCTGTATTTTGAAGTTCGTGAGTAAATTTCCGTAGTTTCGCTGGTGAACGTATAAAACAAATTTGAAATCGTACTGAACACCTGTGCATCGAATTGAATTCGACAGTTCTTTGAGTGTTATTGAAGATGATTTTAAGGTTCAAGTAGCTCGACATAGTTAAGCTAAAAATCGTAGACAGAGTTTTTAATGTTACTGAAACTACTCTTAGCGAGTACTAATCTTAATTACAATGAAAGACACTATATGATTTAGATATTTCATAGATAGATCTAATGATGGAAACAAACCATACTGTTACCAGTTATGATCAGAGCATATCAATAAGAGACTGCTGATAACTGTATCACTCTTGTATCTAGTCTTTTCTGGACTCACAATTCTTGCAGTTTAAAAAACCTTTCGAACTTGGTTATAAAATGAAAGTGTCGAGATTGTATTTATGGAAGATCTAGTTAGGAGTAAAATAAAGATGTGCCAGACATGATATACAATCAGCACTATAGACCATACTGAAGTCCATTAATTGCTTAAAAAGAGAAAGATTGGGGGAAGATTATTCTACCTTGAAAGCATCTAATAAATTGATTAGAACTTAAAAACCCAAACAATCCATGAATGCTTTAATAAGTTAATGAAGCCTAAATTAACTTCACCTAATGGATAAAAAACCTAGTACATATTTACAATTTGTGATTTCACGTTCACATGTTCTTAGATTTCAAAATATTTTATCATTCTATTAATTTTAGATTGGGGTCATGAACTGATCGATGTTAGACCACCATTCAAACCTGGAAGCACTGGATGGCCGTTTCGTTCTGGGTTGGAATCCCACGAGCGGGATCGTGGATGCGCACTGCTGAGGGGTCCTACAATAGGACGAAGTGGCCGTCTAGTGCTTTCAGGTTTCAATGGTGGTCTAACATCGATCGGTCCATGATCTCAATCTAAAACTTAATAATTCTCCACAACCCCTGTACTAATCATTCTATTAATAACAATTTCAATAGTTGAAATCATAGATCAACTAAAGCTAGACCACCATGGAAAACCTAGAAGCACTGAACGGCCGTCTCATCCTAGTATGGGACTCCTCAGCAATGCGCATCCACGACCCCGCCCCCCCACGTGATTCGAACCCAAGACCTATTAGTCTCGCGCACGAGCGCTTAACCAACTAGACCGCTGAGCTGGCCGGCATCCAACAGTGTTACTGTCTAACTTCAACCAATCCACAAAAATGTGCCACCGTACACCATTGTCTTCAGTGAGCTGATATCTCACAACAGACCTAGTTGAACTCTACTGGTCCTATACTAGAACGAAACGGCTATCCAGTGCTTCTAGGTTTTCCATGGTGGTCAAACTTCAATTGAATCATAATTACAATTACTAGAATTGCCTAAACTCTCCATAAAAATCTTTCTAATAATAAAAATTTATATATTTTGATTATTATAAATTAACTTACTTAAATGAAAGCATCGGTGAAAATATCATACCTAATTTAATTTCTGTTATTTCTAAATCATCCAATTTTTTTATTTGAAATAATTTAATTATTAATGAATTAGTTAAAATTTTATTTAAATCAATTAATTTAATTAATTGTTCATTAGTTTTTTTAATAATTGGTTTTATTATCCATTCTAAATTGTTGATTTTTATATTATCCCATATTGAATATTGATTACATAATGATAATAATGATTCATTAATTTTATTATTAAATATTTTTTCATGAAATAACTTTTTATCTTCTTCTGATTGTATAATTTGTATTTCAATATCTTTTATATTTTCATTATGTGTTAAATGACTTTCTGTATATATAAATGTATTTAATAATCTTAGTGTTATGATAAAATATGATTTTGATCGTACGGTTCCATTAATAATTATTGATGATGTAGTATTATTATTATGATATGGATTATATGATATAGAAAATTCTTTAGAAGATGGATATGATAATGATTTCATTTCAGGAATACCCTTAAAAAAAAGAAAGTAATTATATTTCATTGAAATCATTAGTTCATTGAAGCTAGACCACCATGGAAAACCTGGAGTCACTGGATGGCCGTTTCGCCCTGGTTTAGGACTTCTCAGCAGTGCGCATCCACGATCCTGCACCCCGCGGGACTCGAACCAAGGACCTATCAGTCTCGCGCCAGGCGTTTAACCAACTAGACATTTAAGCCGGCATCCATTGGTGTTAATGTCTGACCTCAACCAATCCACCAAATTGCGTGACCATCTTCCATTGTACTGAGGTAGACACCTGTTTCTACCCGACACGGATGAGCTCCATTGGTCACGTGATAGCATTACACCCGATAGATTCGGGTCATACATCAGTTATCTTATCTGAATATGCTAAACAATTGGCTGGAACATTGAAATAACACAAACTTTCAATTACAAATACATTCTTCCTCTTTGAATTCATTCTTTTATCTTGTTTATTTATTTTCTTCATTTTATGCATGCTGTGACATTTTTGATTCATAGCACATACAAAAATTATATGTAGTCTTAATATTCACCGACCGAAGACAATATATAGTGAATGAAATATCCTCTTCTGACTTACGTATACACACAATCTGTTATCTTAACACTTTTCGTTTCACACCACGTGTCTGTAACACGCTGATGTAAATACCTCCTTTAAACATTGTTAACGTTGATCGGATGATCTGTTGAGTATACAGTAAACCAGAGAACCATGTATCTATTTATATTCGATAATTTTGTTGTTTGATTATATTTTCCTTGAAAAAGCTTGGACCAGATTGCCAGGCGAAACGTTGAATTTACTTCAAATTCTTTCGCTGAGATTTTACAAATACATTCCACCTCTTTAATGTCTCACATCAACTCGGTTCCCAAATACTGCGAAACTATTTAATCAAATTTAAACGATAGTTCTTATTTATGTGTAGTTAGGATTAGTTTGAAGATAATTTTCGTCGTACAAGTTGACATATTAACTAGATAATCATATTGATCAAGACTCTAGCTCTGATTTGAAGTTAGAAATATGTACTACTTTATTCTAACTCAATAATTTGAAGATGTTGTTCTCTTAGATAATGGTAGGTTGTAAGTTTGATCCTATATAGTAGCAGGAAATCACTGTGATGAGATGAATAAACTTTGAGGTTGTAAAATTGTTCGGTATTTTTTTCTACTTAAGTTCAATTTTAATAAGTTATTTTCAAAGAATGCTGATAAAATAGTGCGATTCGTGGAGCTTAGCTATTACTCGCTAATAATTCAAGGAAGTTAATGGATGATCGGATTGATTATCAACTCTGTGAAGTACGAAAGGCTAAGGATTAAAGATACATACTGCATAATGAGATGTGATATTGTGATTATAAAACTTTGTAGATAAAAATAATGAATGAGTGTAGAGTTTGATTATTGGATGAAAGATATATTCAATCAGTAATTCGGTAATTAGAAGATTTAAAAATGGAAATTACGGTAAAATTACTTTTCAAGTAATTTATAATATCAGAAGGGGTTTTGTGGAGATTTTAGAAATTTCACTATTTGAAATCATCAGTCAATTGAAGCTAGACCACCACTTAGAAGCACTGAACAGCCGTTTCGTCCCAGTGCGGGACTCCTCAGCAGTGCGCATCCACGGTCCCGCCCTCCCCCCGCGAGGTTCGAATAATAACTTAAATAACAAACAAAATATTAAAGATGTTTTTTGTAAATCAAGCATTACGTGATTATTATGCGTTTATCCAGATTACTAAAGTAGCATATTGATAATTAATGTATTGTATGCTAAAATACTTTATTCTCTCTTAATTTTATTATCAACAATTTTATTCAGTCTTTCTCAAATTTAATTGTCATATTTTTGAATATATTCCTTATTGTTACAATTATAAAACACAAATAGTTCTGCTTATTAAAATTATAGAAATTGTGTACATTCATTATAACTTACTTTAATTGGAATTAGCCAACGTACGGAAGAAGATGATGATGACTTTATTGATTTACTTGATTTACATTTACCAGAATTTGACTTATGCATAATAACTGTGCAAAGTGCTTCATGTTCTCTCATTTCCAGCGGAGCGAATGATATAGGTATATCAAAAACTGTTTTACTTGACAGACGTATATTTCTATTAGAGAAAGAGAGAGGATAATGGAACACTAATGGATTTAAAACAGTTAACGTCTTATTCATATATAGTATGTCAAGGTTTTATATCTCCGTAATAGTAATTCTTACTAATTCACTGATTCATTAATTATTCTGGGGTATAATTATAGCGATTGAACACTCAGGTGCGGAATAACAATTTACTGTTGAATGCAGGATTACATAGTGCTTTGGTAAAATATGAAAACCATACATTACGAACTTCATTTGCACATCTTTCATCAATTGTCTCCTGTTTTTATTACAATTACTCTCTGTTTATATTCTTGTTCTCTTCAGTTAGATCTTCTCAACCTTCAACTACCAGGGATTCTATTCTGATAAGTGTTACATACTACTTGTCCGTTGACGTAAGTAACATACAACACATAATTAGTTTTTGTTAATTGATTCATTTCAATTTTTTATTAATCCAACCAAACTATCATCATCACTGTGTATATATCACTAGTTTGAATACATAGAAATCACTTTTAACGCGAAATTATCAAGTGATTTGTTTTAAACTTGATAGCTTTGAAACAATCTGTTTTCCTTTTTGAATAGACAAAACAGTAATGATCATTTTCCTGAAACTAATGAATTTAAGTATATTGAACTTTGATAATTCCACTTTTAGAGAAATTACTGAAATACGTTTTTCTCTAACTCAGCGTCCTTTTAACAGTCTTAAATGTCAACTTATTTTAGAACAGTTAAGTTTACGGAGTTATATAATTATGCTAGAGTTTTACTATTCAACCATCAAATTTAGAGAATTTGAATGTTAGGACGAATAAACGTAATTGTTCGTGATACTTGGCCATGTGATAACACAATCACTCAAATCCGATCTTTCAACAGAGAATCAGATATAAACCAGAACAAGAGTTTATTAACAGACAATATAAATCAACCAATGAGTGGAATACAAGATAGTCTCTAATATTTAGTGTAGTTGAATACATATCTTCAACTATCGAAGCATCATGGTGCACTATGACTGGGCATATGAATAACATTACCGAAATTATCTACGTGAACTACACATTGCAATCATTTCATGTATCGACTTAGTAGAATTTTCTGACTGTCTTCTGCAAATTTAGTTGTCCTACGCAAAAAATGTTTGTAAAATGGTAAAGTTTACAGTTACGCTTAAGCTAATGATAATTATGAGATTTAGTAGCCATTGTAAGTCAGATGCATGAAAACAATCAAAAGTAATATAAGAAAGCTAGTATTTTATTAAAAATACTTAAAAACAGTCAACGAATAGGTTATTATATCACAGAGTTATAAAGGGAACAGTTTCAAGATAATACTAACTTTTGTAAAGCAAATTGCATCGCATTGTTAAATGAAATTCAAATTAATACATGTTTACATTCATCTAAACTTGATGAGATATCGAGTTTTATCTGTTTAAACTGGTAGAAATGATAGTTTACCCATAGTTTGTGAGGGATCTCTGTTATATTTGGTCGTCGCTGATTGTTGTGCCGGAAAAAACGCTAATCACGTATACTCGGAATGAGGGACCTCGGCAATTCCCACGACGCGAAAGTAAGAACACAAGACTGGTATAAGTGAAGATGTATTAGCCCAAACACTATGACAACGACGAATCGAATATAGTCTAAAATACACTGGTTTATATATTGGTTGTACACCCATTTTGATTAATAATTAGGATTACATCACATACTCAGTTATAACAAATCACTTACTGAGCATAGTTCATGTCAAGTGAATGCAAGAATATCCTATACAGGAGAAAATATTATACTGGGAAAACAATCAAATACTACACTAAATGATCCTCATGTTGAATCAAAACGGATGTAATGTTGAACATAACTCATAATGAGTAATTCAATCGAAAATTGACTTTTTTTTCATCATATCAAGCAATAATTAATCTACTGGGTATAACTCGGGTCCTAACAATCTCGATGCTCAATTTTACAGAAAGTGTTCTGTAATCTTTAAGGTTTGATTGTTATTCACAGGCATAAGTCAGATAACACACCTAAACAGAATCATATTTAACACGTGACTGTTAGGTATTTTGGCCAGATCACACAACATAGGGAAAAAGTTGTTTTTTGAAATCACAATTTATTTCTCTCAATGATCTATTAAACATACAGTTATCATGATATGACTACTGAATGTGTTGTCCTAATATATTCATTTTGGAGCGGCAGTATAATATTTTAGCTAACTAACATACAGTAACATGCTTTCAGTTTCATTTCTTAATGTTCAAATAACATTAATTTAGATCTTGAAAGTAGATAGTTTAACAGAGGGAGCGTTTTCATTGATAACAATAATAGATTTACATGAAATTTCCAGAATGTAGTACAGTATGGAAGTAAAATATAAAAAAAATTAGAATGGTATTGAATCCATGTCCCCGTATTACTTTTACTTAAAGAAAAAACGATGAACCACTACAATTTCTATGACGCAAAGTCAGCACACGAAAGACTCTTTCTTTACTCCAAAACACGAAAACCCTAATCGAAAATACACTCGTTTATGTAGTGATTTCTAAACTCGATTGTTAATTGAAAAAAGAAACAAAGAAAATCACATTAAAAATGAAATCAATCTTAGGTTGAGTAAATTATTACACTGAAAGTAGAACAAACATTATTATGAGCAGTTATCAAACAGAATTAAAGAAGGGAAGTGATGTTCAGCAACAGTCAAACGCCTTTTTTTACTCCGACATATCAAATAGTCAAACTGTAATCAAATGAGTTTGGGAAATGTTCATATTTTAGAAGGACATTAATGAAATTAGTGTATTAGGTGATGCTATACAGCTCCTACAATATTCAGGTTTGTATTCTTTTATATGTACTTTTGATTGTATACAAGACTATTTTGTGCCGGTTTTTAAGGTATACTCATTTTTCTGCAAACCTTGGTTAGCGAAATGTTTGATTAGAAATCTAATTGTATCGTACTTAGTCTTTCAAACTGGTAAGTATCCAATAAGACATCCTCATTATATATTTCTTAATGAAAGATAGTGTTGAGTAGAAATTAATTCGTTATAGCGTTTATCAACTGTATGTAATAATCAGAGCCAAACTATGACAGTTCTAGACATATTTCATTTACAAGTACGGTGTAACTATCTGATCATTCAGTTATTCACAAAATCTAAAACTTTTTCAGATTTGTTTATCTCGTACCGCTTGTTTTACTTTAGACTCAATTATCATTAATCGTAATTTGTTAATCACTTTTTATTCAATTACAAATTCGATGTCATCAAGAAACTTCCATCAAAATAAACCTATTAATTACTTGTGTATAGATCATAAACTAAATGTTTTATTCCATACAACTAATCATCAAGTCATTTACAATACAAAAATTAATTTGTCACTTAAGATAAATTGCACCGAAGATATTTTTAATTACCCTTAAAACGAAATGAATCTTATTTTATAAACAATTTAGTTTAATCACTAAGTACTATCATAGAAAACTATGTCAAGTTATGAAAACTATATTTGAAATAATCTCGGTGATTGAAATATAAAATAATTCCAATGTTTCGTCCAGCAAACGTGTCTGGACTTCTTCAGGGTAATAATCATAATCAAAATCATCAAAGAAATACATAACGTTTTAACAATCAAATCTATTCTTTGTTAATCCAATCATACAGTTTATGTGGAAGAAATATTCAGACAGTTGAATGTAAGGTTGAAGGAACACAAACAGTATTTGAAAAATGTTCCCAACTCCTCAGTCAACCTAAAGAAACTTGAGAATAAGTCTGTGATAGCGTTACATACGTTGGAAAAAGGACACAAAACCAATTTCGAAGGGACCAAAATACTTCAGAAAGGTTTGAACACTCAGAAAGTAAGACAAAGCAGAAGCGCTATATATATGAGCGAATAAGAACAGCCTGAACCGAAAGTGTGGTATTCAACTATCTACTACTTGACAAAAATTCGTTGACGAGTAATTGGACCCTTTCTTTATTCAGCCTGTTTATTTTACATGCATCGTTATTTTGACTGAAATTAATGTGAATTATTTCTAGCAATACCATTTTGATTTGATGATTCTCATCTTTCCTTGCACTTCAATGTATCAGAAACAATTTTCTTCAACCTTCAATTTACACTTTTATTTTTCCTTCATATAACACTGAATATCATTCATTAGTAACTCAATCTTACACATACATGCACACACAATTCGTTCAGTCATTTATTTTCACATAGTCAACTTTCCACATATTTCGCATTTAACTTACTCACGTTATCCTATTCACTAAAAATCAACATTCAAATATGATTGGATTAGCACAGTGTAGATTTGATCTGATTTGATTGTTAAACCCTATATATATTTTTGATGATTTTGATTATTATTATTATTACCCTGAAGAAATCCAGACACGTTTACTGGACGAAACGTTGGAATTATTTTAAATTCCAATCACCGAGATTATTTCAAATATAATTTTCACATATAATGACTTCTCTATACTCAGGGCCAATTATTGTCAAACTATTCGTTCTAATTTTAACGAATATTCATATATGTAAACTCGGCTTTCAAGTGATGACTTTATATAACAATTTAAGTCTCCACTCTTTTTTAATGGTCATCGAAAACAACCTTTGACCGAATATTACACTTGTCGCCGACGATAGATGAAAAGCAGTAAATATAACTTTATTCTATGATACATTAGTTAAACCTGACCCTAATATTGAAAAATGCAACTATATGATGAGTTAGCAGTATGGGTCTTATGAAGATTGTTCAATGTTATTGTGATTAAGAAATAACCTGTGTTAGACAATCACTGAAAACATTGGATAGCCGGATAGCCGTTTGTCCTAGTATGAGACATACACTGTCGGGCAGTCTCATTTTAGGATAAAACATATGTCTGGGGTTCTCGGGTTTTGAATGGTTCTTTAACTTGAGCCAGTTCATAGTCTAAGTAGAATGAGTTATTGATTATTTTAGTATACAAATTCATCATTTATTTAGATTTATTTGAGACTAATAATTATCGCATATGTGATATACATAAACTAAAAGAATCAAATACTTTCTCACTTTTTCTCTTTTATTAAAAGTTGAAAAGCTGAATAGATATTTGTATTGCCTGGATTCGTTGATAAACTCTTACTATACGGTTGATTATTTTCATCACAATTACATTCATTTGGTTCCATTAGTTGATCACTAAACTCTTCATTATTATTGTTATGATTATCAACTGAAGATGAGTTGATTGATTTATTGTCCGACTGATTTTTAAGTATAGAATTACGTGTATCTTCCAAATGCTTGAATAGACCAGATAAAGTGGTTTCACATAAACTTATATCCAATACAGTGTCATATTTGAACGGATTTGTAATCGGCACTATTAATGTGGTGGCTGAACCAATCATAACTGATACACTGACAGGATCTCTTGGTTGTGGTGCAACACCATTACCATGCAAATTAAAACACCATTCTGTTAACTAAATATTATAAAGAAAATGAATATTGAAAAATTGACCAAAGAATTATCCACAGAGAAGTAAAATCAGACAGATACCTATTTTTTATAATCAGAATTAAAGCAAAATTCTTTTTGCGGGATAGTTTCTTCGAGGTCCTATCATAGTGAGCAGGTCAGTGGAATAATAACCGTAGCAAATTTAGAAATAAAGTCGGATCATGAGGTGTATTTTATAAATGACTACACCTTTAGAGTTGCTGCTATCTTACTGGCTGAAATCTCTCGATACTAGTAGTAAGGTTTACGAAGTATCAAACCAACTCTAAAACACCGAAAACTATCATAACAAAGTTTTATGTGACCGGCTTCAAGCTTCTGTATGGTAGGCCCTACGAACACATTTCTATATTAATCAAACTACCAAAAATATTCCAGTCTTCTAGTCACATTCTCAAAGAAAAAGTTTAATTTTGATGGCACTGATGGTCTAGAAGTGACAATGATCCGAATATCCCTAGCAGTAATCCAGTTCATCATATCAGCCTTTCTCCTTGCCCAGATTTTTTATATCTGAAATTATTGTAATACAAGGGTTTGAACTTACGAAATACTACAACTGGTTTCTTCAGACAACATCCCAAACTACACGTTGTACCGAAGATTTCAAAGTCTCATAACACAGGAAACAGTTGTATCTATCTACATGACCTCATCTAACCAGTTTGGTAAACTAACTTATACCATCTTTTGGGAATCTAGATACTAAGGTAAATTCTCGTTGTCTTACAAGCGTAGGCGTAGAGCTAAGTTTCAAATCAGAACTTGATTTTAATCTACCGTTTCTTGAGTGCTGTTTCATTTAATGGGACAGTTAGAATTCGGCGTTGTTTATACTTCCTTTCTGAAGCAAAATGTTTTTCATCGAAAGTTATTCAAGATCTTACAATGTTCTAGGCTTTCATATCTAGTTAGTGTGGCAGTCTTATTCAGATCCCATGCAATTGCTTTAAGTAGAAAAAGATACTTATTATGGCCCTGTAATATCTAAGGTCAGATAATTGGGACTTTGTTTAATCTATGCCCTGATACCTATTTAGCAAATCGGAACAACAGGCACAAAAAGAGAGAAATACTTTAATCTAGCAAGCTCCAGCACAGATAGATCAAGTCTTCAGTCATTCCTGGAGAAGTTTATTAAGAGATTATGGTTCTTTCTTGATCAAATTAGAACTTCAATTATAACTTTATGGGAGTTTATCTGAATCTTCGATTTATTAATCTGATAATGGCAATTTATCTCGGAAATACAAATGTCAGTGCTATATTTAATAAGCTAACGAGATCTTTAGTGCAGTATGAAGAGGATTTTCATTTTAAGATAGCATAGAATGATGTCCAGTTCGCTGCAGTAACATTCATTGATAACATCCGGCTAAAAATAAGGAAACGCTAGTGTGGAGGTTTCAAACTAGCTTTGAGTTTAATAATTTCCTTATCAATCATGTGCCTAATTTGTAACTGATGAATATACTAAGAATTCTATATAGATAGTGATCTGTTAAGTACTTGGATACAGCCGGCAGGAAATCTTAGACATAAGTCCCATTATTGTTTCCACTCTTCAACAAAGAATGTCTATAATCTTCAGGGAACTGATGCCATCTATAAGATTCAAATCGGAGTCACTCAGCTTCTGGGTCTGAAGCGTAATCACTGAACTATTTGTTCCATGTCTTAATTGCTGTAGTACCCATGTACTTACAATATGCTGATCGCTGTATAGCAACCAAAGTTATTTTTATCTGGTTTTTAGTACTGAAAAAATGTTCTGTTTATCTGGTTGCATTGTGGCCACTAATTGACATCATATGCTCTATGATTTGATGTTTGGCCACATTGCAATTAAATTGACAAAATGCTAGATAAACATGAACTTGTTTACAACGCAGTGATTGATTAATATACAAACTAAAACGAATACCAGATTTTTTTGAAGAAAAAAATGTAAGTCAAACTTAAAAGTGATTTGATTGAACATACTTTTTCTGAATAAAACACAATTGATCCTTCATGTTCCTCTTTACCAATAGCACATGGAGTGAATTTCAATCCAAGATATAATTTAGATTTTGGTTTTAATTTAATTATTCTTTCTGTAGTATGTAAACCGGTACTTCGATTTGTTAATAACATACGTGAAGAATTATTTTCCATTTCATTTATATCTAATATATCATTATCAGAATATTGACATAATGTTGACATCTGTAAGTGTGAATGATGTTGTTCATCTAATTCTGTAGTTATTGATGGTGATAAACAAGCAAGTTGTTTAGCTGATGTTGATAATTGTAATTTGAAAACATCTGAATTAAATATTTTTGGTTTTAAAATGTACAGCTCTTCTGTTGGATTATCTAATAATATTTTGGTGATTTTTGAGCTATAAAATTTTAATAAAATAAAACAAACAATACTTTGATTAAATTTAATAAGTCATAATTCAGTGTAGGTAAAGTTAATTTTGACACAACACATTAATTCAATACAGGTTTATACAATCAACTTAAAGGGGTTTTATAGAAATTTTAAAAAGTTCAATAGTTGAAATCATGAGTCAATTGAAGCTAGATCACTATGGAAAGCCTGAAAGCACTGGATGGCCGTTTCATCCTAGTATGGGACTCCTCAAGGGTGCGCAACCACGATCCCGCCCAGCCCCCCGAGATTCGAACACAGGACCTATCAGTCTTGCGCCAGACGTTTAACCAACTAGACCACTGAGCTGGCCGACATCCAACGGTGTTAATGTCCAACGTCAACCACTTCATGAAGTTGCACCACCGTATGCCATTGTCTTCAGTGAGTTGATATCTCACAACAGACCTGGTTTGAATCTCGCAGGGTACGGGACCGTGGATGCGCACTGCTGAGGAGTTCCCATACCATGACGAAACGGCCGTCCAGTGCTTTCCATGGTGGTCTGGCTTCAACTGAATCATGATTTCAATCAGTGACATTTCATTTTTATTGTTATATAAATATTTTTCAGAATAAAACGATAGAAGTTACTCTATTATAGATTGAAGGTCCTGGGTTGCAGTCCCGTATGTGGGACTATGGATGCGCACTGATGATGAGTCCCATACTAGGACAAAACAACTATCCCGTGCCTCCATATTTTGAGTATTGATCTAACATTAGTCAGTCTATGATCTCAATAAATTAAATAGAAATACTTTTATTACGTTCTTTGTTGTTTTTTTTCTCATTAATAGGTATGTGCATTCAAATATTACTAAATGGTGTAGACCAAAAACTTATCAGAGTTTATATATTTATGTGATAATGGTGTTTGGTTATAGAGATGAACTAGTGAAAGATGCTGTATCTGAGTGTGAATATTAAACATATCCTCAACTTAGAATTTCAGTATAATACTTAGTGAGTTACATATAACTCCATGAGCTGATTATGATTGATGAAGTATGTATCCTTGATAACTTCATTTAAACTCTTGAGACATTATTACAACATAGTAGTCAGAATTTCATACGATTAGTATTGTGATTGTTACAACTCATGGAAGGGCCCACCGGCATTCTCCGTCGAACTCTGTCCTAGGCCATAACATCGACTAAAATTTATTGAGTTTTATAAACATTGAAAACTTATCAGTTGTTTTATTTTTATTCAAAACCTATAAACTGATATCATCCAAGTAGTTATAAACCATTTGCAAGATAAGATTAGTGACTGATATTTACGAAATTATGTAGTAAACAAATCATTAGAATAGCTATGTAACATAGTAAACATGCAAAAAATAATAAAGTAATCATTATTTATTTCGAATTGATTACCTTCCTAATTCAGCTTCAATAATTGGTACGTTGACAACTTTTGGTTTGATGGCTTTTATTATTAATTCAATCCAAAATTCCCCACAGTTTGGATTGTAAAAAATGACACTGGATAAAAAAGAAATAGAATAATACATTAAGACAAACGGTTGTTTTGTTTCTGTAAATTGTATCTTATTAGTAACGATTCAGTTGTTGATACGTTGAGAATAATTACACATCTTACAAGTAGTCATAAGAATTTACATTTTTCACATTTTAATACAGAAGAGTAATAACCGAATGATCTTAATCAGTATGAAAGTTGAGCGAGCAGTGAAGAATATGGAACCCTGAAAGTTATTCTTTGTAAATTCAGTACATGTATAAATTAACGTGTATATATGTAACTGATTTGTGGTGTTTTCATATTGTCCCAATTCTATATGTTTATTTGACTTATACTACTGGTAAAATATATAGTAACATCTATTATTACAGTAAATTATTTATAAACCCGTTATTTAGATTTATATCATAAATATCCTGGTTCGACACATATTGAGATATGTTATGTGTGATGAATTATAGTCTTTTAATTTATCTAATTAGTTACATTGGTTTTGAAGTCTGAACTAAGAAAGATATTCAACTAACTTTCTAGTATTTGAACTGGTAGATTAAGAATAAGTGAGTATTTCGAACGGGCAATCGAAAGTTAGAATATTCAGTAGCTGTTTTAGTGAACTTATATTTTGTGCATGTAAGCAAAAAGCTATAGCATTATGATCTTAACTATCAGAAGAAGCTGTCCTGAAATTTAGTGTTTTAAATTGTTCAGTGTTTAGATCACTGATAATTAGAACACTTTGTTGACATTTGAAAACAATTGTTCAAGTACTGATAAACTGATGAACTTACGTTGAATTACTAGTTCCAATAATAGATGGAATACAATTCAGTTGATAAATTGATGAAAGTTTTCCAGAATTGTCAACAGAAGTTACACAATGTGTTTTCGGACCAATTAAACATTTATCTTCAATAATTACATCAAATTCAATTGTTTGACTATTTTTAAATAATTCTGATTGTATAGTAAATGGTAATTCAACTGTTTTGGAACTAAGACATGGACAGATAATTTCAATTTGTTTAATAGGTGGGCCTTTAAACAAAATAAAAATAATGAGCATAATTAATCGGTTATTGTTTTATAGTGATAAGCTTGACGATACAAACTAGATAACTAAGACTGGAAATATCACATGAACAAACAAACTTTGTCTCTATTTTACCTTAATCTAAAACTGCTGTCAGGAATTTAATATCTAAATAGAACCAACTGTTTTTACTATATAGAAAAATGTATCCACTAATCACTCTAGTTTCACGACAATCTCAGTCATTCAGCTACAACGTAGGATCAGGCACATACATGCATCGGTCCAAGTTGCCATATCTCATTAGCAAAACATGATGAACACCGAATTCATAGAAGTAGTTAATTCAATATTGGTAACATATAAAAGAAAGAATGCATATAAGGATATAATACAGGAATAAAGAATTAGTTGGCAGAAAGAAAGATATAAAGCAGTTATAATCTCAAAGTTTGAGGGAATACAGAGAGTGTGTACACCGACGCCATTGTGATCGATTCTGAGTCATATCACACAGTTTCTAACCCATGGTTACGATAATCACGCGGACCCCAGCCAAGTAGTCTACATCTACCAACATGGCTCAAACTAGAAGTTAGTGACTTCAGGGACTGGTGCCACGTTTTGGTTTAGTGCCCCCTAACATTCTTCTAATCATCCCCAACACACCAATCTAATTGGTAATTCATATGAAATTACATCATACTCATCTCATTTGTAGCCATAAAAGTGATAATGAATTTCAACTTAATTAATGTCATCATTATGATAGAAATTATTTTATATACAAAACTTCACTTCATAAATCAAGTTATACAGGATAATTTATACTGTTGTGCAATGTATAATACGTTCATTTTCTGATAAGTCACCAATAATAAGTTATTTTCGTATTTTGTTATTAGACTATGAGTAATTCTTGTAATATTTGATACATTAGGTTGATAGTAGTTTACACTAACTTCAGACCAGTTTTATTCTTATGAAAGTATTATACCATTCATTAGTAATGCTTATATGTAAATATTATTAATTATGATTAACTGAAGAGAACGTAACCACATAAAAAAGAATATGAAAATAATGTGCTAATTTTAAAATTTGATAATACTTATTGCAAAGCATGAAGATTTTAAGTTTAATCACTGGTGTAATTGTGGGTGAGAACTACTGAGGATGAGAATGTTACTGAATGTTCCCTAGTTTTAAATAATTATCCGGTTTGAATATGTTAGAGATGTAAGCTATCTTAAGCAAAATGAGTTTCTGTAGTCCTTTTATTAATACATTACTGTAAAAACTCTGTTAATCTATTAGTGATAATTCTGTTGAAAAGATCAATTTCTCCGGAAGGATAAACATATCAGAGGAAAAAGTATGAGAGAAAATGAGTAGAAAAATTTAATTTGATAGGCTTATTTCAGTGGAGATCAGAGGTTAGTACAACTTCAGCTGAATTATGCATGGTTTATGTTTTATGTTCTTTTCAGATCGTCTTTATAGCACAGTGAAATATCTGTTAACACTGATGACTTTAACATGTTTAACATGTTACATTAACCTTTTACTTTATTATTTTTTTTGAAATCACTAGCTGTTAGACATAAATGTTAACTAAATATATTGTGATATTTTTTAATGATCATCATCATAGCCAAATAGCATTCAATGATCTTCTTGGTTTTCAATAATATTTTTAACTTAGGCTGATCCTTAATGAGAAACTTTTTTAAAAATTTTTAGTCTGATTCAAATACAACTTTAAACAGAAAGAGAATGTGAAGGTGATTTTCTTTATGAATCGATAGCAGATAGGGCTTCATTAACAATAAGACTGAAGAACTGTTTCACTTTGTATTGGGGAGTTATAAACTTGTACAAGATCAAACTTGGAGATTCATATTCATATGATGAGCAGTTGATCTATAAATCATCTAATCGAATTATAATGGTCTATATTTTCATCTCTACAACAAACTACATTTCTTTGTCATTGTGTTAAAAATTAACTTCAAATAATACAAAAGTATCTGATTTATTACCAATCAAGGTGTTATATCCCGATAAGAATAATGAATGGTAACTTTTGGGATCCGTCTATGGACCAATACTATGAGTATATTTTTATCGTATAATTGTTATGTAACTAAACTGTCCATATTCATGTCCCTCTTATTATAAGCTTTAATTTGACACATAGACTATTACTATACGATTTACCATTCTTGAGTTATGGCCTGTCTATTAATTACTATCTCCCTTATTCACAACCACTCTGGGTCAAATATTGTACATATGTTATTTTCTATTTTATGGTACGCTGTGGTCTGTTTGATTGGTATATAAGCCCCGTATGTTTGAAATAAATGATTCATACTGCAGAGGCTGAGATTGGTGTTCTGGACTCAACTGGTTGGGCTAGACAAGGAAGCAAGGCCAATCAGGACTCTAGGCTGATCACACGTGTTTATGTATCACTGGTTCAATCGATAATTCGCTGCTCTCTGACTGGCGGTATTGTTGCGTCATCCAACATACAGGGCACACAGGTTCACAAGTTATAACACAAGGTATGTCAATATTTAAAGCGAGTTTCTAATTTATTCGTTAATTCATCATAAAAATGTTCAATTACCTGGTTTAATATTAATTTCTACTTCATACCAAAGTCGATAAACTGGATTCGAATTTTCATCCAATTCGCTTATTGTTTTTGATGCTTCACTAGTTTGATTAACCTTTGGTGACATTTCTTCATCATTCTCATCATCACTATCCGAACTGAGTAAACCAAGGTAGAATAACATAATAATAAGAAGGAAGGAAATAATTTACAAACTAATTAATCATCTGTTATCAGTAACCACTGTGATACTCCTTAGATTTTAGAGAGTTGATCTAATCCTATAGATCGAATTGTAATATGGTCTCTGCGCTGAATAACTTGACACTACAATCAGTCATTCCTAAGTTAAGAAGAATGTGTTAAGTATGTGCGTCGGTTCAAGTTTCTACTCTAAATTATCACACCGAAATAAAATCATCAAGATAAATCCCAGAGTAGTATAAGTAGTAACAGCATCAGTAGTGGCAGAAAACATATAAAATGTGATTAGACAAAAGAATGTAGGTTCGTAGATGAGAAGAATATAAAGTAATTTTAGAACTCAAAATCTCAGGAATGACAAATAGTAAACGAAGCTCCCTTAGTTGCTGTACATCTTATTAAATTTTAGCTAGTTTGAAATAATTTTACAGGGATTCATGGATTTAGATATCGTGTTAATTAGTATGCATCGTATCTGTGATACTAGGTGATATGAGTTTTTTAATTAACAGGGAGTATCAGTCCTTTCAAGATTTCGGATATATGTTACTGAAGGGTACAAGTGGCAAGAAACCTATATTCAGAGTTTTTTATCGATTGTTTTACACAGCAATTAATTGAGAATTGAACGAAAATATTTAAATAGTGTTTGTAGGATTTCTTATTCCAATGAGTTATTTAAAATGGCTTGTTTTCATTAAAGCCTTGGAACTTACTTATTCCTCGGAGTATCTGCAACAAACACTATAACACCGCGAAAAGATCCTCGTCTTGACACAGAAACTTGAAATTTACATTCATCGGTGCGACCAGACATAACTTCAATACGATTCATATATTTCTGATTGTTTGGTATCCATTCAATAAGACCCTTAGGTAAATTTGTTTGCAGTCGGAAACATTGCATTATTGAAGTGGAGTTGGGAACTTTAAGCGTGAAAGTTTGTAAATGTGATTGTTTCGAAACTTTGCATATTTCATCATTTATATCACAAGTATTAATTGTAAATTCGAGATTAATTTTTCCAAGTGATAGTGGTTTCAATACAATCCCATTTAAGTGATATTCTAATTGACTGCCATCAGTTATATTTCGAAGAACAAGTTTAGTCTGTTAATTGGATGAAAAATGAAATGTTTACTACAAAGCAGAATGATTTTATGAAGAATACTTACTGTTCAAAGACAGTTTTTCTATGAAAGTTGGAGGACCATTGGAAACCAAAATTATTCGGTTTTAGTTTAAGGACCCATCGTCGATATGCATTACTAACCAAGACGAAAGAAATTCGAGATCTTCTAGCCTTGGAGAAAGTATTCCACTCTAGGACTAACCTGTTAGAACTTAGAGGTTTACAGTTTAAGTTTCATTCAACTTTCACCGTAGCATGATCTCTACCTAGTGTTGTCTATAAGTTATTTTCATATTCCATACCTGGTTTTTTCACGGATAATGGCTTCCCAATATTGAGTCTTTGAGAACATAATACAGAAATCTTTCATTTAAATCCTATTTCAAACTGCTATGTATTAGGTAAATTATGAGTAAAGTCAGGTGTATTTATAAGATAAGTATAAACGAGCAGTAACTTACTTGACTTTCGGCTTCTCTTCTAGGTAAATATGTTATAGAATATTGAACTGTTGTATTCGATGGGACATTTATGATGGATGGCCCAGTAAACCATATTGGATTACCAATAAACTGTGACGATAGTTCCCAATCATATGCTGTTTTATTGACAATCGGTATTGGTTGAGTAATTGGATGATTTAGTGGTGATGTGAAAGTTAAAACCGTTTTTTCATTACCAGGTAAAGCTACACATTCAATACGATAGAGTCGTATATCATCTGGACCTTGAATTACCAGTTTAGCTGAAGTTAAACCGGGTTTATCAGCAAAGATTTTGAGAGGAAGAGGAAATGTTTCATCGGAATCTGTAAGTAGAAATAAGAGATCATCAATATTGGTGTTTCTTAAACTGTTGTTTCATTTTAACAAATGTAGGACTGAAAAACAACCGAATTTCATCCCCAATTTAAATATCGCCATGTTTATTCTGCTTTAACAACAATTGTACATTTATAGTGTAATATTCATTTTTGTCTCGGTAAAATGATGTTTTCGGTTTAATTTTACAGGCGAGTGTTAGGAAAATACCGTGTAGTACCGAAAGTATATTGAGGAAAGATAGGTCTGAAATCCCCTCAAAATACTGATAGTTAACAAAAGTCTCAAGCTTATTAAATGTCCAATTATCAGATGGATAACTAGATCAGTTAAATTTTATTTACGAATAAATAGTCCCTCTGATAAATTTAGATAATACAAAGAGATGATATAGTTTATCAAACGATAGGATATGAATGAGGACAATACATTTAGAACAGCCTAATAGCACATTTAATTGTTAAAATTATTGGACGGGTAACAAAAATGAAAATAGACAATCTAGAACATAAGTAAACATAGGTTTGATAAAAGTACAAATTATTTCTGAGGATGTGAGCTTTCGTCTGGCTAAAGTTTCAACAAACTTAAGTATTTTCACTAGACAACTTTTAAACAAAACTACAAATGTTGAGTTGAAAATAATCTTATTACCTTATATAAACTGTGTGAGATACTGAGTATTGATATCCCAGATAACTCGATTTGTGAAAACATATGATGATGTGATGGAAATTATCTCTCGATTATGAAGAAATATCAGTATAGGGTTGTGGAGATTGTTTAGTTTGCCTAAAATCATGAACCGATCAATGCTAGACCACCATTCAAAACATGGAAGTATTGGACGGCCAATTCATCTAAGCACCATACTCCTATCCAGTGTGCAACGACGACTCAGAACATGGGAATCAAACCAGGGACCTTCAGTTTCGTGTGAAAATGCTCAACTTGTAAACTACTGAGTATGCATTTAACAGTATTAATGTCTAACTTTGATCAATGCACAATATTGCGCGATCATTCACCATTGTCTTCGGTGGCCAACTGCCCTACACCTGACACGGTTAAACTTCACTGGTCACGGGTGCTCGCTAGAAAATATCTTCCAAAAACTACTTGAACTAATAATAATCACTTGTTTACTAGTGATCTGATTCCATATGTATTTTCAAAGTCCTGCTAAGAGATTATGATGTGTGAACTGAACCAAGTAATAGGTGATCTCGAGTGAGTTTCGCATAATCTTGCTTAATAACTTTATTCAGTTGAATATGCGAAACATTGTACTTCGACTCAATAGTTAGGAAGAACTGTGTTCTCTGTAAAACACTTAGATCACGAGTCCGAATTCATTTTTACGGTTGTAGAGAAACACTACTGGAGTATACAAACTCAAAGCGAAACAACTGTTCATTGCTTTCTTATTTTTAGCAGTCTATTTACTATTTTCAGTATGTTGAGACAACCCTCAATCTTAATTTCATTTACGTTGTAAAGGAGGACGGTTTTTTTTCTGAAAGTTTGATTCTTTTGATGTGCAATCCTACTAATTATTGAAAATATCTGATGACTTAGATACCGATGATACAAATTTGGTTAGAGTAAATTCAAGATCAGATGAGAATATTTGTATGGTTACAAGCACATTTGTATGCAGCATGTAAGCAAGTGTATTAGGATGTAATTTGAAATAGAATAGAAATCAGTCAATAGCAAATTAAACAAGGTAAATTTTCAACGTTTATGGTAAATATCTAAGCTTACATAAAACAAGGTTTCTACATGACGAACAAAGTATTTAAATGAGAAGTATTGTATGGTATAGGCAAAACTATAACTTATGCACAAACCAATCAAGTATAAGATAAAGGGTCTCGGATTTCGGCGCGAAATTCACTCATCCATTTGGATAAATAGAGTTTTAACATTATAGCTGATATCAGTTCATGATGAAAACCTTAATCATCAACTATAAATCATAATTCCAATTCCTGACACAGGTTCATAATCCTTATTTGATCCTTGTTATTAAGTGGACACTCTCAAGGTCATTCTAGCATTGCTCCAAGTTTGTCCATAAATCATAGTCTCACCAAACAGTAATTTCATTTAGAAAACGATAGTAGATTCAAACTGTTCAAACCAGTTCAATTTTAAACAACAACAAAATGAAATTTACATCATGAATATTACCAGTCACATAAGAATATTTCATTATTATTAATACACTTTCTTACCTAAATCCACAGATATTGGCACATGTATTTTTGGTGGGACTTTGATCATATTTGAATCAATTTCTACACTATATATCAGATATCGAGATATATGTAATCTTTTCTAAGAATATTTAAAAAACAAAATAAGGGGAAAACCTGGTATAAGTGAGAGTTAAATGAAAACATATGTATTATTGAAATTAAATGAAATACAAAATGGGCATTATATTTATACATATTACTCATAAGTACCAAACGACTCTGAAAAAAAAACTATCCGTTGCATAACAGGTATAAAGTAGTAACATTTATTCTGAAAATGATTCAAGTCAAATAAAATGAATTTGCTTTATCATGACAAAGAAAATTAAACTGTCAATTACAGTTTGTTTATGGTATTACGAAACACTAATCACTAATGGTTGGAAAATTGTCAATTATAATCAATAGAGAGTATAGAGAAATTGCATGTTATTTCAAGCTTCCATGTTACATTACTATGACGAGAAAATGAAAAGCAAAAAAAAAGTCTAAAAGATACACTAGTAATGATAATGAGAAAGACTAAACATTTAGAATCTGATTCGATACGAAAGGTATATATAAATCAAACCGATTTACCCAGAATTTACTTCATTAATCTTTTTTTTACCTAGTTCATATAACTTTATATATAACAGAACATTTAAGTGAACACTGAATATGATTAAAACTTATATTACTAAGTTTTTCATCTTAAATTAATCATTGATAAACCGAGTATTGTGGTGTATGTGCTGCTTATATCGACATAAGTAGTATCTAATGCCAGTTAGGAATAGAATGTCCACCAGCAGAAGTTAGAGCAGATTGAGAAGGAAAGAACGGGAACAGAAAACAATCGGCATGAAAGTGAAGGGACAGTCAAGTCTAAGACAATTGATTGACATTTTGCATATTAAGTATTTACTGTATGATTTTTACTAAAAAATTCTGTAGTTTTGTGTTCAAATATATTCTATTTCCACAATTGATTGATCACTGGGTGGTGATCAATGTTATGTGTGTCAAGTTCTTACTAGTGCAGATCGAATGCTATCGACCAAGTTGCAATGTGGCCACTAGTCTAGGTGACTCGACACTGCGTGAACTATGTTGAGATTAGATAGTGGTTGGAGGTAGTCGACAGGAAACCCTGGACCCGGGTTTTGTGCTACTTTACACTAATCAGCAAGGTGTACCTGTAATCTTGAGGGAACTGGTGCTCCCCGCAGGATTCGATCTCGTGTCACCTAGCTTCACAGTCGGAGACGTTACCACTGAGCTATCTGGGCCGCGACCGACCTTCTGTAGGACTGAGATGTAGTCACGATAGTTGATATCATGAGTCAATTGAAGCTAGACCACCATAGAAAATGTAGAAGCACTGGACAGCTGTTTCCTCCTACTGTGGAATTCCTCAGCAGTGCGCACTCACGACCCCGCCTCCCGGGGTTCGAACCCAGGACTTATCAGTCTCGAGCTCGACTCATGATCTCAACTATTGAAATTACTACAATGTCCACAAATCTCCTGATACTAAAAAATATTTTGAAAACTGTTGTAGAAAATACCTGAAGTTTTAACTTTTTCTCCGATGAATTTTGATCAAAATTATGTAATATTAATCTCTTATTAGCCAACTCAAGTAATTCATCTGATTCAAGTGTATTTGCTAGTTGACGACGCTTTAATTCTGATGGTGCAAGTCGAATATGAATAGCATTCAACAGTGCTGTCCGACGTAAATCATTTTTTACTGGTAACCATAATGTTTCTTTTATTTCACAGTTTATTGGACATCGGAAATATATAACATTTGGATCACCTGAACGTCCAAAAGCTTTAAAATAAAAGTATGAAACAGTTTAATAGATTATTAGTATCATTTCAACGTACTACTAAAAATAAACTATTTTTCCTTCAATGAAACTAATGTAAGGTCGAGAAGTGGGGTAAATTTCTTTAATAACTCAGTCAGTCACTGGTTATCAACAACACTGAACATGGGAGAAAATAGGAATTGATTCAAGTTGCTAAACTTTTCATTATCATACCTATTGAGGATGCTAGATCCCTAGAACTTACTTAGTAAATGTCTTATTTTTGTAATTTTCTTTTAAAAAACTGAAATTCTTGTTTTTGCGCCAAAAGCGCCCATTTTCATCTTCATATCATATTTACCACATGGTAGGACCTTAAATGTCATTGGTTCGTTGTTTCTTTTGATATGCAATCCTGTAACGCTTCTCAAAGACATTCTTAAACCCTAGATATACGCTTGAGTTGTGCTTATTGTTGTTGTTCGTGCTTCTGAATGCTTGTAGGATAAATCTTCCCACTTCTGAATCTGGACTTCTCTTTCTAGTTAGCGGGGCTGAAATGCATCGAAATAGTTAGTTTATCTGATCACTGTCACTGAGTTTTCGTCCCGTTCTCAGATTAAGGTGACCTCGTAATGCCTTTAAACATAACAATATTAAGAAGACAGTAACATGGTTAAATGCAAAGAATTTAAAATCACAATTCCACTGATAGTTAGTTTTCATTCATAACAGGTTTGTGTATTGCAAGGAAGCTAGTAATTAGATCACTCACTCACTCACTCACTCACTCACTCACTCACTCACTCACTCACTCACTCACTCACTCACTCACTCACTCACTCACTCACTCAAAGCAATTAACACCTGATTGTTAGGCTTAATTCTTGAGCAATATTATTGAGAAGATTAAACTACATGTATTGGACTATAAAAGTGAAATTTCATGGTCAAAAAATTAAGTTTCTTGACTACAGGGAATTGTAATAAAATTTTTGATAAATAATTATTCTAATAAATATTATTTCACACAATGTAATTTTCATTACTATTTAATGTAATGTACTTACAAGCAGCTGCAACAGCAGATTTAATACGGTAACCCCTTTCTTTTTGTTCAGTATATGGTAATAAACTTGGTTGTGGTAATTGAGCAATACCTTTTAACAGGATAACAAATTCACCAATTTTTTCATTTGATAATAATAAACAACATTCTCTTGTACCCCATCCTAATGGCAAATAAATAATTGATAATTCTTTGATATTTTGTTTTTCATCAGTTGTTTGTTGTTGTTGTTGCTTTTGCCTAATTTTCACTTTGTTATCTGATTGTTTTATAACATGTGAATCTGTCCAATTATCATTGGTAGTTCCACATAGATTAATGGTATTTTCACGACAATGAAATGATTGATATTGATTTCTTTGATAGTATTCTGAAATAGTTAAAATGATTATCAGAATTATAACCAACATATTAAGTTGATGTTGTTACATGTTGAATTTTTGTAAACAGTTGGAAGGATGGTTTAGACCTAGATCTAGTGTCAGTCAATACTGATTATCAAGATTTACTTGCAGTCTTGAGGAGGCTAATGCTTTGCGTTAAGATTGGAACAGATCAAATGGAATCACTCGCTACTAAATAGTAGATTAGTTCTAGGGAAGACCATTTGCTGTGTAAACAGTTGAGTTTAATTTTGTCACTCACTATGACACTAAGTATTAATATAGGACTAAATAGTATGAATAATGTCAATTCTTTCAAACTTGTAAATGCAATATGCTGACTAGTTCCACCTATAAAGAAATCCGGATTTCGATCTATGTATCGATTGTCAGACGAATTGTATGGAAATGCTGAGCAAGTTAACACAGCAATCATACGAGAGATTGACTGCTACTAACTGACAAATTAGTGAATTTCTTAGTAAACTGTTGGTGAATATTTTATCGGAAGATTTGACAATTCAAGACTGCTTCAAATAGCAGATTGTCATACAGCATATTTATGCATGTGTATGTATTTAGACTTCCATAAATAATCTGCAGACTAATGTGTTTTATTGTTATTTGGTCGAGGGCGTTTTGTGTAGAATTGCACAAAACACCAATTTAGCTCTATCGAATCTGATTTATGATGAATCAAATAGGTTCATTTGACGGATTATATTTGTATCAGTCATACGATCATGTGCTCTCAATGTGCTTGGTTAGACAGTGGCACAGACGAACAAGAAGTATATAATGACCCTTCATTTTATTGTGTTACGTTCTATCCTTCTGCCCCTTTTATAAGTCATTCCTACTGAAAAAATTCACTGAGAAGACTTGATCTTCTTATTCCTACTTCATCAGTCAAACATCTGTCAAATCCTACATTATTTTATCGTGCCAACATCGAATTCTATCCAAAACCCTTGATTCTCAGGTTACATAGATAAGTACGATAGCATTCAACTTTTTAAACAGTATTACAAAAATGATTGTGTATTTCTTACAAAAATACTAGAGATCCTCACTGAGAAAATTAGAACGATACACATAAGCGAACCATATTGTTTCCACTTAGATTATAATCAGGGATTATTGTAGTACATTTGAGTATTCATACGGGTTTATGAAAATATTAATACGGTCAGGTCAATTAATGAGTCACTGGTCAAAATAACAGACTCCATGATAATAAATAATGAATAAAAGGGACAAATTGATAGTTCGAAGATAGGTGTACTAGTAGTGAATAACAAAGTTCTGATCAGCAGTTCAACATAAAACTTAGGTCAAACTCGAATAAACAAACTTTTAAATAATAGTCACAAAAATTTATTGAAATTTGAATTGAGTAAACAATCGGATAGTGAAAAATAACAGAGAAATATAGGATGTGAAAAAATCAGTAGTCAGTAAGTAACAACGTAGAACTTCGTACGTACATACATCATTTCAAGTTGCCATACCACATCGACACATATACAATTCTCGATTCAAATCTCATAGTGGTAGAGGTTGTAAAAGTATAAGTAGTAATCCGAAAGATTTGATTTCAAGATGTTATTCAAGGAGTGCAATCCAGTGAAATAAATTCAGAAAAAGAAAAAAGGACATGAAGAATTCAGAAAATTAGAATTCGGGATAACACAAAGAGTGGATGCGCCTGCATCATTGCAAACAATTTTGAGCTATGTCATTAAAGGTCTCTAACCATCGGTTGCTATCATCTCTCGGTCCCCAACCAGGTAGTCTACACCTACCAACATGACTCAGTCCACTTGTCAGTGACGTCATGGATTTGTGCCATATTTCGGTCTGGCCGCCCCTAGTTTTCTTCCAATCTACTTCTACACCGCGGTGGTCCCAAGATATACGAGCAATGTTTCGAAGACATCTATTATCGAATACTAGTAACCTACGAATATCACTTACTCTTACCGGCCATGTTTCACTGCCATGAAGTAGGACAGAACGAACTGCTGTGCAGTAAACTCGTCCTTTGGTTGGTAGACAGATATCTCGCCTACGCCATAAATGACGCAAGTTGGCAAAAGCTAGTCGAGCCTTTATCAAGTCAAATCCAGCCAATTGACGGATAAGGGCGTCACAAGCTTTTCTTGAATACATTGGCTACGATTGTGGATTCCTGTTCCTATTGCTTCCATAGGAGACGTGAACAAAACCCATTAGGAAACAATAAAGGTTTATGACAGATCACTCGAAATGACTTAATATTATTTTCAATATGACCACAGTCAACCGAGTGTGCTAAGATAGCGCTACATATTATCTTCGTCTGGCCCTTTCCAAACTAAGCTTGGAGACGCTCACTCACTCCCTAGTTAAGTTACTTGGTAGTATGCCCAATATATCTTATCAATCTTCTAATAGATGTCAAGTTCATGATAATGAAGTATTCTCAATAAAAAATGAACTCACCTTTCATGATTTCTGGTGGTAATTGACTATTATCTGATGATGATTGATCCAGTGAGCTTTCTGTCGCAGAATATGTTTCAGTAGATAATAAATTACCTGAAGTAAATTCTTTTTTCTTTCCATTTAAACCTTGTGTTTGGCATAGTGCATTGAATAAATCATTACAACTTTCAATTATTTTAATATTAAATGTACCACTTAATTTGTATGGATTTATAATTGGTATTTTAAATTCTGCCATTTGGTAACAAGGTGATTTAATGATTTTAGTTGGCTAACAAAGAAAATACGTAAAGGAAAAGAATAGAAAGAGAATTTCAATATTTTGTCTTTTGGAGTTAAAAACAAAATGTTTTGTTGAATAAAAAAAGGAAATACAATAAATGATTAAAGTTTTTATTTACAGAATGCTTTATATATTACCCAACTAATAATTATGCTCGTGGATTGGTTGAAGTTAGACATTAACACCGTTGGATGCCGGCCAGCTCAGTGATCTGGAGGTTAGGCGCTCACGCGCGAGACCGGTAGGTTAGGGGTTTGAATCACGCGGGGCGGGATCGTGGGTGCGCACTGATGAGAAGTCCCGTACTAGGACGGGATGGCCGTCCAGTGCTTCCAGGTTTTCCATGGTGGTCTAACTTCAATTGACTCATGAATGCAACTATTAAATTACGTTGATTTTCATCACGAGTTAGTGAGTTGAGGAACTAATGAATATAACGTAACACAATATAGACTTAATAAATTGTAATAAGTTGCGAAGTATTAGCACTGTAGGATGAATAAAATCATATTATTTGAGGGATAAGAAAACTAAATCCATGACGTTAGTATGATTTACAAATTTGTTACCGAGTTATTCCGAGTCATATCACGCAGTGTCCAACCACTGATGTGGCTCGCATTCCAGACAATTAGTTTGCATCAACCTACATGACTTAGACCGATAGCTAGTAACTCCATGAACTGGTGTTACTTTTTGTATTGGTTGCTCTTAGTTTTTTTCCGATGTACTTCCACTCAAATAACCATTTTCAGTTGAGGTAGGCGGTGGTTAGGTATACATAAGACATCCAATTACTTGAGGTTAGTTGACAGGAACGATTTTTTGATAGTTCATGATCATCTTCTAGAGTGTTGGAAAGGAACGGGTGTTTATGATTTCCTTAAAGATAACTAACTGTATGATCTGAATACGTTGTATTCGTAAAGTTTTGTGTCATTCATCTCATAATTGCACTTACTCTATTGGACAAGTGTATTTGTAATTATTTGGAAAACCAATGTTTCAGTGATCTTTTTATTCAACTCTATTGTAAACAAACTAATGAACGTACAACGTAAAATAAAGTAATGTAATTGGTAGAAAGAAAATACAGATATCTCAATCACTTACTAATGTATCAAGTCCACCTACGATTCCAGAAAGTATAAATGATACAGTTTTACCTTGTAACTCATTTTGACGTTGTGAAACTGCTAAAAATACAGCTTCTGTTAATTTAAGAAAACGTGATCTACAATGAGTTAGTAAAGAGAAGTAATAATACCTTTGTAAAAATGTATAAAATAGTAGAATTATTCATACGAATGAAATTATTAGATTATGCGAGATAAATCTGGCTTCTTAAAGATCATAGCTAACAAACTTATTGAATTAGTTATCAGTCTATCAATCACTTGAGTTTAGCATACGAGAACTAGATGTTATAATTAATGAGTTACTATATTCAAAGACAATAAGTATGTGTTATAAATATAAATTCAAGTCGAGCAAAAAATAACAAATGTGGCAGAATAAACTGGATTTACTTTACTTCGTGCATAGAACCTAGACATAATAGTATTATTCATTAGAAATCAGTGTATATAATTTATATAATAATATCAGAAATGTTCTCATTGATAAGGATTGATAAAACGGTAACAAATATGAAAGAAATATCAAAGGTATTCAAATGGCAGAATGTTTATATGATAAATAATATGAAAATTCTAGAAGAAAAGATTGATATTCAACGATTCGTAATAATAGCAACAACAATAAATGAATTGATTATCGGATAAAATTGAATGAGGTATGGATAAAACTCAAGAAGGTATGGAAATAAAGAAAAAAATAGGTACATATCATGTGCTCACTAGTGACTGGCTTCACGATGGATTTCCTGGTGTTCTAGTGAGAAACCGTGACAGGTGGAGTTCAATAGTGTCTGTCGTGAGACTGTTACTCACTGAAAACAATGGTGGGTAGTCGCGCAATATCGCGGATTGGTTGAAGTCAGACATTAACACAGTTGGATGCCGGGTCAGTAGTCTGGAGTTTGAATCCCACGTGCTGGTTTGTGGATGTGCACTGCTGAGGAGTCCCGTACTAGGAAGAAACGGCCATCTAGTGTCCCCACATTCTCAATGGCGGTTTAACATTGATATCGATCTAAACCTAATAAATATCAGTCAGGACTTTAAAGAAATAATCTTTTTCAGTAGAAAACGTGGTATTTACATTATATGGTTAAGTAATAACTGATGTGATTTTTGTTTAGTTATATTAGTGCTAATCGGAAATAAGTGATATAGTCAATTCAAACCTTTAAGAAATGAACTGAACGGTATAACTTTTTAACGGTAGTGAATTTCCACAAAAAATGATGTTTTGAAACTATACCATATAAAGTGATACGGCATGTCGTGTCTATTTAAGATCATATTCATATAGTTTTAAGAAGTAATTCCAGACGTAAACATGTTCAAATTCATTGATTTCAACGACTATGGTTCCAACCAATCTAAAAACTTATCTTGATTGGGAAAGTAGACTGCCAGATAATTCACATTTATGCCACTATAGAGTTGATTGTTGAAACAAATTACTAACAAATAATACTACTACTACTACTACTACTTTGAGAACATATGTAGGTCTGTATATGTGACATTCATTCATACAAGCAAACCTACTTATATTCAAGACATATTTGTAATTTTCCTTTCTGTGGTATAATCATTTTCATTTCTTTAACATCATTATACAACTTGTCAGTATTATTAGTATCATTGAGCTTAATGTAATTATCACTCGTTGAACATTTTAATTCCTTAACATCCAATTTCTTTGAATCTGTTTTATTGTTTTCGCGTTTTGTAATTTTATTCGATGTGTTTATAATAGAACAGTTGAAATCATTTGCGTTTGGACCAATTATTACACAATAATATGTTAACATTTGAGAACTTGTATTGGTAAATAATAATTGACGTTTAGTTGTAGAATTTAAAAGACCTTGAAATCGACAAAAGAAGGTAAACAGTAAAGTAAATTTCATGGAATTATTTCAATAGGATGTTCTTTCTTTTAGAAACTTTTTTGATATTTTCTTGTAGAAGAGAGAATAGGATATTCTGAAAAAATTACTAATCAAAAATATTAGTCATCTGTATAGGGTTGTGGTGATTATTGAGTTTAGATTGATATCACGAATAGATCAATGTTAAACCACCATTGAAAACCTGGAAGCATTGGACGGCCGTTTCATCCTAGTATGGGACTACTTGGCAGTGAACATCTACGATCCCACACATAGGACTGGAACCCAGGATCTTTGGATGCTCACTGACGAGGAGTCCCATGTTGGGACGAAACGGCTGTCCAGTACTTCCAGGTTTTCAATGGTGGTCATTTGTAAAGGTTTGAATCTTTTATTTTCAATGTTAAGAACTTCAAATGGTCAGTCTATTTTGGCCTGTATGGATCCTGAGAGGACTACCTCTATTATCCCATTAAATCACAATTATTTTGAAGCGGAGCTCGATAGTGTTTTGTAGTGGAATCCAGGGCTTATGTATAATCTTATTTAAGTCCAGGTGTGGAGATCGACACTAGAGTGCGGGTACGTTCGGCTGGCGAGGCCAGGATAGGACGAAATCTATATCCTGGTTATTAGTGCTAGCGACTACCAAAATATGATTCTTTTAAAACCTTGTTCAATAATATATATATATAGTAACAAGCATGGGTTTTAGCTAATTTATTCCTACCTGTAAAATTTATTGTTTGTCTCGGTAAATAATCCGGCAACTGACAAAATAAATGTAAACATAATAACGCCATACCGAATGGATGTGGACTTGTTATATCACATGGACTCAAATCAAATTCAAAATGGATCATTCTTAGTGCCTGAACTAAAATAATCGCGTTATGAAAACACTGTTCTTCTGAATTAGGTTGTGTGTATATTTTGGAGAAGTAATTGGGGATCTAAAATTATAACAGTAGTGCAAAGGCCATAAAATATTTTCACGCTTTTAAAAGTTAACGAAAAATTATTAAACATTAAATATCATTGAACTAAACTTGTTTGTATTTTGGTCTTTCAATAAAAGGATTGGGTGAATGCATTTCTGTCATGATGACTGGAGGTGAATAATCACTATTTTGTGACCGTTATTCTCATCCTCAGCGAGTCAATTGTTAATTGATAGCTAGGCTATTGTTGTATTATCTCAACTGAATGCTTCGTACATACAATCGGCTGATCACTGAGTAGTGACCAATGTCACGTTTTGTTAGTCTTTTAATGTTAGCCAAACTCTATTGATGAATTTGTAGTGTGATCACTGGTCCGAGTGAAATAATATTGGGTGGACTTTGATGAGATGATGGGTAGCTTGAGGTATTCAACAGGACGAAGGTTTCGTACTGGCTTATACTCATTAGAAAGGATTACCCGAAATTTTGAGAAGACTGATACCTTTGTTGAGATTTTAGAGTCTGTCCTGTAAGCGAAATTATCAATTTTATCACTTAATTTATTTTATTAATCTTTCAGGGTGTATCGGGTCTTCAGACCATTGGGACGTAATTCAATAGTTTACACGTCTAGCTCCAAACAGTTTACGTTATTGATTCAAGAAAGCCTATATTATTCGCCCCTTGTTTTCAGTTGCTTGGTCAGATAAATGTATTTCTAGTCATATGAAATCTGAAGTTAAAAAACAAATATTTAGCTTTGGTAATAAAGCTTTCTACCTAGTCCCTGATATTTTCTCCCTTCATTTCTGGATGAGTCAGATGTTAGGAACTGGCAAACTAGTGAGATCAGACCACGGAAAAAATATTTTGTGAAATAATAATTTTACTAAACAAAAAACCTAAATTAATTAATTTCTATCAGCTTAGTACTACGGTAAATTTAGTAATATTTTATATATTTCCTTTGATTGATGGTCCATAACTTAATGTTCTTAGTGATATATTGTTCTCGTGTAAAAATATGAGCAGTTAATGTTGTCTAACTTAACAACTACATAATTAATCCGTCCGTTTTAGAGAAAATAATGCCACCAAAACCATTCACCTGAGCTACAACTCTTCACTATTTCTCAAGTAAATGCGAATTGATCATGGTACGTACGTTAGTCAAGAATAAGCTGATAATATTGTGATCAACTGTTAATTTGGATCATCTTCCTAAAAATGTCAAAATATCAGTACTGTGAATCGTCGTATCACCATCAGTGTTAATAACAAGTTGAGATAATTACATATATATATTGCATTAAACACTAAAACGGATAAAGTGTACTATTACAATTGAAAAGTTTAGTTTATTTTAGTGGCAACCATGAGTGACATTATTTTAAAAGAAATACCCATCTACTTCTGGCAGGTGCGTCGTACGAGATTAAAACATTAAAACATGAATAATATATTTTTAATTTCCCGGTGAGTAGGAAATTTCCTGATGTCTCTTGACTCAGAGTAAGCATATAAGCAATATCTTACAATATCATTAGAAACGCAACAAAACGATGTGACTTACTGTTGAGTAATAGCTTAGATGAAATACCATGGATTGGTACCGTAGTTTTACCATACCGCTATGGCACAAAAGAAGAACTTCAAAGAGTCGTAAGATAACACAGAATTAAAGCATCCTACAAAACAACTCATTCCCTTTAAGATGATTTGTCTCGTATGATATATAAGATCCCCTATACATAATCACAGAACTGTATCTACAAATTAGGGTGTACCGATTGTGATGCCTTCTATATTGCAGAGTCATCTTGTGAAATCGTGAAATCTAGTCAAAGAATATCTTAGGTACACAAAAAACCACCTAATAATCCTGTAGAACTTGAAAGGCTTTAAAGTGAATTGGAAATAGCAGTGCCTCCCATCTTCAATAACCATCAAGTCGAGATTATCCGAATGATATAAAAAAGCTTTTCCAACTAAAAGGAAAGGCGAGTAGCTGAAGCTTTCTCTATGTTTCTAAATCCTACTGCCCTTAATAGAAAAGAAGGCCTTGCTTGGGCTTGGACCATCTATCCGAGCTACCAATTCTGCTTCTACTCACATCTCACATTATTATCATACATACAAATTCAAATCCATCATTTTACATCACAAATGCCATATTTTTCACCTGTTTTTTAATTGATCTTACCAAATATTTTTGCTTCGTTTCTTGGTACTATTTAAACTTGGGTTTATTTAAAGATGGATGGTTAATAGCAGTGGAAACCAGGACACGCGTTTCGTCCTATTTGGGACTCGTCAGCTGGATGTACCTGCATCTCAGAGTTGATATTCACTCTGGGACTCGAACTCAGCAACGTTCGCTTCAAACGCCACCGCGTTATCCACTTAGCTACTGAGTCCTGGTAGCCACTTGCTTGTAAAATGGGGTGAAGCTTAAATTCATTTTGTATGGTTTACTTGAATCTTCCCATTGATGTTTAGGACTGAAATTGATCGGTCTACTATCGAGATATGTGCATCCTGTGAGGGTTGCCTCCACTGCTAGCCACCATCCATCTTTGCTGATAATGCTTGTGACTTAAGGCACTATCGAGGTAGTCAGCACAGGATGCACATATGCCAATAAGAGATTGTTCAATTACACTCCTAAACACCAATGGAAAGATTCAAGCAAACAATACCAAATGAATTTTGAGTTTATTTAATTCGTTTATTCATTCTCTGTAGAAGTGGCTTACACTAAGTCACAAAACGTCAGAAAGTTTCATCTTTCTACTCACCGAGACAAATATATTATTTTTGTTAGTAAAATCTACCCAATGTTCAACTTAGTCGAAATTGAAACGTGCGGCTTCATACCAATCTTCCTATTAGAAGGGTCCTACATTATTTATTTATTTATCACATAATTTAAGTCCTTACTTTTGTATGCTAATCATCTGCCCTGAATTGATACTTTATATTTTCCATAGTGAACTTGCTCTTCATTTATTGATTAGTTGACCATTACTGTCTATTTATGTTCTTTAAAGTGACTGATAAAAAATTATCGCAAATTAGTTATGTCATGCTCCAAGTTTCACGATTTTAGTAAAAGCCGTTTTGCCAAAGATCAAACCTCCGTTTTCTCCTGATGCATTAATTAGATCAATTAAAGTTGAACTATTGTGGTTGTGAAACAATAACATAAATCTCCACCTTCTAGGTCGGGAATACTTTACTAACTCATCAAAATCTTGATTAACATAACAGTTCTAGATTATTGAGAACAAAAGCCATGATAACATTAAAACATAAAACAATGGTAGTTATGACCAAAGAAAATTAAAAATGATATAATTAAACTAACAAGACAAGGCACATATGCACCGATAGCACATGCTAATATAATTCCATCACATAAATCATTATCAAAATTAGTAACAATCAAATTATTATTTGTAAATACGGATTTCTTTTCAGGCCATATTTGACATGCATACTGATGATAACAATAATTTAACCAAGCCAATAAGATACATTCACATGATGAGTAACAGCTGTTCACTTGAATTTCATTGGAATTAGTTAATCTTGTTCTCTGTACATTGTCTCTTTGATCTGATAACCGAATCGTATGTTTTATTACTCGATCCGATTTATTTGATTCATTTTGTGATGAACATTGTTGTGAAACTGTTGGCGTTGATGACATCAATTCATTTGTTTTATGTAATAAAAGATCTTTTGGTGGTAAGTTAATAGTATCCAGTGAATTGATGGTTATATGATTAAATAGAAAACACTAAAATATTATGAATGAAAGTATGAAAGTAGAGAATCGATAAGTATAATTTAATTTTAGTTGCAAAACGTTAAATGCTACTAATACTGACCATAAACAAAAATAAAGACTGGATCAAAATCCTTGATAGTTATCAATGATCTTCAAGTACTATTTTGAGTTAAGTGGATCTAGAATTCTGATTTATCTAAGCATCTAATAAACAATAGCTTTTTCATCAAATAAGAATTCTTGATTGAGATCATGAACCGATTGATGTTAGACCACCATTGAAAACCTGGAAGCACTGGACGGCCGTTTCGTCCTACTGTGGGACTACTCAGCAATGCGCATCCACAATCCCGCTCGCGGGATTCGAACCCAGGGCCTTCAGTCTCGCGCGCGAACGCTTAACCTACTGGACCACTGAGCCGGCATCCAATGATGTTTATGACTAACCTCAACCAATCCACGAAATTGCTCGACCATCTTTCATTGTACTGAGGTAGATACCTGTTCTCACCCGACACGGATTAGCTCGATTGGTCACGGCTTCTCACCAGAACTCCGAGAATTTTCTCATTAAGCTAGTCACTAGTGAGCATGGTAATTATCAGTTTAGGGGTTGTGGAGATTGTTAAGTTTTTGATTGAGATCTAACATCAGTCGGTTCATGATCTCAATTAAAAACTTAACTATCTCCGCAACCCTTAAATTAAAAATAAGAATTCGTTTTGTTGTGAGTAATTCATAAGTTTTTACTGATCTTCTTTATACAACTTAATTAGCACAGATATCTAGAAATGGTATCATTGATTACTATCATGTGATTGATTTCTATGTTAATGTCTGAGTTGCACATGATAAAACACATACCGGAATTTCTCATTACTAACGTCTCTAACTACAATAGGTAACATGAGTTGAAATCGCGGATGAAGTCTTGGTTCCCTAAAGGTTAAAGATAAACTTAGCTGAAGGATGTTAACTAAAGTGAAAACTAGCTTGTTAACATATATTGACAATCTTTTAGAGAGCTACAAGAAAACACCATGAAGAAGATTAACGAGAGGTAGTAAAAAAAAGTTATGCATCACAAAACTTAAGTATATTAGAAAATCAATAATAGGACTATTGGTTTTTAATATCTGTTACGAAACATGTATAATAAACCACTATTCTTACTTACTTTAATAAGTTGTATTAATAAATCTGTCCAAGCTCTTTCAGATATTATTAAAAATCGATCTAGTTCAGATTCACTTAATGGACTTATATCTATTTTTATTAACTCATCATTTGATTGATTATCATTTTTGATTTTTTGTGATTTCATCCAATCTGTTACTGTTATGATATTGTTTTTTTGAGATAATGATATATACACTGTACGTGCAGATTCTGTTAAACCTGGACATCCATATTTATGCCATAAATGATAATCATTCGGTTCCATTAAATGTTCTGGTAAGATATGAGGTAGACAACTGCCTTGACTAAAATAGAAAATAATATAATTAAGAATAATAAGCAAAAATGTATATGGTTCATAAGCTTAACAGTATGAAGAAGAAGTAATAATTTTGAAATATTCCAAATGAGTTGCACTATGGTTTAGATTGACTAGAATTAAAATTGCCGACTACTGGATTTCTACTTAGTGATTCAATGATATCCTGTTAAAAACCATATCAAAACTCCCTGAACTTAGGCTACCGTAGATTCATGAGATTCTCTTTAGACAGAAATATACAAGTGTTCATTAGTTTGTAGTTTGTGGTTACGTTCCAATTAATGTTAATTTATGACAAGAACCATATATAAATGAATAGTTGAAGATTTTATGCATCTAAACGAGCAACGTGTTTAGTTTTCAACTATTGAAAACAATTCACAAAATTATTATCATACTATTCAAAACAAGAACACACAACAGTAATATATGTTCATAGAAAATAGATGATGTTTTTTAAACCCGCCAACAATGTTCATTGGAAAAAGTGATACGCTATGTCATAAGCAATAGTTAACCAGAGGAATTATTAGGATCGACCTATTAGTACATATCATTCGATGATTGTTGAAGTAATGATCCCTTGACCAATTAAAAAAAACAATTTGTTGAAGTCAACAAAATTCTAAAATAAATTTAGGTCAGTGAAAAACAACTAATTACTGAAACAGATATTTAGAGATTGATTTGTACGTAATCTAACCAGAAACGTTTATTAATTGTGCTATACGACGTTTATGTTTTACTTGAGGTCCACTTTATCACTATGATCTTTCTGTAAAGATGGAGTCATCACTGAACAGTATTTAATACATTGTTGTTTAGTTTGTAGTGCTGAAGAAACTCTACGAAACATGATAGAACTAGGTCACTAAACTTAGTAGATGGACATTAATATAGACTGCATTTTTATTAAGTGATCATAGGAGTCCGTAAGAAACCGTAAAATATGCTATGTGCCATTTGGCGGTAGTCAGTAAGGTTTGATTAGAATCTTGAGAGATGTTTATTGTCACACTTGATAATAAGTATCACCAATAATTTCAAAGACTAACATTAAATAACATAGTTTTAATTCCATGCACAACACAAATACTCTCAAAATTGCAGTTGTCCCCTTCTGATAAGTACTAAATTATTTAGAAACCTAGATCCAGAATGTTCTGGCAATTTTTTCTTCAGTCATCTAATACATAATTTCAAACTTTTATAATGTCAATCCATACAATTTTGTAGATGCTTTTAATTATCACACACAAAAGATAATATATACATCAGATAAGAAAAAACAACATCGGTATTTGTTATATCCGAGCGAAGATTAAATCAGGAGTAACTTCTGAGACATATTAATTGACTAATATTATCTATACATTCTTATGGTATAACTAATCAATAATTAGATTATGTATATTTATATTCTCCTTATTATAAGCTTTATTTCGACCTATCATTTATTATTATACGATTCACTGTTCTTAAGCTATGTTCAGTTTATTAATTACTGCCTCCCACGTCCACAGCCACTTTTTGACTTTATTGTGTACAAATGTTATTTCCTATTTTATGGTGCGTTGCGGTCTGTTTGATTTATATATAAACCCAGTATATCTGAAATAAATTATCCGATTCGATTCGCGTAGTGGGAGCTGGTGTTGGTGTTCTGGACTCAAGTGGACGGTCTAGGCGAACATAGGACCGATAAGGACTCTAGGCTGCTCATACAGGTCGAACGTCATTGGTTTGGGACGGTGCTAAGATTGTATGAGTCGTATTTTGATTGGTGGATAAATCACGTGGTAAAAAGCCGGACATAAAGTCATAACAGTATCACTCAATTTATTCCACAAAAGTAAAACTAACCTTCTTGCAAATGTTAACAATGAAGAACAATAAAAATAAACAATTGATAAAGCTTCATAAGGATTATTTATTGGTAAATTAATTGTAGGTAATAGACCAGGTGGTTGTTTATTACCACAAAGATGTAATAAACAATTATACAATGGATTAATGCTACATGGTACTGTTTCATTTATATTATCAATATTCAATTTAATATTGTTTAGTTCATGTTTCATATTAGTTTGACTAGATTCTTTTATTGTTGTATTCTGTTGAGATATAGTATAGGATTTTTGTTTTTCACCTAATAATGATTTATTCAATATTGTAGTTGTCAATGATATACAACTGCAAAACAAATAAACAGTAAAAAATAAGAACTGATGAGAATATTTGATAAATTTAAATATGACCATAAGTTATCAATAATATTGCTGAGTTGAGTGGTTATATTCACATGTCATATATTCTTAAAGATGTAAACGAGAAAGTTCAGACGACAGTGAAGAGAGATGACAACTAAAAAGTAAGTTAACCATATTTCAAATGTTCAATCTTTCTCATAACCAATGCTACTATATTGTTTTGATATCGATTAGTATTTATTTATTTTTATTTTCATCCTGTTGTACTTTTGTGGTATGGTGACTTGAACCAACACAAACATTGTACCAGACTATATGGTGATGATTACTGGAGGATCAATTGAAAACTAATCCTGAAAATCTGAAAGTGATCTGTAAAAAAATAAATATCTAATTTGTCTATAAAAACTTTGATAAAATTTCTTCATTATCTGAATGTTACTTAATATGATTATAACAAGTTATAATTGTATAAGGGAAACTGACATTTTGATGAATTTTAGATTTCACAGATTGAAATCATGAGTCATTTGAAGCTGGCATCCAACGGAGTTCAACCAGGTCTGTTGTGAGATATCAACTCACTGAAGACAATAGTGTACGGTGGCACAATTTCGTGGATTGGTTGAAGTTAGACATTAACACCGTTGGATGCCGACCAGCTCAGTGGTCTAGTTGGCTAAACGCTCACGCACGATACTGATAAGTCCTGTGTTCGATTCTCGGGGGGGGGGATCGTGGATTTGCACTGATGAGGAGTCCCATACTAGGACGGAACGGCCGTACAGCGCTGTCAGGTTTTCCATGGTGGTCTAGCTTCAATTGACTCATGATTTCAATCAGTGAAATTTCAAAAATCTCCACAAAATCCCTTCTGAGAATCGTAGATTCTTTTTGTGAATTTTAAAGTCTTCATCTAACATTGTTATGTATTGTTTTAAACTTTATTTTGTCGATCTCTCATCTTAAAACAGAAAATATTGATTATAAGTGTAGAATAAATTCTAAGCCTTTAAAAAATATTTAGGTAGTATAATTTATAATTAAAAGAAATTGAAATATACAATTTATTACTTTCTAAAATCATCTGGAAACTTAAATTGATAACGACTCTTTTGAAATCCATGAACACTCAACCAACGTTGTACTTGCTCTGTTGCTGTTCGATCAATTAATTGCCAGTCTGGTAGAGATGAACATGATTCATAAGAATTTGTTATTGTTGAAGAAATTGTAGATGGAGATAATCTAAAATTGAAAATGAATCAACAGAAATGAATGAATATCAGAGTGAACATCAATTCTAAGATGCAGGTACATCCAGTTGATGAGTCACAAATAGGACGAAATGCGCGTTCTAAATTCCACTGCTAGTCACTATCCATCTTTGCTTTAAAATGTACTTTTTTTACAAAATGAAAATAATTATTTGCGATTTAAATGTAAATTTATTAACGCTATATATTGTGATATCAATTGACAGATTACAATTAGTGTATGATTTTAGTAAAAATATTTATTAAACATGGAAATTGATTAATAAATGTTCAAGTTTGTTATGTTGTTACTTGACATCTTATCTCTGAGGGATTTAAAATTTACTAACACGATATCATTATAGTCCTCCTAGAGTAAATAGTATAGTTTTTGAAGTAAATGTTCATTATTGTTATCGCAAAATGAAGCTAAACATGAAATTAAGAGATAGATCATTTGTTCTTATTAAAAATTTGATATCAATTGGATTTTCATGAATATAACGATTAACTACCTACTTCGGACATATAGCCTAGTAAGTTTACAAAATAATTGCTAAACAAAACTAACAAAAGAAAACGACCTTTCACAATCAGATATTTTTTTGAAAAAAATTCAGCTTTGTAAATTCAGATGTATTTGACTAATTAATTCACTTATTGTTTTCTTGATAACATAATTTGTAAGTATAGATATCTAGGTTATGCATGAGATTTATCAGCTGTATACATTTATACTTTACTTCCAAACATAATCGAAGCCTCTGATTAAAAATTCAACGCTTTTTACAGTTGCCAGATGTATGATCCAAGCCTAATTTTTTTTCAGAATGTGTTAAATGCATGATATTAGAAGTATAAAGGTGTATGGCTGGGAATAGGCATAACTTCAAATAAAGCCACACACTGTAGAATGTAACTTTTCGAGGCCTACGATTATTGAGTATTAGAAAACAGGCATTGTTTACACGAAGAATGGTATGTTGTTGATAGAAAAAAGTTAATTCATATAAAGTAATGATCTGTAGTTACCTCATCTCATTGTTATCTTCAAAGTCTTTTGAGTGATCTCGATGAATAAATGGACCTGTAATACAGAAAATATGCTAATGAATTTATGAATCAAAGAATTGCATAGGTAAATTAATGAACACTATATTTGATACATTAGTGAGAAAATTCAGTGGTGGTTATCTAACACAAATCAATCAAGGAGTGTAAGCTTAACGTTCAATCATGCTTTACAGCATACGATATATGGCTAGTATAATAAATAATACGAAGAAGCTTCAAGTATTTGAGGTACCACGTGATCTGTGAGGGTCGTAAACGAAAGTGAAAAGAGAGTAAAATGAGTTGAAACAAATAAATGAACTTCAGTGGGAAGTTTTAGAGTCATAAAGAGTATTACTTAGAACATGTATCTAAATTACTGTGTTACCATTTACAGTATGCGATATATGATGTCGGCTGTTGGTTCGAAACATATGAATATCTAGATTGCATGAAGACAGAAAACATACATTCACTGTGACCATAATTGTGGACTATTTCGCAACTCAATTACTAGAAGACTTACTGCTTTTTCCGAAATAATTCCATATTACAAAAGTCAGAAGCTCACTATGAAAAATAAATGATCTGGATACTTCATATGATGCCCGACCACAGCATTAAAAGCTCTAATAAATACACGCAGTGCCTGGGGTGGACGTATAGCTATTTGAGTAGGATAATTAGAGGACACAGTTTATAGTCATATTTTGCAGTGCAATGTACCATTATTGGTCATTTTTCGCTGACGTCATAAATAATGTTAAATTTTAGCTACCTAAAACCAGATACCATCGACTTCCTACTTTACAATGCTAATAAAACTACCCAGGTGTATGAAGTCAGCATTACAAACATAACTATTAAGATAGTCATCGATTTAGTCTAGTTTAGTGTATTGTCTTATGTTTGACGGGCGCATATCATATGACATCTGGTTAGTGCTCTCATTAGATGCAAATAAATGTGATAGGAGATTTTGGTTAAAAAAGGCCCTAATGCGAGTGGACAATCATAAAGTTAATTCACTTATATTGTTTTACTTGAATCTTCCCATTGATGTTTTTGGACTGAAATTGATCAGTCTCTTATTGGCATATGTGCTTATAATGCTTGTAAATTAAGGCAATATCGAGGCATACGCACAGTGTGCACATATGCCAATAAGAGACTGATCAATTTCAGTCCAAAAACATCATGGGAAGATTCAAGTAAAACAATATCAAGTGAATTAAACTTCAACCCATTGCACAAGCAAGTGGCTATCAGGACTCAGTAGCCAAGTGGATAACGCGATGACGTTTGAAGTGAACAGTACTGAGTTCGAGTCCCGGAGTGAACATCAACTCTGAGATGCAGGTAAATCCAGCTGACGAGTCCCAAACGGGACGAAACGCGCGTCCTGGACTCCACTGCTAGCCACTATCCATCTTTGATTATAATCATAAAGTTACTTTCATCATTATATACAATAATGGAATATTTATTGGTGAATATTAGTTCAAGCTGATTTATATTGACAGATGATGTCTTGTTTAATCTGACAATGAGATCACAAATCTTTGTCGACCAACTTGTTTGAAAGATTTCTAACAGATCCCTAAAGTTATCTTTTATGCCATACTAATAATCAAATTTCAGTACTGTTTAGGGTAAGTATAAAACTTATGATATAAATCTCTTCATATTTATCTTTTACATTTCTGTTTATTCGAAATAAAATTTGTCATGTATAGGTAATAAACGTACTTTCTGAAATATCAGAAATGTTATTTCGTGCATTCCTAATAGCGTTTAAACAATTTTCATCGGTGTTCCAATGTGTATTACTTCCTACTGAAGAGTTTTGATCAGAAGACATATTCTCTAAGTTTAAGCATTCTTTCTGTGAAAGTTTTAATTCATCAAACAAGTGATATAGTGAAATAATGTTTAGGTTACGATTCAGTTTTACTTCGTTCAATTTATTTCTAAGATACTAGGAGAAAAAAAAGAAAGAAATTAGAATGAAATGGCTATTTAGTTATGTAATGCAATTATGTACAGCAGTTTATGGATGGGCATAGATAAGACAAGTTGAAAATTATCAACGACTATGCAAAATATAAAATTCATTATTTAATAAGTTTGTTTTAAATATTTTCCATAGTTTGATTAAAAATTTGTGTTTGAAAATAACGGAACCAAGCAACAAATCGTTGTCAGTACTAATAGTTTCGTTGACTACAAGTTAACATGAGTAATGATGAAGTCGATCATATATATATTAGATATAGGATTTGGGAAAAAAATGCAAATCGATCTCATTCATCACACATCACACTATGGTAAGGAAATGAAAAAACTAAGGAATCGAAATAAAATGTCAATAGCAGTGATATACTAAAGTATTAAGAAATATGACTTGAAAATTGTAACTGGACGGTATGGATTACATTTACTCCAAGGACTGTAACATGTAGGTCTGTTTTTCATGACAGTTTGATCTGTTTTTTAATAACTTTCTATATTGGTGTTGTTCATTAATTCAACAGAGCCTAGAATTCGATAATGATGTATTTAAACCCTGTAAAATGTGTTTGGTTGGGTTTTTTATTAGTCGTTGTATCTACTCTTCATTTGGTTCAGATAACGTCAAATGTATTTCATGGTTGCAATTTTTGTTACTGGCTGCTTAAATATTAGCACACTTAAACTTTAAGGAAAGATTCTTATTTTGGTTGGGTTTGGTGGAATTTTGTAGAGAATAACTAAATGTTGTGTGTTGATGACGTTAAACTCCCACGTCCTATTTATTTGGAAGAAATCAGATGTACTGATTCAATAAGATATTCGTTAATTTGATTTATATATAAGTTCATTACGGCCTTCATTTTTATTCAGTCAGCCAGTCAGCTACAACGTAGGACCAGGCACATATATGCATCGGTCCAAGTTGCCATACCTCATTTACACAACATGATGAACACCGAGTTCATAGAAGTAGTAATATATAGAAGAAAGTGTATAGTACAGGAGAAAAGAATTAGTTATTTGAAAGAAAGATATAAAACAATTATAATCTCATAGTTTAAGGGAAGAAAGAGAGTGTATACACCGACGCAATTGTGATCGATTCTGAGCCACGTCACACAGAGTCTCCAGCCATTGGTTACGATAGTCACGCGGACCTCAACAACGTAGTCTGCATCTACCAACATGGCTCAGACCAGAACTTAGTGTCTCCAAGCACTGATGCCACGTTTTGGTTTGGCCGCCCCTAACTTCCTTCCAACTATCCCCAACAATAGTCAGCATTTCGAGTTGTGGTGATCGGTATTCATACATACGCAACACGTGGCCCAACCATCTAAGTCGATGAAGATTTACAACTTCGTCAACTGATTTACCATCATTCCCCATTACCTTGCATCTAACCTCACTATTACTTACCCGGTGATCCCAGCAGATGCCAGCAATATTTCTAAGGCATCTGCGGTCAAATACTAGTAGCTTATGAATATCTTCTACGCTTAATGGCCACGCTTCGCAGCATTAAACCTATGTGGAAATTGCCCTTTATGATAACCTCTTTTATTAATAGCCATTAAATATAACTTGTATAAATGAGACGAATTCTAATTCTTAACAATCTTTTTTGATATCTGTGAATATGTCTTCCTTGCAATATTTGTCTTTTACAGTAGCCAGAGCTAAGTGGTAAAATGAGCTACGATATCTTGAGACCGAGTCATACTTAAATGTAATCACCCTTATCACAAATCATATTGTCATCAAAGACTGATGTTAATCGAAGGATCATGGACAAGTGTTTTTTCATATTTTGAAATCTTTATGTTGTAAACGTTTACGATTACAACTGACAAATATCTTCCGCTTTTTCATCAGATGTTAGTCCTTGATAAAAAGCTATTTTCGTCGAAAACGACATTAATAAATTGTAATCATACACAATCATTTAACTTACTGGATAATCAGTTAGTCTAAACTCATTCGGTCGACGTGTTATATAATCAAACCAACTGATCAGACAATTATCAACAGCTGCACTAACAGGTAAGGCAGCTGAACAAATATATGATGATAAAAATTGATCTCTTGAACTTTTATTCGATGAATAACATACTTCAGTATTATCACAATTATTGATGCTTGCAATTATAATTAAACATAATGGTCTTGGATTGGGTGCAAGAACAAGACCATTTAATTTACAGTTAAAATTAACACATAAATTTAAACTTCCTGTATCAGAAACTGATGAGTTATAATTTGGTTTTAGAACTGTAAATTATTAAAGAAAAGAAAAATCAGAGACAGTGATGATTTAGTCAGTAGAAATAGTAAGAGACAGATAGAGATGAAACGGTGCTTATTTCTTGCTCAGTAATATGTGTCGTCTGAATTATAAGGTATCAATATTATTAATTGTTTTCTATGTAACCAGAAGAAGTATACTTAAACTCACCTACTGAACTAACTACCTATAAGACGAATCATTCAACGTTGTTATTATGTGCTACAAAACAACATTTTCTATTTTTTATAATCTAATTTGATCTGACATGAATATTCCTCTTTATATACATATGTAACTCCTTAATGCCATTAAACTTCAAATAGTTTTTGGTTTTGTGTTCATCAAGCTAAATAGTCATTGCCATTTCGAACATCATTTGGAAGTAGGCTCTAAAGGTGTTATCCAGAATAAAAATGAAAACTGTAATTGAATTATCAAACTCAGAGAACACAATATCAACAAAAGGTTATACTTCAACTGAAAATCTTAAACATTTTTAAAATGCATAATTTAATCGAGCCAGGAATTCTATTCTTCATACTTTATATTAGTTAGTATAACCTAGTGAATTTTAGTTTGTTAATTTGAAATCAATAGTAAGAAATGTATCCGGATTACAAACCTATTGCTTCGTAGTATACGAAGTAAGTTCTGTAATACATTTCAAAATATTTGATTAGAGTAATAATGATCGCATTACAGATAGAGAAAAATACTAATTGCACACAAATCACTTATATATTGATGGTTTTCGGTATGCAAAATAATATTTAACAGTAGATGCTTTTAGTTCATATAGGCATAAACAGACTTTATTTCATTTCAAGATATTTTTGATCGATAATTTTATTCAGTCTTTTAAAACTTACTTTGACCTTCTGGATATTCAATATCAAATGGACATTGAAGATTTTCTTCGTTAATTGATTGAGCTTCACATATTGGTGAAAAATTCCAAAATCCAAATATTTGAATTGGTTGATTTATTTGATAAGCTGTCAGTTTGACTGGTATTCTAACATTTATTCCAGTGGGAATAGGTGGTATTAATATTCTTTCGGGTTCAAATTTCAACTCCAACTTACTTAACTCAATATGAATTTGAAGTGTTTTATAAAGTGAAGAACTAGATTTTGGACTTTGTTCACTGTTTAAATCTTCAGGAAATGTTAAACAAACTGGCAGTTCTAACTTAAAAGATCCTGGTTTATCTAGAAAGAAGGATATATTAATAATGTGTCATAATAACAGTGTTTATAAGTCCTTATCTTATTTACAAATATATGATATGTGTATAATTACTTAGGATCTATGTTTTAGTTTGGAAGAATTAAAGTGTTAAGGGGATAGTTAAAACTGCTTTTGTAACGTTAACATTGAAATTGAAACTTGCGATCACCATAACTTTATGAGTTAATTCAGAATATGTATGTACTCGATCTTTTGACTTCATTGAATATTTATTAAATAATACAACGATAAATGGTTAGATGATGAATAAAATAGACGGTGTTAAATATTATTGGGACTAGACATGTCTTGAGGATTTTAAAAATCAACTATCAAATTACATGCAGTAGAAGGCAGGTATAAATAACTGTTGGGCACTCACGGTAACAAAAAACATATCTAAGTTTATGACACAAATACTACTAAAAAACAAAATAACTTTTATGCATAGTATAATGGTAAGAAGTAATAAAAAGTGACTTCTCTAATTTAAGCTAATAAGTCTTTTCTTGATGGAGTTTTGTTCTCTGGGCTGGATGGTTTGGTCGTGGAGCTTTCATCATTCTTCTGAACAACATCATCAGCACAAACTTCAGGTACAAGTGAAATGTTTGAATTTCTCCACATGTGGTTCACGGCTTGTCCTGTAGACCTCAATAGATTTATCAACCAATCCGAAAAATTATAAACAAACATAGGAACAAAAATCAAACCGATGGGAGATACAACCAAAACAAAGAAGTCAACAATGACAGGTTTAAGGTCAACAAGAACCAATCAATATCGAGGTCTACAGGACGAGCTGTGAACCACATATGGGGGAATTCAAACATTTCACTTCTACCTGAAGTTTGTGCCGATGATGTTGTTCAGAAGAGCGATGCGAGCTCCACGATCAAACCATCCAGCTCAAAGAATAAAAGTCCATCAAAATCATCCACCTGAGCTATAAATATTTTCCACCATCTAATTAGTTTTAACAATTTTATTTCCAACTTCCAACAGTTAAAATGATGAGATTACCTGATGTGATAATAGCAGATCCATTTTTAAACATTACTGATGACAGATTATCGTTTCACAGCATCAGATAGTTTTTCGAATAACAAAATCATTATTTCAATTAAATTGTACAAAATACAAAAAAACGTTTACTTTGAAGGTAACTTTCTTCCAATGGAAAAATTTAATTTTACTTACTTGAACATAATCTAATTTCAAGATGAATTGTTCTATCATCATTTTCTGTAAAATCTCCATTAATGTAACCATCTAAATCAGGCAGTAGTTCTATACCTTGTGCATTGAGTATCGTCAATTTTCCATGAGCATGTTTATTGAAACGTTGAATTTTATGCATGACTAAATGCCATTTCATTGGTAAATTGGTTAGTGACTTTATACAGAGATGCTAAAACATATACATACAATATATGGAAACAGTTTGTATGTACCAACTTCCATGGGATGAGTGCGTAATGTATAGTTTAACTTATGCTATTAGTATTATTCTGGTTAAAAATCGGATTTCAGAGTTTTCTAAACAATGTTTAATCATTGAAAAAAGTGTAATCAGTAATAGTCACTCTAGTTTCAATACAAAGATATGTAAACTATGCAGAATACTTATAAAAACGATCCAAATCGAATACTTTATCATTGACTATACTACCTAAAGATATTTTAATAACCCAATGGCATTAACTGTCATGAAATTACAGAAATTTTTGACCTAGAATCAACCTAAAGTATAACTTTATGAGTCGTAAACATCATTTAATTTGTAGCAGTAAGTATAAAAGATCAATTGTGTTGTCAAATATCTCTAACCATTCATTTCTAAAGTAAAGAGCATTATAGTCAAAAAATACTAAGGTTTAAATCTCACTAATGGTTGACATTTCATACAAAAATGTTATGACATTTTAACTAACTTATATGGAAGACAGTCCGTATCTATTCAATATTTATACACTTGTGTAAAAGACATTCCTAACTAATAATAAATAATTTCAATGGTTGAAATCATGAGTCAATTGAAGCTAGACCACTACGGAAAACCTGGAAGCACTGGACGGTCGTTTCTCCTACTGTGAGACTGCTCAGCAGTGGTCAAGTAGTTAAGTGCTCGCGCGCGGGACTGATAGATCCTAGGTTCAAATCTTTCGAGGGGAGGTCGTGGATGTACACTACTGAGGTGTCCCATACTACAACGAAATGGTCGTCCAGTGTATCAAGGTTTTCCATGGTGGTCTTGCTTCAATTGATTCATGATTTCAACCATTGAAATTACTATAATATCGACAAAACCCTTCCGACAATAATAAACAAACAAAATATTTTCTTGACATTATAATAGTCTTGCAAATATTAGTAATCACTTATTGGTTTATGAAAAGTACAAGTCTTAATTTGAAATAAATAAAAAAATCAAACAATTAACATTTTTCAGTGGTCACAAAATACTTTAATTAGTGAAGATATTAGATTCTTTTGGAATTATTTCAAATCCTATGGATTACTAATGACATTGAAAATAGTAGTTTTTCGAATAAATTTAACGTTATAGTAATAAGTATAGATTTTAGTTAATGTTATCAATGAAGAAGGATAAGGTTATTGGAGCATAAAAGTTTGAATATCCGACAATTAGTTATCAATAATATTGGGTTTAACACAAAAGTAAATAAGTTAAAGTATTCAAATTTGATATCAGAACCGTATGTTTTTACATACCTACCTTGACGCAGTGGTCGGGCTTGCCTATCGTGATGACCCAACCGAGCTATATTGGCTGGAACATATGTTCCTGTAGGTTCTACCATGCCAGGTAGGTCGATTGGAGAACGGTAAGACTAAAAGCAGCAACTCAAGGTCTGAGGGCGAAGTCGTACTACTGACTGTAGAGGGGTGTGACAGCAGTAAGGTGTTTCCCTCAGACAACCAGCATCTGCAGCGATGCTGCCTTCCCACAAGGAAGGGTGGGGTTAGAAAAGATCGACCCTAAAAATGTCACACTGCACCTTGCCTCACGGATTTCCGTCTCCGGCGGTAAGGCCATTTGAAGAACGGAGCTAACACGTTGAAAACCTTCCACAAAAAGGCCGTGCGCGACCGGCATCAAGCAGTTGCCCTTAGACTCTGCGGTCACGCTCCCAGGTCTTCAAAACCAACACTAATCCAATTTCCTTTTCAGGTCCCTCAAGAAATACCCTTCCACGGTGTGGGCATCCGGGAAGTGATATCAGCCCTCATACCCGTAACAGCACACGAGACCAAGTTGGTCACATTCAAATCCTTCCTACACCTCTTAATACCTCTCTTATCTCCATGACTAACCCTCCTCACGTCTCTTTATCACCTCGCACCGCTAGGGCGAACGATTCGAGTACGTGGAACGCTATTCCTGGTCTCCTGAAACCACGCTCTAAACTACACATAGGAGCTTTTAACGTACGAACGCTTTGCCAAATAGGACAGCAGGCTTCCTTAGCTAGGACTTTAAAATCTCGCGCCATCGATGTGTGCTGCGTCTCCGAAACGCGCATACAAGATCCGAGTAGCGTCATTCATTTAACCTCACCATGCCAAAATAAAGAACCGACTTGATTTACGCTTCATGTATCTGGAAGCCCTGATTCTGCTTCCCGTGGCCTCGCCGGCGTAGGTATAGCATTGAGTCCTAGAGCAGAACTAGCTCTCGTAGAGTGGATCCCAGTAGACAGTCGTTTGTGCGCTGTCCGACTGAACGGAACAGTAAGACTCCGGAAAGATAGGGACACTCGTCGTTGCCCTTTCGTTGTCTCTGCCTACTCTCCCACTGACTGCAGCTCAGATGATGTAAAAGATGAGTTTTACAGAAAGCTCTCCGACCTCCTCCGAAAAGCTAGGCGCTCGGATGTAGTAATAATGGCCGGTGACTTTAATGCTCAAGTAGGTAAACCAAGCGATATGGAAAGACACCTAGGTGGATCTTATAGCATCGTGGCTCAAAGAACAGATAATGACGACCGTCTGTTGCAGCTATGCTCAGATAACCGCCTGTTCCTTGCAAATACCAACTTTAAGCATAAGGAAAAACATATTTAAACATGGCGACCCCCTAATTCGTCCCAACGTTGGATCCAAATAGATCACATCGCTATCAGCCACCGATAGAAGACTGTCGCTCATTCTGGAGCACATGCTTAGATTCAGATCACGCTCTAGTACGAGCGCGTATTTGCCTGCGTCTTACTGGACGTAGGAAAGACGCTCCAAGTAAACTTTTTAGGGGCGTACTTAATGATAGTCAAGCTAAGAGTATATTTCAGGAACAACTAGAAAAACAGTTAGGCAGCCATGTATGTGATGCCCACCCCGACGCAGCATGGAATGATATCCGAAAAGCTGTGGAAACAGCAGTGATATCTGCTAGTAAGGTAAACCAGAAGGTTAGGGGGCAACACTGGATCTCAGCAGCATCTATAGCACTGATAGATGCTCGGAAACTCATTCCACCTGGCTCTGAACATAATGAAGAGCAGAGTCAGCTTAAGCGCAAGCTGACAAGAAGTCTACGCAATGATCGCGAACAGTGGTGGCTAGCGAAAGCAAGAGAGATGGAAAAGGCAGCGGCAATAGGTAATAGCAGACAATTGTTTAGACTCGTTAAGGAAACCGGAATTAGGAACCCTACCGTTAGCGAAACAATCTCAGAGAAAGATGGACATATTATTCATTCTCAATCCAGGAGATTGGATCGATGGGCAGAACACTTTAGGTATCAGTTCAACTGGCCTTCAGCCACACTTCGGTTTCCTACGATCTCTAGTCAACCTGAATGGCAAGTTAATGTAGGTCCTCCGTCCCTTTACGAAGTTGAAAAAGCCATAGGAAATCTGAAACGAGGGAGAGCAGCAGGCCCTGACAGGTTTACTCCTGACATTTTTAAGGATGGTGGTTCAGTATTAGCAATGAGATTAACTGAGGTCTTAGGTAGAATTTGGGAACTGGACGTAATCCCATTTGACTGGTCTCAATCACTGATTGTGCCAGTCTATAAGAAAGGACAAAAGTACTCATGTGACAATCACAGGGAAATCAGTTTGACTGTTATTTTAAAATAACAAGGTGTTCAAAACAAAGAAATATCTTTAAATGATGTTTCAACATCATTTGAATATGGCTTTGGTATTAACATGGTTGTCGTCGTTTTTTCCAGAAGTTAATTCATAATTTTTATTAAAAATGATTATAATATCAAACTTTATAGAATAAAATATTGACTTATTTACTTAAAAACTGTATTAATTATTAAAATGTAACTCACTTGATATAAAACATTTGTTGATTCTGAAACTTTATCATTTAATGTAGCAATAAATTTGAGTATACCATTTTTCGGTTCAATTGTAATAGGTTGTCTTAATGCTGTAGCTATAACTCTAGGTTCATAATCTTGACTAGACATTTTTAAATCAGTTTCACCATCAATTATTGTTTCTTCTTCAGCATTAACATTAATATTGTTGGTATCATCTGATTTTTGACTTAAAAGTTTTGGACTAAGTTTATTTATAAGTAGTGGGATCACAAAGTCATGAAATGATACCTGTATTTAGATAAACAAATGTAATAATTTAATTAAATCATCATAAATGATTTCAAATGTACGTCTGAATAAAAAATATGTGTATTATATTTATTCAAGTGCAAGTAAGTATTACAGAACAACAATATGAGATTTATTTGAATACGAATATTTTAAGACTGTTTATTTAATGCAGAAGGACATGGATAGAAAATGTAATGGTGAGACTATAATTTATGGATGACATTTGGACGACGCTGAAGTGACCTTGAGAGCCGATACCTACTGATAAGTGCTAAATGAGAGTGATAAAGCAGTTAGAATTCTCATTTACAGTTGATGGTTAGCATTAAAAATTAGATTTAGGTTTTTCATTACCAGCTGATATTAACTATAATGCCAAAACTCTATTTAGCTAAATGCATGGATGAATTTCCCGCCAAAATTTGTGACTCGTTATCGTGTATTTGATTGGTTCGTCCATGAATTATAGTCTCACCAAAAAGTTATGCAGTAATAATGACGTGTAGAAGCAATTTTTAGATTCTTATTTCAATAATAATCTTTTCTAAAGTTTAGACTACTTGAGGCTGATGGAACAATCGATATACAGTTCAGTTGACTCATGATTTCAATCTGTGAAATTTCTAAAATCTCCACAAACCCCATCTGATAATAATCATCTGCTCACTAGTGACTGACTTCAAGAGATACTCCTGAAGTTCTAGTGAGAAGCCGTCACCAGTGGAGCTCAACCAGGTCTGTTGTGAGATGTCAGCTCACTAAAGACAATAGTATACGGTGGCGCAACTTCATGGATTGGTTGAAGTTAGACACTAACACCATTGGATGCCGGCCCAGTAGTCTAGTTGGTTAAGCGCTTGGCGCGAGACTGGTAGGTCCTGGGTTCAAATGTCGCGGGGTGCGGGATCGTGGATGCGTGCTGCTGAGGAGTCCCGTACTAGGACGAGACGGCCGTCCAGTGCTTCCAGGTTTTTCATGGTGGTCTAGCTTCAATTGACTCATGATATCAACCATTGAAATTATTATAATATCCACAAAACCCGTTCTGATACTTATTTAAAATTATTAATTCAAATCTCTGTGTTAGAAAACACGATTTCCAATGTTAAATATTAAAAAAGACAGATTTAGAATATACTAGTGAACGATAAATTTATTTAGCTTATTTCAATATTAAAAATCATATGTACTGTGTGCTGCCAATGCCCACAGATATAAGTAGCATGTATCATCAAGTGAAATGCCTGGAGTCAGAAGATTAAGAAGATCAAAGAAAAGAGAATGAGAACAGAGAATGATTAATGTGGAAACAAAAACAATAATGAAGTCTAAGACAATTGAATATTCACTGTATGGTTATCAGATTTTAATTAGATATCCTATAATTTCACGTTCAAATAGATTCGATTCTTCCCATTTGTGTTCTCATTCACTGCTCGTTTAAATTAGTTTTAAATTATGTAAAATATAATATTTACATTATGTTTAAATAGAACAACGTACATCTTTAGGTTTATAGACTAGATAACCAATCCATTTACTTTGTGGTGGTATATGAATATGATAAAGACAGGTTGATTTATCGTATTCCAGATAACTGGATGAATGAGGCACTTTGATAGTATTTATAGATATCTTTTCTAATTCTTCTGAATATGAAGAAGAAATAAATTTATTTCTAGTTGAATTATTTCTATTATTAGTATAAATTTGTTCATTCATATATTCATCTAATGAGAGGGAATTTATATGATCGGTAATTTGAAATTCATCGAAATTTTTCAATTGTATTTCTATTAACACACGTGTAATACCATTATTGGTAATCTCAAATGGAAGAGATTTCATTGAACCAATTCTGACACCTGAAAAATAAAGAATAGATGATATTGTCTGTTGTAATGTTCGAAAATCAAATCAACGATTCTGTCATTACAATAAAACTGGATCCGACTAATGTACATGTACTCACTCAGTTCATATTTTCATAACTGAGAATTTTCCTGTTAAAGTATTATCATTAAAAGTTTTACTATTTTCATGGTTTAAATCACAAACTGATCCTAGTTAAACCAACGTTATAAATGTAAAAGCAGCTTATAGAAATTTCGTTCAATGTTGGGTATTCTTAGTACGGGGATATATGAATTTGCCATTGGAAATCAAACGCACTACACTCAGTCTCAAGCTCAGGCGCTTAGTTTCTAGACTACTAAGTCGGGACTTAATGATTTTAATATCCAACTTTGATCAGTTCAAGATATTGTGCAACCTTCATTCATTGAGTACAGTAGATAACAGTCCCATACATTGCGTAATCGATGACCACAAATTTTGTCTGATTCGTGACTGTACTATTATTTGTCGCACGATAAGTAACATAAATTCGTTCTGGTCATCATTACCACAGTTTCAATTGGCGTATAAACTGATTCAAGTGAATATTATATACTGGTCATTTTAATATTAAGTCCTTCACTCGTATGCTGGAGTTTTAAAATATGTTTACACTTTGACTGTGACAATTCTTTTGGATCATTTATCTATGCTTATGGGTGAAGAATCTGACGAAAATTTATTGAGAATCATCTCTTTTTTTCAAGGAACGGTGTTTTATTGTCACGGGAATTTTTAATCAAAATATATTCTTAACATGGATTATATATTGAACCACTTCTAGTATCTATTTCCATTAATCGTTTGAAAACAATCATTCATGTAGCCTACAGATCTAAAATCGATAATATTATCCAACATACCAGTTAATCCTTTTTTTCAGGCCTCCTTAGACGTAGATGTTATGATTTGTAAGTGTAGTTAACTGTTGTACCCTCAGCTCTCGTTTTTATATTTAAATTACATAAGATGTGTTATAAAAATTATCGATTGTTGAAAAGTAAATATAATTAAGTATGGGCATTGAATCACCAGAAAAGTACTTGAAAATACTTTTCATTACGAGCTGGTATCAGCTAAATAATCATTTGAACCACTGAAGATTAAATAGGTGCTTGATTTCAGTTTGCAACGGTTACCAAGGGACGCCCACTCTTCGATATTAAGTCATACCAGTAACTATTGTATCTCACGACAAACTCGATAATCCCGGACCACTGTACCGAAATTCAGTGGTCTGCATACCCAACTTTTGTTAGTTATCACTCCAGAAGGATTCAGATGTCTCATGAAACATTTGTCTAGTGTATCTTAATTTCAACTATTTTCCAGCTGATACCAGCTCATAAAGAACATTGTCGTCAAAATTAACAGTTTTTCAAAACCCAACTAACTAAACAAAAGTAAGGATACTGTAACAAAAAAAACATATGTTTTTATAGTGTTACAACATAACAGGAATAAGATGTATAGATAAAAGAACAACTTGAATCATGCTGAAGATAACGGCTTGTAAATACACTAAATTAAGATTTAACGAACCAAAAATAATCACAACATTAACAGAGGAACAATGTGATAAATTTCTATACCATGAAACATCCTACACATTAAGTGTTGGATGTATGTAAATGATATTAATTTGTCATTTAAGTCCCTATCAAAATTATAACTGTTACTCAATCGATATACTTTGAAGATAGTAACTCATTCGGATATGAATTTATTAAAACATATATGTTCTACATGAAGTGTTCAATGATAAAATTACAAATTGAAGAGTATACAGCATATGAATTGACCATTACTGACAATTGTATAAAGAAATTATGACTGAACTGGCAAGTTCAAAACCATTCAATTGACTCATGATCTCAACTGTTGAAATTACTACAATCTCCACAAAACCCCTTCTGATTCTAATTAAATTAATAGTGACTATTAACCAGAACAAAGTTTACTTTAAACAAAAAAAGTGCAACTTTATTTTTTGATCGTTAATTGATTCTGTGGCTGATGATCTTAATTTATCCACTACTCAACAGGTTTTTTTCCACAGATTGAAATCATGAGTCAACTGAAGCCAGACCACCATGGAAAACCTGAAAGCACTGGACGGCCGTTTCGTCCTAGTATGGTTTTTTTTCTCAACCACTATGTATATTTTATTTGATTTATTGATTAAATATGTTCCACACAAAAGTATTATTAGTGAGATCAATAGCTTTTTATTATTCACATTCATAATGAGGTATTCCTAGTCTTATGTGTAGTATAATTCTATAACCATTTATCATGATCATCAACTAAATAATGTTTATAAATATTTATTCATAGATTCAATTCAACAAAAGAATAAACTTTTCAGAATAAAATCATCTAGTTGATAACTAACTATAGTCAATTCATAAATGGTACAGAAACTTTATCTCGTCTGTTGAAGGTCATGGAAGGTTTGGTTGAGGGAATAAATGAACAAAAACAACATTCTTCATGAAGCTCAACATGAGTTGAAAAATGTCAGATCCTTCGCATACAGTCTTTTCTTAGCTTAAGACAGGTTTATGACTTGGAGGAATCAAAAGATATCGGTTCATGTAAAATTCCCCAAATTCGCAAAACCTTTCGACACAACGTATACACTAATTAAAGACAAGTTTGCGAAGGTGGATTTAATTGATATACTGATATCGTGACTTTGAAGTTACCCAGAAAACTGGATATTTTGCACCAAGGTAAACAAAGAGCACGTGAGCTGCCGGACCTGTACATTAGGAGTTTCACAAGGTATCGTTTCAGATCTACTCTTCTTCCTGGCATCTATCAACGATCTCTTAGATAAGACTAGCATAGCGACCCTGATATATATGCTGACGACATGAAGGCACAGAATTTCATAAGGTGAGAAGAGAAGTCATTCGAGCTCCTAAAGAACATCACAACAACAGAGAAGTTCAAGCTGTTGATTTGCTATGTTATGAACATTCATCTCCATGGCAAATGCAAAACTTACGTCCTCTATCATTATCCTCTTACAGCTATGAAACATGGAGAGTTTATACACCGGCGTAAACTAAATTTGTTTTAGGTGTAAAACAAATCCAACTCAACCTTTTCTTACTCTTCTTGTAACATCTCTGTCTACATGTTACAATTTTGCATGATCATATTACTTGAATTACCAATGGATCCATTCAGTTACTTCTCTTGACCTTCTACTCTACTTCGTTTTTCTTGATTCAATTTTCTGCCATCGTTTTTCTATTGCAGCTTGTCAGTCTTCTACATGATAATTCGATCACTGCTGGTTACAGAAACCCTACCGCCCTATGGCAAACGCAGATACTCAAACTATAAAGTAAATAAACACAAAAATCACTACCAAGCTGACTAGAACTAGTCCGATTGAATGGTAAGAATACCACCACATACGACATCACCAAAAACGGGAAACAGTATTGAAACAACAAAAAGTGAGTGCGAAAAAATCATTTCGCTTACTTTAGCTCGTCACAAAAAACTATATTTGTATATTTGTGATCATGATGTTTCAATGACAGCTAAAGAAACATTTAACTTCTTCCCAATAAATTCATGATTTTATAACTTAAACTAATGAAAACGTACAATAATATACGTTAAAATTCAGTTCCTTTACGATATCGTGTTTCATAAGCTGAATAATCTAATCTTGAAGTTTTCATTTATCTTTTAAGAAATGTACGTGATTTTTTCAACTCCTACTGGAGCCACTCAGGGGGCTTTTGCAGGTCCCAAACCCGGATAAAGGAGGAGGGTTGGGCATGGGGTTAGCGACCCCATACCGTAGAAAACTAACTCTCTAAAAAAACACCAACCAGAAAACTTAATTTTTTCGAGTTTTTATTGCAGAAAACCTCACTGATACCATGCATTTATTTTCTCTGACAAACGTTTATTAACACGGTTGGATGCTGGCTCAGTGATCCAAAGGTTAAGCGTTCGCGCGTGAGACCGTTAGGTCCTGGATTCGAATCCCACGGGGCAGTATCGTAGATACATACTGCTGAGGAGTCCCACAATAGGACGAAACGACCGTTCAGTGCTTCCAGGTTTCTCAGGGTTGTCTAGCTTCAATTGACTAACAATTTCAACTATAAAATGTTTATTTACTTGTACTGTGTGTTATAAAATATAATACAAGAATATACAAAATTTTTAATGTATTTATGAAAAATATATATATGGAAATCATACCACTTTGTGAATTGTTTCCCTAGTGAATAGAAATACAAAACAATAATTTTATTGAAGTGATTGATGATTGAGAGTAGTGATTATGGATTTTATTATTTACATTTTAAAAATAGGATTTAGTGTTGTTACGTGTCGATTTCATCCAAAATGTTTGTTTTTCATGAGTTTCATATTGATCACTACTTTACAATAGTATGAAGAAAGTCGAAGGGAAGATGTTTTGAACCTAGTTCATAATTTCATGGTTCCAAAGGCAGTGGATTTTATCAGATTTATTGTTTCCATGTAGAATGTTAATGAATAGGTAACTAGACAATCCTGTCTATTATTTTTGTGAACAAAAGATCTAGAAATGAAATCTTATATTATATGAAACAGGTAAATGGATGATATTTATAAAATAGATTCAGTAGAGATCCAAAGTAACGGCTCTTCTCGCAATCAAAATATCATCAACAATCTGTCCACACAGGAGACAGAAGGTTCTGGGTTTGAGTTCCTTGGGTGAGGTCGTGGATGAACACTATCGAGAGGTCCCTTACTAAGAAGGAAGAGCTGCCTAGTGCTTCCGAGCTATCATCGATGGTCTAACTTAGATTGTCTCACGGTATAATCCTGTGCTTAGCAACTTCGAGTGACGCAGTGTGAAATCAACCACACTGATGCAACTGTAATCTTTATCAATGTTATCCAAAAGTTAGATTTAGTGTTATTCTATATTTTTCATTCTTCGGTTTCATATATTTCTCTGAATTATGCTTCTCATAACTGACTCTTTTTTACATTTGATATTATTTCCCTACATATGTTTCATTTATTGTTATGTTTCTCACTTATTATGTTTAATTGATGTGTAAAGACATGTAGCTATACACATTTATCCTAGATTTTAGTTATAATCATTGACTGGCTGGATGGTCTTACTCAAACATATAAACTAACTGCAATACCCCATATATCATTTTTCTTCATAATAATTAACTTGTTCTTGGCTAAATTTTTTTTAATTAACAAAAGTGGACTATAAACAATCAACTGTATTATTGGTTCTTTTATTTCTTCTGTATTTAGTATTTTTTAATAAATCTTTCTTTAAACTAATCCGTATCATAATCATAAACTTCCAGGTAATTCTTATATAAAATGTGGTGTGTGCTACTGATGTCCATAGATATAAATAGTATAAACCATCAGTCAAAAGTGAAGTGTCTGGCGGAAGAAGGTTAAAAAGATCTAAGAAAAGAGAACGAGAACAGAATATCATTGGTGTGGAAATGAAAGAACAGTGAATTCTGAGACAATTGATTGACATTTTGCAAATGAAGTATTTACTGTATGGTTCTCAGATTTTACCAAGTTGTTCTGTAATTTTATGTTCAAATACATTCAATTCTCCCCACTTGTGTTCTCGTTCACTTCAAATGAACTTATGTAACTAGGATTATTATTTTCTTGGTTTACAAAAAGTTAGAAATATCATAAAAATTATATTAAATATATTTATTTCAATCCTTTCTGTATCAGATTATTGAAATAATGAATGTAAATGGTTAATTATTCATCCATTTAAGAACAGATTTTTATAAAACACTAAATTGTTATTTCACTTGTTGAAATCATGAGTCAATTGAAGCTAGACCACCATGGAAAACCTGGAAGCACTGGACGGCCGTTTCGTGGAGTTCAACCAGGTCTGTTGTGAGATAGGAACTCACTGAAGATAATGGTGTACGGTGGCGCAACTTCGCGGATTGGTTGAAGTTAGACATAACACCGTTGGATGCCGGCTCGGTGGTCTAGTTGGTTAAGAGCCTGGCGTGAGACTGATAAGTCCTGGGTTCGAAACTCGCGGTGTGCGGGATAGTGGATGCGCACTGCTGAGTCGTCCCACAATAGGACGAAACGGCCGTACAGGTTTTCCATGGTGGTCTAGCTTCAGTTGACTCATGATTTCAACAAGTGAAATTTCTAAAAATCTCCACAAAACCCACTCTGATAATAAATTGTTAGACTGAATTGGATATCTTAGAAAATGTTTTAGATATAAGTTTACTAAATTCATGATTAAATCGTTTAGAATTCATGACAAAGAGTTGTGTGTAGTATAGTTGAGTGCATTTGAATTGTTTCCTCTGTAGAGCATAATTAGAAATTAACAGCTACATGACGATAACAAGAGGAATAATTTCCTATTCATGTATGTTGGTTATAATCGATATTACTACTTTCAATAAAAAAACGTCAGAATATATAAAGAAAAAAGTACTGAAAATGTAAACTTACCACCAAATTCGAAAGTGTTCGGAATTAGCTGAATTTGTGGTTTAAGTACAGTTCCACATACGGATAAATTAAAATCCTGACGATCATATGTACTTAATGTTATAGATGATTCAAATTTACCCAATCCAATTGGTATACAGGTGACCTTAATTTAAAATGAAAGAATAAATTACTTTTGAATGATATTTTTCCGATAAGTTAAATGGATAGTGATATTGTGCGGAAAAACGATTTTGTTTATGATCGGTAATATGAAGCTCTATATTTGCTCACTGTACTATTTATCTTTCACCATTTCATGAACATTTGACTGAAATTCCAACTATCAAGGAAATATTATGATCACATGTTGGTGCTGTAAATATGTGGATGAGTGTAATATGATAGAACTGAGTAAAGTAAATGCACTGCTTGATGTAAGATCCCTGAAGTTCTCATCTATAACGTCCTAGTGCACAATTCGATATTTTATGCTGAACATAGTCATGTTCACACCTTGTAACTAATAAACTATTTAGCATGTTCAGCATATACACGGATACTGAAATATCAATTTTTAATTGAGTGAAATATTCTGAATAATTTGTAAACGAAGACTTATCTAGTAATTCTGAAATGAATCTGAGCATCAGATAGAATTTATGTGTTTTTCTCTGAACGATGTTTAAGGATTATCTCTTATAGTCTTGAATGATTAGAGAATGAGTGACCTACAAATTGATTTCTTCCAATCTCTTACTACATCATATCATATTTATTTCATATTCGAATTTTGTGTAAAAGTATGTTACCATATCAATAAAGGAAACATATTCTCTAGACAAGTGATCTCGTTTTCGACTTCAAATTATTTGTCAGGATTATGTCAATAATTTAGTCTCTTGAGTGGTACAGATAGTGTCATTATGTTCGTCTATCGATCAGCAGTCTGTTCATTGATTTTGAAAATCGAAAGTTCGTTTATTTAATCATATAAGTTCCACACATCAACAATCTCTTTCTAATAGACCCATAGAACGTTAGAATCATTTTCTTGCTTATAAAGTACAAAATGCAAAGTATTTATGAAATTGCTCTAGAAATCATTTTATCATCGTTACATAAATTAGAAGAAAATTAACTATTTCAGGATGGTAAGATCACACATAATCAGTTGGTCTGATATGGTCATACTGTGACGACCACAAAATCAGGATTTTAAATTATTTTTACCTCACTAAATCCTTTCCCGGTAAGTTTAGGTCAGATTTTTAGCAAAAACCTTTCTCAATCTTTTTATTTGTATGACATACATTCACAGGACATAGAAAAAGTCAAGAAACGCTGATTATATTTTCATTACCTACCTACAGTAATTTAGACATTCGATTGATTATGTATATAGATGGTCAGTTCGACTAAACGTATGTTTGTATCTTAATTTTTATCTCTTCCATTGTTGTTTGTAAAGACAGTCAATCAGTAACTTGAATCACGTATTAATTCACATTATCATCAAAATACATACTCATACTCAATCATTATTCTTCTTAACTGCTAAACATATTCTCGAATCACACTGTAAATAACTTTGTATTAGAAGTACTCACGTCATTAATAACAACTCATTTGAAGTTTCAATGAACACAACCATTTCATAGTTGTTTTGGAAGTATTGTATAACATTTTCTTATCTAAACCCAAAATTGCAGTATTTGTGAGTATCCTTATGTATAGATTTTCAGAGGCCATTTGTTCTTTCCTTATTATGAATATTCCTATTCTTGGTTTATTACAGTAGTGATCAGTGAATACCGTAAAAGTAATAAGACCTAACGCCTAGCGAAAGTACTTGATAACTAAATAAATAGCTAGTTATTTCCACTTAAAGTACTATTTTTTGGTTACTTTGGATTTAAATCTTTTAGAGTGGAAAGCAAGTGGTTATTATTGTAACAATGCTCATAAAGTAGCTTTGGAGGTATCTGCAGTAAGTACTAAGGGTGTTTCATTGATTCGTTTCACCACTAGTGTTCGGGTGTTTAATGCTTCTTCAGCGTATCCAAAAGATCGAATAGCTTCAAATTTCACTTCTGACTAACTTCTAACCTGAATATGTTAAGAAATGCTTTCTACAGGTGCGCATATTTTCTAGTTATTTTATAGGATCTAGTTGGTAAGTAGCTTCCAAACTAAATTAACCTATATATTATTAAACTGAAGAAATATATTTTGTTAATGTTACATAACTTTAGTAAAATCATATTTCTCCTATCAGGCGAACAATTACGATAATACTTACATTAAACTGCAATATGAAGATAATAACCTGTCCCAATCAATATAAATATTATAAATATATGCAGAAGTTTATTCATATTTTCTAGTACAAACAGTTGAGTGTTGTAAGGACACTGGTATTTTTTTAGAGAATTGATGGGCCTGTTAAAATGACTTACGGAATATATTTCTGAACTTTGGCTTCCATATTCTAGTCGTGATATGAGTATCTTTTATTGAACAATTTTTATTTAATAATATTTAGTTGAAAACTGTAGATGTTATTAAGTCTTGGAAAGATAAGCTTTCATGGATAGACTAGGGAATTCTTTATTGTGTACATAAAAAGTAAATAGTTTAGTTCGATAGAACCATGAAGTAAACTAATTAAATAACTGAGCCCAATTAGTTCTATATATATGTATATTGATCGAAGATATTCGCAAAACAACTAAACGTTGATAAAGTGAATTAAAATTTTTCGGCCTTATTATATGCAATTGTTTGAATATCTCATTTCAAAAATGAAGTTTTAAAATCTCGTACGGAGATGGCATTCCAATATGTCATTTACAATTGATCAGATACACTCTAGATCAGTATGTTCAAACATTAACAATACTTAAAAGAATCAAGTTTAATTTTTTCTGATGATCCAGAATTAAGATGGTGGGTGATTGTGTGATAAACTACTTTTAGCAAAGTCCATAAAAAGATGTTAAACGCTCTCTGAAGAGGATTAACTATATCGCATGATACACGTAGACCTTAATTCCCTTAAAGAAAATAAACGAAACATTCTAACTCAGTAGGAGACGAAATATTGTAACATGGTACTAAAAAAATCACAATACAAGGTATGACAAGAAAATATGTACTACGTAAACACTGGTTGTAGTACTGAATCAGTCAATGAACAAAGGAGCAAAACCTTCTGAGTAGCAAAAATAGTGGACTGGTACTGGTAAGTTAGATATTTCCCAGACACTCAACGAAACAGTAAGATCCATTGTTTGCGTGATTTGTTTTAAACTTAACTATTCAGTATTTCTTAAAAACTCTGTTAAGTGAACCACACAAGGTTGATAATGGGTTCATAGTTTATTAAAGTTTTGAATCAGAAGAAAACATATAAGTGAATAAGATTGTTTCTGACCAGATGTTCATCAGGCTTTATTCTAGCCTACAATAATATTTAGATACACATATAAAAAATATGTAGGGATCATAATGCATTTAGAGTACTTAACAAGTTCCTGAAATTTCGTTACAAACATTTTATACAACAAGACTTCTATCTGAAGTTTGTTCTGATGATGTTGTTCAGAAGAACGATGAAAGCTACACGACCAAACCATCCAGCTCAGAGAACAAAACTCTATCAAAAACAAGAAAAGTGTTTTACTAAAAAACACATTACCTTTAAAGTTGTCTCACCACCAACTGGGATTTCCCCTTCTATCGGACTAACTTGAATTTCAACTCTTGCTGGTAATGCTCTTGATAATCTATGCATATAAGATGGAATACTACCGTTATGATTTATGGCACTTTTGAATTCTTGGTTAATGTAAAATAGAATAGGATTTTGTCCTAAATTAAATATAGTTATCTGACGTGTATAAGGTAGACCATGGGCTACTGATCCAAGTGGTAGTCGACGTGTAGAAAACGATAATTTACTAGGTAATAGTTTTGCAATACATGATAATTCCAATACTTTGTGATTAACATCAAATTTATTTATTGTTGTAGACAATGTATTTAATTGGTCATAATTTTGATCTAGTAAATTTAAATGAAATTTGCCTTCCATTATAGTGTTAATATTTGGATAATAAACAATTTCACAATTTAATGAAGAAAATGGTTCTACTACACCTATAAAGAAGAAAAAAATGAACTGTGATTATTTCTATAGAATAGGAATGTGTAAATATGCCAGGTTTGAAGTTCCGATAATAAACCTGAAATTAAACACAAATTGTGCGAATACAAGTGAAATAAAATCTAATTTTGTCCCTATTACACATTGGATTCTATCAACTATTCCAATGTGGTCATTAGTCTAAGTGATTGAATATCACCCGGAGTACCTTTCGTTGTTTACTGGTTGTATTTACTAAGTAACAAAACCACTTAAGAACTCATTGGTAACATCTTGAACTATGAAGACGAGCAACGCTGGTTTAGATGCAACAGTGTTAATTTCCTCGAAATTTCACGTACGCCATTTTGATGAGTACCACTGGTAGGAAATCTAGGTTTAAGGATTCCTATCTCTAAACATGAAACAATATCGTATATACTAAAAACCTTACAAAAATGAATTAAATCTAGCTCGGTTATAACTCAATGCTGGGCAATACATTCCATATTGCTTTAAGCCATTTACAAACAATTTATGGTATAAATTTAATTTACTGACAAGGTAATCAGGGTTAAGTTAGAGGATATTGGTTTTTCGAATTAAATTAACTTGAAGATTAAACTATTTTTTATTTATAAGTGCCAATACACGGTGAAAATGAAATGGTGTGAAGTAACATAGAATTTAAATGTAACTTCTTTTATAGATACTGAAACACAGTCTAATATGAATTTGTTCCCTTGTTAAAACTTTCAGTCAAGTAATTATTAACTTATTAAATAATATGCACTTTTGTTAAATGGTTCCCAGATCATTTTGTTGTACTGATATGTTGTTTATCTTTCAAAGTATCTGTCCATAAATATTGTGAAAACTATAAGAAATCATCCATAAAAGCATCTGTGACCTGTTAAACTACTCAAACATGTACTGGTCACTCAAGTGTATGAGATTTAGTGAAAATTCTCATTCTAATATATGGTCAATAAAGAAGGAACGAATCGAACGAAGAAGTTTCTTTTCAGTTAGTTTTCTATCATGACTCCACATTGATATAACAGAACACCATCCGTCTTGGTTGAGCAAAGGATAGGTAGTAGTGATTAAGACTTCTATTCTAGCTCACTTGGTGGACACAGGATATCAAATTGAATTGAATAAAGCTGTTAAGATTATCCACCATATTCCATCAAATTTACCACATGGTTTACGAATTTATCTTTTGTACATTGCTGAAGCCATCGGAATCCATAATCACAAATCAAACCTTTGCATCCAAAAGAAGATTGTACAACCACTCTCGCAACCTGAGCCATTGGTATAAGAGTGAGTTTGTAGCAGAAATTTAACAAACTATTTTCGTAGTTATTCCACTTCTTGTATTTTACCTATTCTCAACATTCGTTTCTTGATTCTTATATAACTACTATATTACTGACCATTCAATAAAATATTTTGTTAATTCTTTCTTCTTTTTTATATATCATCCAACTTAGCAACTGTTTGATTTTTCGAATATCTACTTTGTGTATTATAAAATTTTCATATATATACGATTGTACAGCTTGATAATAAATTCGTTGAAAAGAGATCCCTTCGCTAAACTTCGTGTTTTAATCTTAATGTTTAAATGGTAATTATCTGTCAATCCTCTCTCTTACAATTACTGAATGTTAGTTTATAATCGATATATCATTATATAATTATTATGTAACGTGTCTACTCAATGAGTGTTATTTCATTATTTAAATCATACAGGTATGAAATTTGTTAGAAAATATCATCTCTTTTAAGATGATAAAAGATAAATTTAAAATTATCCAAAAGAAGTCATGCATATTCAATTTTTTTTTACTTTTTGAGCAACAGATTCGGTGAGACTATAATTTATGGACGACCTTGAGAGTGTCTACCGAATTAATAGGGCTGAATAAAGGTTATAAAGCAGTTTGAAGAATAGAGACGATGATTTACAATTGATGGTAAAGGTTAAGATTTAGATTTATTGTTCACATCACGAACTGACAGAAGCTAAAATGCTAAGACGCTATTCGGACGAATGAGTGAGTGAATTTCAACACCTGCTATCCTAAATCTGATTGGTTCGTCCATAAATTATAGTCTTGACGATTTTAGTGATTCCAATAGTTGAAATCATGAGTCAATTGAGGCTAGACCACCATGAAAAACCCTTCTGATAATAATCATCTGCTCAATAGTGACTGATTTCAAGAGGCATTTCCTGGAGTTCTAGTGAGAAGCCGTGACCAGTGGAATTCAACCAAGTCTGTTGTGAGATATCAGCTCACTGAAGACAATGATGTACGGTGGCGCAACTTCGTTGATTTTTTGAAGTTAGACATTAACACCGTTGGATGCCGGCTCAGTGGTTTAATGCTTAAGCGCCCGCGCACGAGACTGATAGGTCTTGGGTTTGAATCTCGCGGGGTGCGGGATCGTGGATGCGCGCTGTTGAGGAGTCCCACACGAGGACGAAACGGCCGTCTAATGCTTCCAGGTTTTCTATGGTAGTCTAGGTTCGACTGATTCGTGATTTCGACTATTGAAATAAATAATTGTCTTGAGAATATAAGATATGTATAGCCCAAGATAAATTATCAATTACTTTCAAATGAATTAAGATTTTTACGATTAAAAATTACATTGTTAAACTTAAATTACATAACAAAATAATATTCTAGAAAATAATAAACTAATTCATTTGATAGTGTAGTGAATGTTATACTACCATAATGCAGTCATATCTGACTTTGACTGCTTTCTGTTACTGTAGATAAACATTTCACTGTTAAACAATATACTACTCAATTTATTTAACCATGTAAACTCTGTTATGTATATACTTAGAATAACACAGTGTATTTATATTATGGCAACTATATTGTACCAAACTATTAAATTGAATAAAGCCATTAATAATAATAATAATAATACAACCAATTTTGATAATGATTAATTTTGGATTAAGCTCCTTTATTAACTTACATAACAGACAATGTTATAAGAATAGTAATAATTCGCATATTCCTTCGTACACTTATGATCTCACCAGATCACATGAACACTAGCTAAAATGCTGATTGCTTGAATATCACTCGATGATCCATTCTCTTCCCTTTGTATATATGTACTTAAGTCGTATTTATCAGCTTTTATTTTGCATTACTATGACCTTATTCGATTTGACTATAAATTTGCCTCTGTATTTGCTCGCACATACATATTCGCCTCTCTGCCTCAAAATTCGCTTAATGTGCTTATACTTTTATGATCTGCGTTATCTGCAAATAAACTTTAGTCAACGCTTCTCATTGCCTTCTGATTTCAATCACCGTTGAAATCTATATAATAACGAAGCAAAGCCATTACTATATATATATCACTTTTAAAAAACGATTGCAGCGATTTATTCCTCACTAAATTCATCTTTAGTATTTACTGCATGTAAGTGTAGTGAAGCCTTTTTCTACATTTAAAATGTATATATTAGTTTGTGCAAGCATAAAAAACATCACTTTTGGCTAAAAACGTTTTAAATCTAGACGATTATAACACTTATACCGGTAGTAAAATCTCTACCCTTATACAGGCACTAAGCAATCATTCATCATGAATAAACTTGAGTTTGTCATTAATCTTTTTAAACAAATGAAGTTCATAAATCTATTATTAAATATGATACCAGGGATAATTGTTTTCGGGTATTGGTAGAACAACTTAAAATCATTGGATCTTTTGATTAGTTTGAAAATTATAAAACAGCACCACGTATGGATAAATTTTTTTCTAGATCAGCATAAACACTTGTATTGAATCTCTACGAAAAATTTAAAGAACTGAAGAAAAAAATAAACCCTCACCTTTTTTTGGGCATATTGTAAAAGGATTTTGATCACCTAATGTTTGCCAACAAAATCTTGCGGAAGCATGTAACGGATTGTGCAATGTAACATATCCAGACATGCCAGTTGTTCTAATTAAACCATATGATAGATTAGCAGAAGTGATTTCGACGGTAGACGGTGTAAGATTCAGTTGAATTGGTACAACTGTTGCACATATAACCAGGTTACTTTTATGTTGATCATTTAATAAGAAACTCAAATTGCTAAATTTGTGTTTAAATAAATCACAGAAATATTCGATTAAATTCTTAGAATATTTTTATCATGTAATGAATAGAGAAGTACATAGATTTATTTCTTTTATAAAAACATTTCCATTTAACAGACTCTATTGATCGTTGAATGATCAATAGTAATATTGTGGTGTGTGCTACTTATATTGACATAAGTAGTATATGATGTTAGTCGTGAACAGAAGGTCTAATAGCAGAGAGACAAGAGGATCAAACAGTAAAGAATGGAAATAAGATGCAATTTATATGAAAATGCAAGAACAATGAAGTCTGAGTCATTTTGAGACAATTGGTGGACATTTTGCAAATTAAGCATTTACTTTGTGATTATTAGATTTTATTAACAAGTCCTGTAATTTTGTATTAAACACATTCGATTGTCCCCACTGGTGTTCTGTTCAGTACAATATGATCATATTATTTTGGTATAAGGGTGTATCTTGATTAGTTTATTGTTTGTCAGTAGGATAAAATACATCATATTTCTTTATTAATTGACTATAATATCGTACGCCGAGAAACTGAGACAGACGTGAGAAGAATGGACAAAAATTGGAAAGAACTAAAAAGGAACGCTCGGGTCAGAGTGGGCTGGAGAATGCTGGTCGGCGGCCTATGCTTCATTGGAGGGGGGAGGGTAACAGGTGTAAGTAAGTAAATAATATCATACTATTCTATTGCTGAGCAAATAATGTGAGGAATTTTGGTAATAATAAATTTTTACCTTATTTATACATAAGCATCGTAATTCACTTTCAGATGAAGTTTTATTGCAAAATTGATAAAACTAAAACAATCCACTTTGTAAGTTAATTCTTAACGAAAACATTAACTTCGAGTAATATAGGATAATGCAATTAATAACCTTAAGTTAATAGTACTAATATTAACTTGTGGATGAATTGATTTTCATTTACTGGAAGTCAAAATAAGCGCCCAAAGATGCTAAATAAAGTTAGCTGAGTTTTTTGTTGCATACTCAGTGTATTATTACAATATGGAGATGTCTGACATACGAGAGATAAAACAGAAAACTAACCATGTATTGTAATAAGGAGCTCTACGATATAGAATATTATAATTTTAAAATATTTCGGTGGATTTCGATCTCTAGATAGTTTAGTCGTGAAGCTGTAATTGTCCAACTAAACGAAACTTCACCAAAATCGTCCACTTGAGCTACATATACTTTCAACCTTCTCAGAATTATATAACATTGAATTTCTTTTCTACTTTAGTGACACGCATAGTTGCCAATTTTGAAAATTCCCAAACAAAACATTTTCCAAAAATGTGTTTCAAACATTCTAGTCGATTCGCTGAATGCTTGGGTGTCTAAAGCAATCTTACCCTAGTAAATCTTAATGATTGTCAGAAATCCTCTTTATAAATGATAACGTTATCCGTTTGTTTTAATTATTTTGTCATAAATCATAATACTGCCGACGTGCTGTCAAATAAATAGCCATAAAAGTAGGTACATAGTTAAGTGACTGACGGGATAGAATGCTGAAATGAACATCACTAAGAAAATCAGAGTCGAGGATCGTGTATATATATATTGAATGAGTATGAAAACTTTTTGCTTTAAGGACAAAAGGTTTTAGTTTTCGTAATCCCGACAGTACTGACTATCATTAAATCCATCATGGATTAAAAAGCATCAACATAAATGAATACTTGAACATTAAGAACGTCCTAGGTATCTTTAAAAATCTCTATGGGGCACTTTACTTTTACTGAAATCAAAGTTTGAAAACTTGGAAATTTTGAGATAATAATGGAAACTTAGAGATTAAAGTTTTACGCTGACTAAAAGATGTCACATTAATGACGTACAAATTTTAATCACTGTACTTGAAACTAGTAACTAGTATTGATTTTATTAGCCTGTAAAACACGAAATTAACAAAAATTCATGAAAACTGTCAAGAAAGAAAATTATATCTTGATAATTTCAGCCTTTATTAAAAAACTTTCAAATTACTATACAACAAATGAGTTTTTCAATGTTTTATTTAAACATTGCCTCTCAGAATGATTTAATCAAACTGCGGTATAAAACAGAAAGTAGCATCTAAAATTGAAGAAAATATTCCAAATATTATTCATAGTTCTTAGAAGCACTAATCTAAAACGGTTAAATGCAACTATTGACCTGTAGATTTCACATGACTTGAATTCAGTTGTTCTCCATGAGATATGTTATATCTAGAGCTTAAATTCATGCTATACCGCGTACTACTTAAGCACTTGAACGCCAGAGCCCTTCAAGTTGCAAATTAGAAGACAGAAGGATGTTATTCCAAACAGTGTCAAATATGATACAAAACAATCGGGTATGCATAGTTTTTAGTAGAAATTAAATTATCATTACAGTCACCCAATTCGCGTACAGTGATTTTTAACATTTGTCCAATGGGGAAGATACATGTCGAGATTCTGGAATGTTCTTCCAAAAGATGATTAGATGGAATATCTTCAGCTCTTTCTGAGCTTCTTAGAGCTTCCTTGAGTTCACTGAGGGGACGTCATCTTATGATAAAACATCAGTGGTGATAATTTACTACAATATTTTATCACTGAAATAGTAGGATATAGTCATTTTGTCCTATCTTGAAAAAATGCCTATGTATATGTACAGCTCTCTCACTACATTATTTACAGTTATAATTGATTTTATGATTTACTTATAATTGCTATTGTGGTGCGTGCTACCTATATTAATGTAAGTAATATATGATGCGAATCAGGAATGTAATGTCTGGCAGCAGAATATGGGGAAGATCAACAAAGGAAGGGCGGGAATAGAAAGCAATTGGTATGGAAATGCAAGAACAATGAAGTTCGAGACAATTAGTGGACAGTTTTCAAATTAAATATTATAGTATGGTTTTTCTATTTTATCAAGTAACTCTGTAATTTTGTGCTAAATATAATTCGGTTGTCCCCACCCATGTTCTGCTGACTACGCCATTACTAATTCCATTGGAAAGACATCCTTCGACTATTACTACAGTGTATTGTTTGAGAGAAAAAAAACCATGAGTAGACTTACCATTGAAAGTTAGACACTTTTGTAATTTTTATTGTAATTGGTATTTCAAGTGTTGATTTTGGTTGAACTATATAATTTCTTATGGTAGTTGGCTTCAATTCTTCAAGAACTATATCCAATTTTATTGAAATACACTGATTTAATGGATTTTTTATTGTAACAAATTTTGTTGATTCCACATTTGGACAAATGGTTCCATAATCAATATTTATTGGAACTATAGACAAAATGACAATAAAGAGATTATAGAAGATTAAAAACATATTCATGATGCAGTGATTTCCACACTGAATTACTACTATGGTCTAATAAACTACATTACTTGTATTTCTACCTTCGTTTCTAACATTGACTATTATACTTTTTAGTATTTTGTTAATTTTCTAAATATATTGTTTGTATTTGAATTGATTATTCTCCAGATTCTGAAAAGTTCTTCTGTTTTATTTATTGAATGAGTGGTTTTAGATCGGTTGATGAATTGTGGCTTTTTTTAATTTTCAGTCATTCGAAATTTGTTGATTATGTGGCAAGGAACAACGGTTTAAACCTAAATCCATATTCAATTATGAATTAAAATCTGTCTGATCTAATAGTTGAGTTGATGAGCCGATGCAAGCAAGATCATCAATCAAAACCTGAAAGTACTAGACGGGCATTCAGTCGTAGTATGGGACTTCTCAGCAGTGCACATCCACGATCCTACATAACGGACTCAAACCATGAGCCTCCGATCTCGAGCGCGAACAATTAACCTCTAGACCACTGAGCCTAGATCCAACGGTGTTAATGTCTAACTTCAACCAATCCATGGTATTGCGCGACCATATTCCATCGTCTTCGGTGGGTAACTGTTATAACTTGTGACCTGTGTGCCCTGGTAATGTATAACGTGGTGATACCACCAATTAGAGAACAGTAATTTATCGACCGTACCAATGAAGCATAAAACAGGTACGAGCAGCCTTGAGTCCTTATCGGTCCCGCTTCCAGCCAGTTAAGTCCAGAACACCAATCTCAGCCTCTGCAATATGAATCATTTATTTCAAGCATACTGGGTTTATATATAAACCAGACAGACCACACCGTAGCATAAAATAGGAAACAACATTTATACACAATTTAGCCAAAAGTGGTTGTGAATGTGGGAAGTACTAATCCATAAACTGCGCATAACTTAAGAATGGTAAATAGCATAATAACGGTTCATAGATCAACATAAAGCTTATGGTAAGGGGGACACATATATGAATAGTCTAGTTACTTAAAAATTATACGATAAAAATATACGTATAGTGTTGGTCCATAAATGGGTCCCAAAAGTTACCATTCATTATTCTCATCGGGATATAACAGTAACTACTTCACACTCGACACGGTAGAACTCCATTGATTACGGTTTTTCACTAGAACTTCGAAAATTACCTCTTAAAGCTAGTCATTGGTGAGCACATATATTTTGGAACTTGCATTCCTATTTCACATTATATTGAACAAGTAGATGTTATCCATCATAACATTCTGATAGTTAAGTATCATATTCATAGAACCATCTTTACAAAAATCCGCTAATGAATCTAGCATTAATCTTCTAACGAAATTAAAGGCAAGAGAGGTTATTCTCTTCAATGTTTAACTTATTATGTTTAACTATATTACAGATGGTGACAGTTACTAAGAATTTAAATAAAATGTATTCATTATTTTCTGTAGAAGAATAACGTGTATATAGGAGGAACTGTCTATTATAATAAGCTATATCGTTATGAAAATCTAATTCTTGTACAAAAACAGTAATTCAAAATAAAACTTACAAATAGATAGTTCATTTATATCACTAACAGAAAGTTTACGTTTACATTCATCACTAACTTTCTTCTTGGTCACCATTTTCAATGATAGAACTCGTTCAGGCTATTAAAAATAATTACAAAGCGAACGTTTAAAGATGTGGAGTGTCTATAATAATGAAAATAAGTTTTATAAGAGATAAAAATAAAAGTATAGAAGATCTATTGAATATGTTCGTCAATAAAAGTCTTCATAATTTACAATGTATTCAAACACTACTAACCGACGCTTACAGATATTAATGTGCATAAGTAATACATAAGTAAATAATTGGAATAATACCGTCTGTTATCGGTTCAGTAGTCCAGTGGTTAAGCGCTCGCGCACGAGACCGATAGGTCCTTGATTCGAATCTCACGGGGGGGGGCAGGATCGTGGGTGAGCACTGCTAGGACGAAACGGGCGTCCAGTGCCTTCAGGTTTCCCATAGTGGTCTAGTGTTAATCGACTCATGAATTCAACTATTAAATTAATATAATAAAGCATTTCTAGATAATGCGAAACAGTAATAAAGTATGGTTTAATGTGTGTTACCAATTTTGCTTATATTATTGAAACTTGAGAATATGTTTGACTCAATGTAAAAGTTTTATTTGAATGAATACTAATGATTGAAATTTAAATAGTCCCCATGTTTCTCTTAACAAACTGTATCAAGCTTCTTCATAAGGATAATGGAAATTGTGTTTTCATTCTACTAAAGGAGTGTTTGTCAGTTTATGAAGAGAAATTATATGAATATTGATTATAGAGTTTATTTCAGATATATTGATTACATTTGATGTATTTTTATATACTACTTAGTTCCCAGTTCCTATCAAGCTAACCATTGAAATTTCCATAAAATATTCACATAAATATGTTTCTAAGTGTTACATCACCTACAGAAATGTTGGTGGACTGATATAAAAAGAAAAGATAGTCATTTCAATAATATTCTGCTATATGAATACTTCAAGATGAATTATTAACGATGAATTGAACTCATTATTAAAGATTCTGATGACGATTGTCTAGTTTCTTTTCATTGATTTCTTACCCTTTGTAATTCTGATGATTTAGTTTTAAAGGCTTAACAGCATACAAATGATATAAATCATTCAACTAACTGAAGGGATTTTATTTATCAGGATACTACTAATACTAATACATTAAAAATAACGTTGTTGAAATTAATAAACACGTTCGATAGTAATGTGGTTTTCATCTTTACTGATTCTTTTTTAACATTAAACGAATTATCATGAGTAGATAGATGGTTTCAATAAACATTCGCTTATGAATTATGTACTAGGAAATTCAAAATATCTCACTTTTCTGAAATAGACACTAAAATATATACAAGACTAATAATAACAAGTGGCAATCAAACTGAAAAGTATTTTCAATCGTATTTTCAATCATTCAGCTACAACATAGGATCAGTCGCATATACACATCGGTTCAAGTTGCCATATCTCATTAGTATAACAAGATGAACACCGAATTCATAGAAGTAGTTACTTCAATGATGAGAATATATAAAAGAAAGATTGTGTATACGGATGTAATATAGTATTATAATCTTCAACAATAATTCTTCGACACATTTCAAAAAGGAATAGATAAGATATTATCTTACTGAAAAATGGTTAGAGTCATCACAAAAAAATATATAATGAGTATTATTAGTGACCTATAATCAAATGGGTAAACATAAATCTATAACTATTTGTTAGAACAATTTCATCTAGCGATAAGTTGACATTGAAAAAAAAGAGGTGGATATTTATGATTATTCGGCGAGACTCTAATTTATGGACGAGCCAATCAGAAGCGTCTGAGAAATTTCAAGGTCATGGAGCCAAGTTCAACACCTGATGCTCACATACGATCGGTTTACAGTGGATTTTAGAGAAAAGGTGATTATTGAGAGGCTACAAGAGATGAGACTACTAAGAAGGTCCTGTACCTGTGACTGCGGTTATCAAATGACCGCAGTAAAGTGTGCAGACTATCGTGATGACAATGTATTTCGTTGTTTTTTATGTTGGAGAAAAACGTCTGCTCGAACGGGGACTTTCTTCGCTCGATCGCGACTGAGACTGAGGCAAATCATGATAATAGTTGCAAATTGGATCATAAAGGCACCAGTAACACTGGTTGCGAAGTTTGCAGATGTTACTGAAACTTCAGCCGTCCAGTGGTATGAGTATCGTTGTGATATATGTGCACTTAAAATGACACGTCTACACCAATCATTCGGAGGAGTCGGAAGTATTGTGGAAATATATGAAACAGTAGTACGAAAGCAAAAATACAACAGAGGACGTAGTATCAAGGAAGATTGGGTAAATAGCACTTCCGTAAATATAATTGACAGGTACTTGGAATTTATGATCGCTCAACGCAAAAGGGGTATTTCCAGAGGGTGAGAAAGTGTCAAGCAAGCACAATAATACCAATTATAAAGGAATACGTGCAGCCGGGCACTACGGTATATACAGATGATTGGAGAGCGTATAGATGCCTTCATGGACTTGGGTATGTCCATCATGTCAAAGTGCATAAACGTCATTTTGTCGACCCTACTTCCGGAGTTCATACTAACAACATTGAAGTCATGTGGTCGAGATTGAAGGAATTTTTAAAACCGTACCACGGCTGCAGAGGACGACTTTTATGGAGCCATATGGACGAGTTCCAATACCGTATGCATTATGATTTCAGAACACCTGAACATTTATCAAACCTGAACAAGTTTTTAAATCATGTAAAAGAAGAATATCCACTGTAATTCATTATTTTCTTATAATATATTTTTACTTTATACTAACTGTCTTCTGATTGGCTAATATTTGTCAAGGTCACTTAGGATTCGTTCAAACGTCGTTCATAAATTAGAGTCTCGTCGATTATTCAATTACTATCTGTTAAATATAATTTGTTAGTGGCTGTTCATTAGCTGTAGAAAGATTTCATTTAGGATTTATCTAAAACATTGTAATTTAGAAATGATTCTCTTCTTAAACTGATATAAGTTGATTATTGATTGAAAATAAAAACTTCTGTCATGACTAATTCTCTATAATTCTTAATTTTGTTTAGAACGAGATTTACATCGATGGTTTTACAATGAACTTTACTAATTGTATACTCTAGATTGGACAATGAAGATTGTTTTTTTTTTCTTTGTTCAAGTTTAGTTTCACAAGAATCATCTTTCATGTAAACGTTTAAACAATATTAATGAAAGAAAAAGTAATTCAATGATATACCTTCCTTTTTTTCTCCACTCTTATGTTATCGCTTATACTGTTCTTCAGTAGATTCATTGGTTGCAGTTTTCTAACTGTATAAATAATTATGTATACAAGTTGGATAAGATTGAAGAAATAAAAGATTAAAAAATGTGTTTGGACAAATGTAAATAAAAACCTTATCACTAACCAATATTGTGTTGTCAATGAGTTAGTACAAATTGAATGAAAATAATCAAGTTGTGATCCGTATGCTTTTCCATGTTTTATAACACTGTGATGTATGCTGTTCGTGGTTTGGTATTTGAAGGCGATCAATGATTTGTGTAATTGAACTTAGATATCGTATAAGGTTCAACGGTAAAATCTTTGATCGTGATATCGATTCAAACATTTACAAGTTAAAGAAAAAACGAACAAGAGATAACTAGGAAATACTGCAGATCTATTAATTGTAGTTCTCTAGATAATTTCTCGATCTCAGACAGAAGGAAACGTTTTATTCAGACAAAAATTATTCAACATATACCTCAAATAAATAATAGTTTCAGAAATAAGTCAATATTTAATTGTACTTTTGTGGTAAACAGATACATGGATATCAGTGAATATTGGAACATATGATGATTACCCAATAAAATAGGCAGAAGGGATTTTAATTCTTTATTTATGAATACGATCCAGTTAATTTACAGTACCATATACTGTATAAATTAAAAGGGTACACAGACGCATATACTGCTCTTAACCAAATTTTATTCACAGCCTAGGAAGTAGTTGGTTACTCAGTTCTATAGTTAGATTCATCAACATATAGTCTTTATGTAAACGTTCTTATATGTAGAGACTTTTTAATTGTAGCTATGAAAACTGAATATAACAAATATAATCTATTAATATTTAACTACTTGGTTGAAACTCCTCGTAATTTTCAATTTTTAATTTCGGTGATATTTTATCCAGTTCCAATAAAACTGAACCATCATTTGGTGGTTTGTTCCATTTCATTAATATACGATCTTTTTGAACTTGTTCAATCATTTGAGCATGACTTCGGTAAACATCAGTATAGGTTAACTGTCGCTTATTTATACTATTCATTTCATCTTCAGTCCATTCATAATCTCGATCCGTATATGTATATCTCGTCAAACGACAATATAAAGTTCTGTGGTCAAAAACAGAAAGAATAAAACCAATATGAATACTTTATTTCTCATCTTATCAAACATATTATATTCTAAAGATAATATTCAAAAAAATGATTACGATGCTCCGAATATGCTGCATTTTCTTAAAAGTCGACTTATGAACATTTACTTATGTAGACTTTATGCTAACCATATGTTAAAATAGTTCGCTCATTAAGATTTTCGTTACTCTTCTTGATCTCATTTGTTTCATGGGAAAACTATTCTCATATTTAGATTGTCGCTATACATATTACCGATTATTTCCCTATCCTTTGATCTTGTTACTTTTCACTCTCTCTCTCTCTCTGTAATGGTGTGTGATGTGGCAAAACGGAACGATATGCATTCATATAACACTCTAAAGTCAGTATGAATGACTGATCAGTTGTTTGATATGCATCCACGTCTTGAATGAATTTACTTTAAATGATATAGGTCTGTTAAATGATTGATTCATAAAATCAATTTTGAATAATTGTGAACATCTTGAAAATTTATGCTAGTAATTATTGACAGCAATGTTTTATTTAAAACAACTTGTTATTTAGTTTATTCTTTTCATCTCCGTTTCTTTCATATTCGTTTCCTTTTTGTGTATTATTTATGTTACCAGTATTCAGTAACTGATATCACTGTCAATCATTTATTGACGATACGGTTCATTGTTGCGTGTTCCTTCTAATGACATAGATCTAAGGTATTTAATCCTTTTTGTTATTGTAATTCTATTTTCTCAATACTCATGACAGGCTTCTTCATCTCTTATCCATATAACGGACATCTGTTTACTGCTAAGAATTTCCTTATTTTGTGTATATATTACTTGTATCAATTTGTTGCCTTCCATTACTGAAGTGATAGAGACTCTGATTGTTACTTAGTTTTATCAAAGTAGTCACATTTCGGTAGAAACTGAATGTGAGTAGATGTCATAGATCAATTACATATGCTGTTAATAATAATAGCACGATATTCTAGACAAATCTCGTGTTTTGATTTCGGGATTTTATGAGTTACTTAATCGCTTGGTCTGAATTCTAGAGTTGATTCAACATGACTTAACATGTTCCTTACAGTTTCTATTTGTTTATAGACTGAATTTCATAATTTAGATACCATACTGTCTCATATGTATAGCATTTTTTTCAAGAAATGAAGAACAAAATACCTCACAAGGGTTATAAACAAGCAAAACAAATGGAATCAACATAGCGATATTTATGTGAAATAGTTTCGTCAGTAATTCATATCAATAAATTGCGGTAGTTACATAACCATTTTAGAAGTTTGTTTGTATTTTATACTAATAATCTTAATAATCATCACGCATTCATGGGTAAATCACTCTAAAATGATCTTCCTGTTGTCCTAATATTCATGACCTTGATCGATGGAATCAGCTAATTCATCAGCATCACAGTATTTCGAAAACTGATTATATTTGAAACTACTAAAGATTCCTTATTTTCAATCGTCTTTTAAATGGCAGAAAAATTCACTTTCAAAATAATGATAACTATTTATACCATATACAGAATATTTAGCATTTATTTCGTTATTTCGGTAATAGTCAGCCTCTATGATAAATTATTGATATGTGCTAAAGAACTCAAACGACAACTCAGTAATTATTTGTTATTTTTGCTTTTTCACTGTCTTCCTCTAGTAACGATTCTTCATGGCTAAATTATTTATGCAACCATCATAAATTCCCAGTAAACCATTAATTAAAATATATTACTTCTGCATATGTTTCTCTTTTGTATACATTTCCTAACAAATGATACCACTATAAGTTTCCAAATTGTAATCCAGATACAGATAATGTTACTTTCATTATTGTATGCTCAGATAGCTATTTAATGATTTATATATATATATATATATATATATATATATATATATATATATATATATATATATGGGTGATTTTTAAACAACGAATGTTTATTTAGAATAATATAAAGATGTAAATCTCCAACTTCAAGAGTCAGCCATATTTGTTGTAAACTTTTAAGTAATTGACTAAATAATCAAATTATATGGGTTCAACTCCGCCTGGAGTCCATCCAGGGGCTTTTGCAGGTCCCAAGCCCGGATAAAGGGGGAGGGTTGGACATGGGGTTAGCGACCCCATCCCGTAGAAAACTAAGTCGCTAAAAAGCGCTAACCAGATAGGTTCAACTGTGTTCTGACACTTGTTTTTTCTAATTAGGCTTCCATGATAAAATGTGATATTTAACAAAAAATGGATTGAAAGAACATTTACAAAAATGGTATTTGGCATCATACAAACAATGACAAATGAAATCTGCTTCTTGTTATTACAATATTATCGTGATGTTGTTTCCAAAATTCGTTTCTTAGATATGTATATATATGGGAAGTAATACATGTTTTACATCCAAAATATATTGTGGAGATTTCAGCAGAATTTTGTCTGTTGATATTCAATAAAGTATTTAATAAACTACTCCTGGTATTATAAATAATCAATGTGAATAACGAATGTCAGTAGCTCAGTGAAAAATGAATTACATGTTTAAACGAAAAAGTGATTATTAATTACTTACTTGAATTCTTCACGTTTATTTGCTGGTCTAATACTGGCAAGTCTATCATTTGGGAAAGCGATTTTTGTAGACATTGTAGTATTTAATTCAGATCTTGATACATGAGATTTAAGACCTTTTAAACTTTTCATACTCATAAGACTAATAATTGCAGCTCTTGGGCATTCGTAATTCGATCCGAATGTGACAAGATCTGTATTTCTACCAACTTCATTTGCCCATTTAGGAATGATCCCTAAAAGATGTGAGCACATTTATTGCTATAAGCTGAATAGATTAGGAATCATTATTCACGCAGTATTTATCAAAAATGACCTTTTAGAAAACATCAGTCATCATGAGCAATTAATTTCGGGCAAGAGAAACGATCCAGATGTTTGAGATAACAATGTCTCATTACGTAAAACTAATTATTGTTTGGTTCTCTTAAGAGTTTTACAATTAAGCAGTAAAAATTAATTAACATGTGGTGGTTTCTTTGTATTTCGCAACAATTAGAAATGCATATGCACAACACCATATAATATCGATCTTCAGAAATTCAGATAGTACTTTGTGTTACACCCTTTAATCCCCGATTCACAGTCTGACGCTTCAATTTACCATTAACACGATGAGAAGACCCATTTTCAAACTAAACTAATCATATACAAATAGTCCAGTTAAGTAATAATAACGGTCTCACTGACAGATTACTTAAAGTTACATTTAGGAAACTTCGTGATATTTTGATGTCAAAAAACTTGATAATTATACAGTAAGTTATCTATTACATTGAACAATGGTGGAATTATATTGTGAAATAATAAGACGTTTATCTAATACTTCCTTGTGCTTGTTACTTCTCTGCCCGACCTCAGTTCATGATCTAAACTACTTTTAAACTGATTCATTTTTCACAAACAACTGAAATAAGCAGAAACACAATATTTCAAATAAGCCCAACATGATAAAAAGTGTTTTTATCAAGGGGTAATGATGAGCAATGATAATAAGTATCTTACCAGCAAGCGTTAATTACTTTTTAAAAATATCTGTAACTGCAATGATTTTAGACATGAGTTCTAAACTAGTTAGAAAGTTAGTTGGATACACAAAACATATATGGGATGATGTAATGAAGTAAAGTTGTTTTGGGAGAGGCTGATATTTTAACTTATTCAAACAGTCATCGTACAAGGGTTAAACTTCTGTTCTACTTAGATATGAAGCTTATTCACTAAAAATTCTAAATCATAATGTTAAAGAAAAGATTAATTGAACGATAAGAGTAACCTTCTTAGTAAGAATGAACATCCTACAAAATTTATCAGTAGACATAAGAACAAGATAAGAATAAGAACAAAGACTACTTTGAAGAGACTACCTTTATAAATCTATAGATTAAAAGCAATATCATCTGTAAGAATTAAAATCAAAGAACAGGAAAGACTGCGAAGAAAACGCCCGCTGCAGTTGAAAACGAAAGTGGTTTCTGATACTCATCCGATAATAAAATTTGGTGATGAAAAACAGATTGTCTGAATATGTAACATCTACGTGTACATCACTTCAACCGCTCTTGTGGAGCCAGTTGCATAACACGTATAATTTATCCTGTAGTCATTGTACTAACGAACACCATCCAGCCTGACTGAGAAAAAAATAGTTAAGTCTGATTAAGAATTCTATTCTCCTTTTCTTGGTTGACACAGAGCATCAAGCTAACATCAGTAAAGCTCGTTAATTGATCCATTATATTCCATCAAATGTTCACAAACCTAATCTTTGTATTAAAAATTCTTTACAATCTCCCTCCAATATAGTTGTCAACATAGGCTGTACCAAGATGGGTCAAAATATATATTTTATCCTTAAATTTTTATGTTACTCTGTGTTCTTATTTAATTTTAATATTCGTTTGTTTATTCTCATATAATTGTGGTGTGTGCTACTTAGATTGACATAAGTAGTATATGATGTTAGTCGTGAACAGAAGGTCTGACAGCAGAGAGACAAGAGGATCGAACAGTAAATAAGGGAAATAGGATGCAATTTGTATGAAAATGCAAGAACAATGAAGTCTGAGTCATTTTGAGACAATTGGTGGACATTTTGTAAATAAGGCTTTTACTTTATGATTGTTAGATTTTATTAACAAGTTCTGTAATTTTGTGTTAAATACATTCGATTGTCCCCACCCGTGTTCTTGTTCACTACATAACTACTAATTAAATTGACTTGTTACCACAACATATTTTCAATCATTTGATCATATGGTTTGTTATCTGTCAACTACCGGACGATAGTTTTTTTTTTCAATATTTTACAACCTAATACTTTGATTATTATAAATGGCGCGTTCTCTTTTCGATTACTTAATTATTCAGTCAACATTATTTTCATGATCATTTATGAAAATGAAATATTATTACATAATAAGTTGATTTGTCTTCTTTGAAATGTATGATCTTCGAAAAAATGTCTCATTATTGTCAAATGTTTACAAGTTAATCAAACTTTTAAATAATATCTGACAGTAAACTTTAAGAAATATACTGTTATATCCGAGCGAAGATTAAATCACGAGTAACTTCTGACTAATATTATCTATACATTCTTATAGTATAACTATTCAATAATTAGATTATGTTTATTTATATTCCCTTTATTATAAGCTTTATTTTGACCTATAATTCATTATTTTACGATGTACTGTTCTTATGCTATGTTCAGTTTATTGACTATTGCCTCCCACGTTCACAGCCACTTTTTGGTTTTATTGTATACAAATGTTATTTCCTATTTTATGGTGCGTTGCGGTCTGTTTGATTTATATATAAACCCAGTATATCTGAAATAAATGATCCGATTCGATTCGCGTAGTGGGAGCTGGTATTGGTGTTCTGGACTCAAGTGGACGGGCTAGGCGGAAATAGGACCGATAAGGACGCTAGGCTGCTCATACCGGTCGAACGTCATTCGTTTGGCATGGTGCTAAGATTGTATAAGTCGTATTTTGATTGGTGGGTAAATCACTTGATAAAAAGCCGGACAAGAAACATACCACTTTCTTTTTAGTATTTTTCTATTGAATGTATTTGAATACCAGTGTTGGTGTTTATATTAAAAAATAAACTCTGAGCAAGTCCACTCTCCCCATTCTTGTTCAACTTTGTCATTGACGTACTTTTAGAGATAACACTCTCCTCATCTAAATTTACAGGGGTTGAACTTCTACCAGGAGGTTCACTTGTTGACTTAGAATATGCAGATGACATAGTTTTATTTGGTGAAGACGCTGACATAATGCAGAGTCTTCTGGCCACTCTAAGCAACAATGCAAGCATGTTTGGGATGCGATTCTCTCCCTCGAAATGCAAAATGTTGCTTCAGGATTGGGTTACATCGACACCCGAACTAGTGATAGGGAGTGAAGTAGTTGAGTGTGTCGACCGCTTCACTTATCTTGGAAGTCTCATCAGCCCTTGTGGTTTGGTGTGTGACGAAATCTCAGCACGGATACAGAAGGCTCGACTAGCTTTTGCCAACTTGCGTCATTTATGGCGTAGGCGAGATATCCGTCTATCAACCAAAGGACGTGTTTACTGCGCAGCAGTTCGTTCCGTCCTTCTTTATGGCAGTGAAACATGGCCGGTAAGAGTAGAGGATATCCGTAGGTTACCAGTATTCGATTAAAGGTGTCTTCGAAACATTGCTCGTATATCATGGGACCATCGAGTAAGTAACACAGTTGTTAGGAAACGGGTACTAGGTAAAGATGGCAAATCAATTGATGACGTAGTGAAACTTCATCAGTTGAGATGGCTGGGACACGTGTTACGTATGGCCAACGACCGACTGCCTCGACGTGCTATGTTCAGTGGTATAGGAGTAGGTTGGAAGAAAGCTAGGGGCGGCCAAACCAAAACATGGCTCAAGTCCATGAAGTCACTGACAAGTGAACTGAGTCATGTTGGTAGGTGTAGACTACCTGGTTGGGGACCGCGAGATGACAGCAACCGATGGTTAGAGACCCTGAATGACATGGCTCAAAATCGTTCGCAATGGCGCAGGTGCATCCACTCTCTGTGTTCTCCCAAACTCTAATCTTCTGAATTCTTCATGTCCCTTTTTCCCTCTTTCCAAATTTCTTTCACTGGATTATACTCTTTAAATAACATCTCCAAACCCTAATCTTCCCGATTACTGCTTATACTCTTATTACCTCTACCACTACGGGATTTGAATCGACCACTGCATCTCTGTGCTAATGTGGTGTGGCAACTCGAACTGATGTACGTACGTACGAAGTTCTACGTTGTTACTGACTGACTGACTGAAGTACAAGCCAGTATAAATAATAAGATAACGTGATTCATCAACAAAGTAAATAACCTTTAGACGCTTAAATCAATAGAACATGGGTTCTAGTGCCTATATCAAAATAATCACTATCATTTATGTACATCCAAGTGACAAATCCCAGGTAAGGTGAATAAAGTGTCTTGCGTTTTATCGACAGTCCTTATCTAAATTCATATGTGAATAAATTAACTGATTATTCGAAAGAAAAAAAAACAAAAAATTACCTGGATTAAATTTTATTTCTGGTGGTATTGTTAAAGCCGGTGAATAACCATGAAAAATGAGTTTACACTGATATATAACAACTGGATTTACACCAGTTAAATAGTTGAGAATGTGAACATTCTGAACAGCATGAAATTCTCCTTTTAAATACAAAAAGTGATATTGTTAAACAAATAAAATTGAATATAATTGAACAACAACATGATACAAGGTGGCCTGCTTGAATACCTGTTCCTGTCATCTAGATATTTCAACAAATTATCTGTTTCCTTGTTTGATTTAACAGATCATTATGTCAATTAATTGCATAACCTATTCAGGTGCGTTTGTGCAAAGTTTATAACCACTCACAGTACAAGTTACAAAAATGTACAATCGAAGATATCGTGATTACTGACAATATGAATTGAAAAGAATGAATATTATTCAAGATGACGATTTCTGAAATGATAACATTTAACTGGTGATAGCTCAACATTACTCGTTAATATCGATCACGAAACAAGAAATGGAAACGCACTAAAATATTTTGTGCTAAGATTATAGATGGTAAAACTATTTGAAAGTTCCAAAGTTTATTGGTTTAAAGATAGATTTCTAACTAAAACTTATTAAATAAATTAAATAATTTGTCTGAATACATCCACTGGCGGAAAGACTATAGTTTAAGCATATGATGGTCTACACTTCATATATTATGGTAAAGTTTTGAATTCTAAATCTTGTTTGTAAGTGGAAAGATTTATTCCAATTTAACACAAAAGTTATCATTACTATCTTGATAACATTTTAATTCCCAATTGTATTCAAATTATACCTTAATTACATTGATTTCTGGGATTTAACTTAATTATTTATAACTAGATCAATCAAGACTTTACATATCTGTGGTGTTTTAATGAACTAATGATTCATTTGTACTTGTTGAATGCTTGATTTTGAATTCTAAATACATTACATTCGTTTGTGGTTATCTAGTATTTCTTGATCCGATTACGTTATTTCTGGAATTCTTAGTTCATAATATAACTCCGCCTGGAGTCCCTCCGGGAGCTACTGCCGGTCCCGAGCCCGGACAAAGGAGGAAGGTTGAGCATGTATCCCATAGAAAACTAACTCGCTAAAAAAACGCTAACCAAAAAAAATTAAGGAGTTCATACTATAATTCAAATAATTTTAATGATCATAATATCACTTTATGATGCTGTAAAAATTATAAATCAAGACTCAGAAAATTTATCAGTAATAAATAAACTCACCAATTTGTTTTGGACTGAAAGAAACAGTAATTAAACAATCTTTTTGTGGATCAATTATTCCTTTTTCTGGTTTTACAATGAAATGAGCAATTCGAGGCATTCTATAATGAATTGGTAAATGTTTACTATAATTTGATAATTTCAATTGAGTACATTGTTTTGAACCAACTATACATTGAGGAAATTGTATAATAAATTGATTTTCATATATTTTATTAACTTTAACATTTTCATTACTAATTATTGTATTTAATCCGTTAGTTTTATTTAAATTATGATTGTCTACATTCATTGATTCATTAATTGGTGATATCTGAAATTGTACTGGTATTAAACAACCTGTTAAGACTATTTCTAAATTGTTCTGATCATCCATTACGATGGAAGATTGTGAAGAACTGATTAACTCTAAATGAAAAAAAATGTAAATAATTTCATCAATGTAATCGAATAGATTATTTTGCAAAATAGAACCTGTTTTTTTTATTCTATTGATATAGTTCTGTATAGTTTGAATTGAACTAACAAAATACTAATGAGTAGATATAGATACATAGAGCAATCATTTTCACTTCTTTTACCTCTACTAGTATTATACATCATTCATTATTTTAGTTGTATAGAATATTTTTTTTAAAGTATTTGATAGATATTGAAATGTTTTTGATTGAAATCATGAACCGATTGATGTTAGACGACCATAAAAATCTGGAAGCATTGGACGGCCGTTTCGTCCTATTGTGTGGCTCCACGGCAGTGCGCATCCACGACCCCGCTTGCGGGATTCGAACCCAGAGCCTACAGTCTCACATGCGAACGCTTAACCTACCGGACCACCGAGCCGGCATCGAATGATGTTAGTGTCTAACATTAACCAATCCAAGAAATTGCGCAACCATCTTCCATTTTACTGAGGTAGACACCTGCTTCTACCCGACACGGATTAGCTCCACTGGTCACGTGCTAGCATTACACTCGATTGGTCACGGCTTCTCACTAGAATTCCGAGAATTTTCTCACGAAGCTAGTCACTAGTGAGCACATGGTAGATTTGACATTAACACCATTGGATGCCGGTTCAGTGGTCCAGTAGGTTACGTGTTCGCGCGCGAGACCGAAGGCCCTGGGTTCGAATCCCGTGTGCGGGATCGTGGATGCGCACTGCCGAGGAGTCACACAATAGGACGAGACGGCAACATAATGTCACAGTTTTTATACTACACCATGAGTTAATATAAAATTTTAATTATTTTTAACTTTAAATAGTACTTTCACTATGTGTAATACATCTTATAATTAAAATTTGTTACCAGAAATCATAGTGTTGATAGTTGTTAAAGTTTTTTCTTGAAATTATTTTTGATCAGATCAGTAAGTTTGTTAAGGAAATTTTTGAGATCAAAATATAGAATTTTCACAAAATCAAACAACTTTTCCTTAAGATAAGCTATTATCATTGAATATTGTATGCTAATCAAAATAGATCTATTTATATAGTATATTAGAAAATTTTACAAAATATATTAGTTTACATAGAAATGAATATACAAATAATAAACTTATCAATATGCCACCTTTTTAAGAAACTATTTCTAATTATAAGCGTATTATTTTGTAAGTGAGTATTTGCTTCATTATTTTATGATTGTTTAGTTAGTGATACTTCTTATTTCTAAAACTTTCTCAATTCTACTAATATTTTACAATAATAAAACAACTATTGACAGTGAAAATGTTTATGTCTTTACGATTAATTGTTGTACATGAAACTTTACACAATTAGAAAATATTTATAAAACATTTCTTTGATTTTGGTTAGATGAAGTAAATAGTTTTCCGTACTTAACAGGTAAAAAGTTACATGTTTAGAATATGAGAAATCAGTCAGTCACCCAGTAACAACGTAGACCTTCGTACGTACGTACATCAGTTCAAGTTGTCATACCACAATAACACACAAATACAATTTTCGATTCGAATCGCATGGTAGTAGAGGTAGTAAAAGTATAAGCAGTAATCGAAAAGATTAGGGTTTGAAGATGTTATTCAAGGAGTGCAATCCAGTGAAATAAATTTGGAAAGACAAAAAGGGGACATGAAGAATTCAGAAGATTAGAACTTAGGAGAACAAAATAATAGATGCACCTGCACCATTGCAAGCAATTTTGAGCCATGTTATTCAAGGCCTCTAACCATTGGTTGCTATCATCTCGCGGTCCCCAACCAGGTAGTCTACACCTACCAATATGACTCAGTCTACTTGTCAGTGACTTCATGGACTTGTGCCATGTTTTGGTCTGGCCGCCCCTAGTTTTCTTCCAATCTACTCCTATACAACAAAACTTCGCACATCAAGGCAGCCGGTGGTTGGACATACGTAACACGTGTCTCAGTTATCTCAACTGATGAAGTTTCACTACGTCATCAATTGATTTGTCATCCTTACCTAGTACTCGTTTCCTTACAACTGCATTACTTACTCGGTGGTCCCAGGATATACGTGCAATCCTATAAGTTAATAAAGTCATAAGTGGATGAAACAAAAAGTATGTGAAATCTTTATTGAACCTAAATTAACAAAATTTTTCTTACTCTTTTGATCAAAAGAATCACAAGAACTGAGGTCTACTTTGTGTATACGAAGGCATATGGAAAATGGTTTTATTGCTGGAGATTCATTTAAACTGACAAAACCTTGTTTTGGTTTCTTCCATCTAGGAGAAAGACATAAAGAGATTGGCAGCTTTTCGAATGGTTTTAATTGCCCACAATCCGGATTTATGCTGAAGTACTCATTTAGTTTAAATTTTGAATCGTTCTGTTCATACTTTGGTACACTTTCACTACCGGGATTATTATTTTCCAAACCCTGGCAACAAAAAAATCATTTTGAACACACGTAATATTGAATAATGCTATTAATAATAATAATAATAATAATAATAATAATAATAATAATCTGTAACACTGGAAAATTTAAAGATTTCATGGAAATAAAATTTTTATGTAATACATCTCTAATTTGTAATTACTTTCCGAGAGGTTGTAATGTTTATAAATGGGGCGAATTGGTATCCATTTCAAGTGTATGATACCTTTTAACTTATTATTGATGATACTCACACAATTCTACAACAACATAAATGTAGACGTTCGTAGAGAATTCCTTTTATGTCTTAACTCAAATTGTATGGACAAAACTGCAAAGCTATATCTATTTCGCTTGAGCGGTCGTAAGTCAAATTTCTCACAAGTTGAAGTACGTATTTTGACAAGTAGAAGTGTTTTGTATTACAGCTTTAATTTACAGTAACATTAAGTAAACCTCACCTACACATTTTATGTAAAAATGAACTGATATGGTATCATAATATTTCAATTAGACCAGTTGTGAAGTTCCTCGTCACTTTGGAGACTTCTGTTAATATGTTTGCATACGATAAAAGTATAAGTACACCAAAGCTTGGTAAGCCTATCATTCGTATACCTAAAAAATGAGTGATTGATTAAATCTATAGTTTGAGACTAATAAAGTACTAGTTAGTTGTTACAAAGAAGTGCTCAAAACGTTTCTAATATAGCCAAAGTGCCGATCATTTGCAAGCTAGAATTAACAAGTATTATCAAATTGACTGCAAAATAAGACTACGGAAATGATAACTGGTGTCCTAAATTCCAATTTATTAGTTTATTTACATTGTTACTATGATTGACTGATACATTAGATGTTAAGGTAATTGCCCCTTATTTTACTAGGATCCCAAAAGAAAGTACAGAAAAACATTACGTTTTACTGTTTACAACAGTCTAATCAGGCTACAATCTCATTTCTGTTAATAAACTCAATTCATTTCAATTCCATTGGAGATCACAAAATTTACTTAGTTCAACTAGGGACTCTACCACATGTCAGGAGGAAATCCTGACAAATTTTCAAAGTTTTGGAATTAAGTTTTTAAAATAATATCAATTAATATTACGGTAACTTTCTACACATATTAATTTCAAGTCAATACTATTTTTTAAAACAATGATCACAAAACGCTTGCTTGACAAATGAAATAAAATAACATTTGGGTTCCTGATAAATCTTACTTGAGGTTTCAGGAATGATCTTACTTTGTGCAGTACTTTTGAAACAACTTTCTTACAGTGACTCATTGAAATATTCCCACACGATTAACTTATAATTGAGTATATAACGTTTAAACCAACCGATTACTTAGTTACCATTTACCAATTTCATTCCTGTCTCTTTTCCAACATTCTGTTCGTATATTTTATCTTCAACATTGTTATCAAGATGTGCAGAAACTTAAACTAGTACGTCTTTGCATAGAAATACACACCAGTCACCCAACATTAAAAATACAGGCACCTTTTTGAACACGCTAGGTTATAGCGTTCTTTGTTTCTCGTAATTTACGTTGACAGTTAAACTGATGGGTCATATTAAAAGTTTGAATCAAGTTTCATGTGAGATGATTAAAAAATTAGTAGACTACGTATGTAACTTGAAAATGAAGCGTTTGTTAAAACTTATTTAGTCAGTAATTTTTATTGAAGTTTCATATTTTTCCGACATCCTATTATTGTTTATCAATTGCTTTTCATTAAAGTGTTAATAAGTTATGACTTCTACCTTCGATTATCATCCAAATACATCGTGTTCATTGTCAAAGACCTTAATCTAACTTACACTTCCGTTATGTAGCCAAATCCTTAAGATAATCCCATTTATACTTAATAAAGTTGGCTCAAAGCTGCCGATATTCAGTAGCTTATTTGCAAACTTGCATTCACATTCTGAATGCATTTTATCTGCACATAATGCAAAAATGGAAGGAAATTACAGCTGCAATTATTAGACTCTTCTAAGATGTTGTCATCGATGTAGTAATCGTTCGTTTTTCACTCATTATTTTTATTCATTTTCATTTAATCTATCCAAAGTAATAATTTTGGAACAGTTTCTCTTCTGATTGTGGCTAAAAAATAGGGTTCAACAAAAATTTATCCAAGGTTTAGTAGACTTGGGTATGTAAACCGAATATTTCCCCCTCTTTAGGTCCTGAATCACATAAATACCTACCGACTCTCGGCTATAATTTCATTTCCTGAATTCGATGAAGCCCTCAAATTTGTTGGTCGACACGCCATGGGTCAGTGTCTATGATTGAAGGTGTGCTAAAGAAGTGGACTAACCCCGTACATGTTCTCAACTCGAACGCTACTGACCGGGACAGGGCTTACAGCGAACTGTTGTCGGAAATTACATCGTGAAGCGCAGTTCGTCAGGGTTGTCTGCGTTCTCCCTTTTTATTTAATTTTGCTACAATTATGCTTTCAGAAGAGACGGTTCTATCGTCCAAATTTTCAGAAGTTGATATTATAACGGAAGACCCACCTGTTGACTTAGAATAGATAAATGATGTAGTCCTGTTTGGTGAAGGCATGAAAGAGATATGGCCTTTTGATTGATCTAAGCAAGGGTGTATTGATGCTTAGTATGCTCGCCCTTATATCAAAACGTAAGATGTTGCTTTAATACTGGTGTACGCCAACGCCTAAATTAATATTAGGGGGCAAAGTGGTTAAGAGCATCAACTACTTCATATATCTTAGAGCTCCCATTAACCCTGGTAGGTTATTGTGTGACGGAATCTAAGAACGGATTCTGATAAAAGCTGGTGCTTCATATGTACTTGATCTCCTGGTGATTACGAATTTCAGATATAATAAATATATTTTTGTTCATCTGGTTCTACTTGTCTTAAATTGCACTATTTCGAGAATTCCTAGTTAATACAGTAATTCGAATACTATAAATTATCATAGAAGGCTAGAGGGGGAGTAGCCAAAATGTAGTATCAGTCTACAAAGTCGTAGACTGCTGGACTAACCCATGTGGGTAGGTGGTTGCTACCTGATTTAAGTCCATGCAATTATCGAGACCAATGGTTGGAAACTGTAGATGACATATATTAAACTGATTAGTAATAATGTAGGAGCATTTACTCTTTGTCTTCCCTTAGATTTTGATGTTTACTGTTATCTACGGAAAACGTTATCATATAAATATTTATTTTTCCCTTAAATTATATCAGCTGTCCATGATTTTTTTGTTACTATTAATATCGTCACCATGTGCACTACCCTTGTATCCCATTGTGTTATTGTCGTATTACAACCGATCTGTATATATGTCGGCTTTTCACTTCGTTTCACTTAATATGAAAAAGATGTAGTAGTTACAGTGGTGACGTTTTGTTACTGTGTACGCCCAAAAGCTATCCACTTACAGGTATATTAGCCCTATAATGGTGGGAGTCTTGTCAAGCAAGCTTTCAGTATTCAGGCACTTTGAACTTTGTTTGTGCAGGGTTGGTTATGAAGGTAAATTTTAATATTTCCAAACTACTTTTCAATGCATCTTAGCTGTAACTAAGTCATTTTACAGTCAGTTGAGCATCACTAAAACTTTTGACAGTAATTCGATGTATTTTTGATGAAGGTTAGGTCCTAACAAACTTATGGAACAAGACGATTTCCCAAAAGTGCTCGCTTAAAACTTTTTAGTATTAGGCTTAATGTTCTATAAAATCGCTTCAAGACTCACAGAATCATTTTTGCCGTAAAATCTGGCAACAAACGACGTTTCTTTTGGTGAGTAATTTACCAGATTCCAGTTGCATTGTACATCTGTATTGTAGTAGACATAGCCAAAGTTCCAGTGACTTAGTTGTATCCCCTCCTCACCTACACAGGAAATTTATATCAAATATCAAATTAACATACCTTTAGGATTTTCACAATTTGCATATTGAAGCACTTTAAATTCAGGTTTTATTACCTTACCAGTAACTTCTACGTTGAAAATGTCACCTGTTCCAAGATCGAATCTGTGTAAATAGCAGTTAATCAATTACAATCTTCCAAACCTGACGATTTCAACAAATTCGCGAATATCCTTTGGTATGAAAGTTACCTGGCATAAAAAACATTAATCTAAAAGCGTAATAAGACAACTTTTAAGTTGATATGAGAGTAAGACTGAACTACGCCAAATAGTGGCACAATATCAATAGATAGATCGGATATATTCGTAATCCGAAATTTCCCATTTTGAGAACCTTTATTTTCTACTACCAAAGTTTTAGTTATCACTTTGTTTTCCTGCACAAGCACACCAAAGTTGAGTTTCTGCGGAATATTCCAAAGAGGCTTAGGTAGAAACCTATCAATTTTATTAATAAATACAAGATAATAAAACCAACGTGAAAACTGGAATTTTTCGGGGATTTCCATCAACAGTTACAACGATACATTCTTTAGCATTTCCCGCTTTCGAAACTCTGAGTGTAATCGTAGATGTATGCTTCATTCCAGGAACTAAGGGTATATTTTGGTGACTGTCAGTGATTACGATTGTCTAACTGAATATTTAAGAGAAACATTTCATTACTTCAGCGCAATGAGAGTAAAATCGTATGACTTTTCTTGATGTCCCAACATTTTGTACTGTTAGCTGAGTGGTGTATTGTGAATTATCATGGATATCTTGAAAAACAATCATAGGTGGCTTTATTCTGACTCCCAGCCAATCAACGAATTCGGCATTGTTCGTATCCGTATTATGCGTTGTAACGTCCATTCTATGGTAGATTTGCGTTTAACTTGAAATTATCTTGTGTATTGTGTGAGTATGAAGAGTAGTTCCTATGGGAATCTGGAAAGGGAGAGAAGAAAAAAAGGGTTTGTCGATGACTAGGTAATCTTATAGAATTTACCTACGTTTAAGGATGAAAACAATCGACAACAGTGACATAGGTGTAATATAAGACAATTTGATAATCAAAATTAGAAGTCGACTACATAAGGTGTCAAATGTGTCACAGAGTAACAACTTTGAATAATATCAAGGTTGTATCCAAGGCATCGACTTACTCTTTGTGTGTTTCGACAAATTCTATACGAAACCTTTTCAAATGAAAATGAATCACATTGAGGAAAACTGACTACGTAAGTGCTGTTTCAAGTATTTCCCTACTAATTAATTGTTGGATAAGTTGAAGTAGCTGTAAGTGGGTGAAATGTTCTTTCCCACTGTTCGCTCAATCCATTTTATCGTTTGCAAAGTGCTCTTTATACTTAATAGTCATTGTAACCTGGAATGCGGGTTCCTCGACCCTATCTTACATTCGGAATGAAACTCAATTCATTCTACAGGGTTATCAAAATGATACTTAACAGTAGCAAAATTATCCAACAAGTTGAACGTATGCCTAACACGGAAGACTGATCACTGGAAGTTGGGTAGCTGATGAAATTTTGTTAAGATCAAGGATGACCGACGCTAACCAAATACTCAACACAATGAGATACGAAGGTGTGACAAAACTGCTATGTGACGTAGACGTTAGATTACACCAGTGAAGTAGTCACATTTCTATTCAACTTCAGCGGATAGACTATAAATAAAACGGAACAAGTAGGGTCACTAGTAAAGTAATAACCCGACAAGCACATTCGTGCTAAGTACGCCTTCGGAATCTCACGTTAGGCCGATCAGTTAAATTAAGTCAAATAATGGACTACAGAACATGTTACTCTGTACTTACCGATGATTAGTTGATTTATTTTCTAGCCTTTTACTTTATTAAAAATTACTTAGCAACCTAACTACTCCGAAACAACTCTTGCTTTGGTGATTGTCTTCCGACTGACTCATTTCTTTAAATTGGTGTCCATTTTTTAAGTGTCCTTAGAGATTTCCTTCACAGGATACTGTGAATTTTGGCAACCTAGTTACATATTGAGTTTGTTCTGGTATTAAACCTTCAATATAAGCCAGCCTGAATTTTGTCAATTAATTTGTTTACAGGCGTTATTTACGTCTGAACAACGAAGTGCATTGTTTTATTTTGATAATAGCTAAATTTGTTTAAAAAGCAATCCATCAAAAAACTGATATCAGGAATGTTACTGTAAATATTATGACGTAACCTATGTTATATTTGTGACATCCAAATTATAAAAACTCACTTATAGGATTATTTTTAAGAAGTCTGAGAATACTTTGTAAACGATAGTATCCAGCAATGCTGCAATCAGAAAAATTAAATGGTCATAAGCGGATGACAAACATGGAAGAACAATATATTATTTGACAACAAAATATATGGACAGAGATCGAGATACACTACCACGATACTGTTCATCCAACTATCTGAAAAGTGGACGGGAAAGCCTGTTAATCTTAGGACTACGAACGTTAGTGATGAAGTGATTTACGTCGCCAGATCAATTATTGTGGTCGTGATATGTCTCTCACATCGTGGTTCATCATATTTCATCCAACTTTATGCTTCGCACATAAATCCGCTGTGTCATTGTACATGTGGTTAAGAATCAACGTTAATCCATGAGGACTACAAGCCTTGGGCTGAAATGAAAAGACCAATTTCGAATGTCTTTGAATGTTCCTATGTTGAAAAGATACCTGGTCTAGGGAATTTGTCTGACATCTTTCTCTGTAAAAACTGACGTTAGTGTCTGTTAAATTCCTTTAGAGGACAAAAATGTCTAGATCGCAACATCGTACTTTTTAAGAAAAATAGCGGCAATACGTTTGGTGACGAATTTCTTTGAGCATTTGGGCACCTAATAATCATTTATGTTTTAGAAACTATGAGTTACTCGTTAGAATATGTCATCATGCTTATATATCATTTTGCGAGCTTACACTTTCAAAATGAAACTAAAGTGTGACCTAAGCTTGCTCATAGTAAACTTCCAGTCACTTGAACTGCCACGGAGAGAATATTCAACCTGATAATAATGCCTGTTTAATAAAGTCGAAGCTAAGAGAAAGTGTCACGGCGATCGTATCTCATCCTGCGTCAGTCTAACTTAACAACCCGTTGTCTTTAAAGAAAAAATGCGAAGTAAAGATTGAGAACGCTAATCTGCGTAACCTGACGCTCGACATAACGACGAACATGAAAATTTCAGTTTCTCTTTCTGAGTAAATAATAGGCAGAATGCATTCATGAAATTCCAAACAGTATCAAGTAACAAAAAAATAAGTGGAATAATTTTAACTAGTTCAGATAAACTTTGCGTTTTTTGTTAATTTTTATTTTTTCATCAAAAAATCAAATCTGGTCATTGACATTTAACGTACTTATGTGGAAATTAATAGAAGTATTGTGTGAAGTTAAGGTGTGCTTAGCATTCTTTATCCACGAATGATTTCAGAAGAACTACTTTCAGCCATTAATTGCAATTTAGGTGTCAGGAAAAGTGCCGATAAATTATAAAAAATTTATTTCGTAGAAGGATGGTATTGCGTTAATTATTATTTTCCCAGTATGCTGCAGGTTATGCGATAAATTTTCTCACTGAGAGTAAATAATATTGGTGACATTCACAACTTTCCAGTCACATGTATTCTAAATTTAGGATGTTAAATACACACTGATTTTCATGCAGATTTTTAGACATTAACTGAACAACAAACAAAGTATTTATCCTGTGTTAACTTTAAAAATTGCTTATAATGTACGTAAGACATCACTTTTGATTAGAGCGGCTGCAGTCTTTATCACTGAAAAGCTTTTCGCTAGTTACATACAGTATTTGCCATAAGGTCAGGTTCATTATATGGCACTTCCTAGTTGACCTAATTCATAAACCGCATAATGTAGAAACCATGAATGCTGAACAGCACCTTCAGAAACTATCCGTATACAAATTGATTGTTTTTTGACGTAACAGTGTAATTCCATGGAATGGAGATATGCAGCAATAGATATTCTATCATAATCGCCTAAATAAACATACAATGTGACCGTGAAAAAGTCTGAAAAATCTATGTGAACTGTTTTGACCCTGTGTAAGATTTGCATACATAACCGAAACGTTGTTAATTATATTCTGTGCTCGCTTAGTTATTTCTATCTTCATGTATCAGTTCTTGATAATCGTCTGTAGTTAACTCTGAAAACTTATGTGTTCTTGGCTCGTGTACCTCTGTACACTCATTTGTCTTATCAACTATCTATTATCTGACATCCCAGTATATATATGCTGTCAACGTTCACAAATAAAAAGTTCATACTCCGGCCTTCTGCGAAGACCCACAGTTTATCCTGCCTCTTCAATACAGTGTTAGTTTTCACTTGTTTATATAAATCTCTGAAATATATGTTCATAAAACAACTGGTATTCGACTTTTTATTAACATGTTGCGTTAATATAGTTAGGTGACCAATATGAAAACAACAGACGGGTTAACCGACTGTGGATTGTTAATCAAAGACCTAAAATTGTGATTCCGGCTGTTCTGAAGATGACACGTATGTGCAGTGCTTAACGATGCTGACGACCGAAGAGTATTCTCGTAGAAACAAGCCGAATCATAGGTCAAGAAACAATGGTGTTAAAATATATTTAACGACCGAAACACTAGTATTTGGCGTAAAATCATAGCTAACGAACTAATTTTTATTCGATCAGAGCAGACGACGTTCATCTATATGGTGTGCAACGTGTTTCGAGTGGCTCGTATTATATTGTACCAAAACATAAACTCGATGTTAAAATTAAACGTTTCTATTCTAATAAAGTAAATTATATAAAAAGTATAAAACACTTCAAACGCTACAACCTGTGCCAAACAGTTAAAAGTTTCTCTAACATGAAGTTATGTATTAAACGATAAAACGAATAGTTAATAAATAAGAACTGGATGCCTGGGAGTCAATAAAGATACTCTCAACAACATGGGATAACATATCTATCTGTAAGGCTTTAAGGAACCTTTCCAAGAAGACAGTCCGTGGTTAACAGTCGAACACCGAGCCATGCCTTGACTTTGTCAATAGTCCAGTAACATGCAAAAGAAAAATTAAGTAAGAAAACGTAAGCCTTTAAACAAAGTCTGATAATAAAAGTTCAGACTAGGAAGACTAAATAACATAAATTAAGGTAAAAAGAGATCTGAATAAAAGTTAAGATATTTGACAGGGGGGAAGAAACAAACAGATTACGTTGTTGTCAAATGAAATGATTTGGAGGGGTTTCGATTTTGTTCTTTTCGTTACAGTGGCCACCGAAATCTTTCCAGACAAGCAAAGACACCTCTGGAAATATCCAGTCATGGATCTCCTAGCTAACTACTTAATATCAATGGAAAGCACCGTAATTACAAAAGTACACTCATGCACACATAAATCTAGCATACGACTTGCAGTTTTTCGGCTACCTCCAAAAGACGAAGCTTTGGTACACCACTGTTTACTACCCCTTCTTGTTCTTTCCGTAACAACATATTTAAATAGTTGTGAGAGTTTTGAGGTGTACGCATCCCAGCTGACTAGT